ATTTGTGGTAGTCTTCCGGGAGAAGAGAGGTCACAGGTTCCAGGTTGTCAGTAGCTGAAGAGCGAGCTGAGACAGAACCGTCGCCGATAGGGCCAGTTGGAACGAGACTGACCCCAGAAGACGGCAGGCGTGTGTGAAGGCGACTGTGTTGATAAGGGAAACGTGAGGCAAGGGAGTGGATGGTTTGGGAGAAGGTTCATAAGGAAGGGAAGGAGTAGGCAGGATAGGAGGAATAGGAGGGACTGGAAGTGACTCGGCAATGACTGGAGTGGGCGGTAAGGCGGAAGCCAAATGGCCTGATAGACTCAGAAGAGCCTCGGATTGCAGAAGACGTCAGAAAGAATGTAAAAGGCCTGTGGTCCAGTCAATCAACGGATTGTAATTACGCAGCCAATTGTATCCAAACACTAGGGCACATGAAGAATCCAGTTTAGTGACAAAGAAGGTCAAGGAGAGAATGTCGCCAGTCGGATATCGGATAGGGATGTCGGCAGCTTGGGTTATCCAAGTGTTAACAGTCCCATCAAGGAGGCGTAAGGCTAAAGGGGGTATATTGTAAGTGGAGACATTATGTATAGATACAAAATTAGTGTCAATGAAACAATGAGTGGAGCCAGAATCTACCAAGCCGGTGGCAGGAACTGTAGATTGTGAGTGTAATGTAACAGGGAGCGTGAGGGAGTCGGGGTTGGATAGTGCTGCAGCATTAAGGCGAACTTCTTTGGGGACATTGCGAGAGCAACCACAACCCTCTGGCAATGCCGAAGGCGGAGGGCTGCTTACTCTTTTGCTGTTCTGGACTTAGTGTCCTTCGCAGCCGGAGTGGCAGGTGCGGAAGCGGTGTAAGGAGGAGCGGCTGTAGTAGATGAGGCACAACTTTTGGCGGAGTTATGCTTGTGACAGTCAGAAGCAACATGGCCAGCTTTGCCACAGAAGAGGCAGAGGCCTCCCTTGAGCGGCGTTCACGTTTCTTGGGCTTGAGCTTTCCATCGGCACCCAACTTGTCAGCCAGAGGATTTGGCTTATCCGAAGAAGAGCCTTTGGATTTTGACTTATCCTTATCCTTGCTGTTGTTGCTGGAGTTGGAGCCGGACTTGGAGTTCGAAGAGCCAGAGCCGGAAGACGACCCGGCTGAGTTGCCTTTGGAGTTTGATGAGCCGGAGTTGTTGCTGCTGTTGTTGTTGCTGGTGCCGGACTTGCTGTTGGTGTTGTCTTTGCGCTTTTCGTGATTGATCTTGTTTTGGTGCTCCCAATAGCAATGATCAAGCTCTTGGGTGGTTCACTGCAAGCTAATGAGGGTGGTTGGCTTGCCCATACGAGGAAATTTGTCCTTGATCCGGTTCGGAAGTCCTTTGTAGTACTGATGATAAAGGGCCCGTTCGTTCCATCCTGTGCGACCCACATACTGGTTGAATTCCAAGGTGTATCGTGTTGCTTTGCTGGAGTCTCAGAAGGTGAGATTCTCAAGGTGGTTAACAGCATCTGCAACCGGATCTTGTGGGCCGAAAAGTTGCTTGAGCTCCTGAATGAAGAGCGCAACATCCAAAAGCCACGGAAGCGGCTGGGTCATACCGGTTTTGAGGGCGGCAGTGATTTGTGATTGGAACCAGTTGTAGGGGGAGCCAGATAGGTACGACATAATGAAGCTGACCTTGGAGTCTTTGGTGGTGAACTTGTGGGGCCAGAGCGAAATATACATCATGCACTGGACGAGGAAGGGATCCAACTTTTGGGCACTTGTACCGTCGAACACATCCGGAGCCTTCAACTTGGGCCGAGGAGTCAGCTCTTGACGCGGCTGCATCATGGGCATATTCGACATGTTCCTGGCCATGAGGTGGATGGCTTCCGTGAGGTGAGTTTGGTTCCGAAGGAAACAAATTTCGGCAGGTTCACTTCCCGAATGATCCGTGCTTTCCGTTTCCATTTGTTCAAGAACAGTTGGAAGAGCCAGAGAGAGAGGAACCGGGGTATGGAAACCTGTGGGTTGGTACGTTCTGGTCCTCAGGTAAGTGCTTTCAGCTGGTGGAAAATGAGCAGGTGTTTGCAGAGGACTGAGAGGACCTTGCGGCTCAGGTGCCCATGGGTTATCGAGGTACAGTGCGGATATGGAGGCCAGGGCGCGAGTTGGTGTTTCCGGGTAGAGCTGTGCCGTGGGGGTAAGATAAGGAGTGAAAGGGTTTCATGGAGAAGGTTGGAGAGGTCGTTGGAGTGTTGGAACCATTGGACAACGATGACGGGTGAAGGAAAGCATGGTTTCTTGAATACCAGCTTGTTGGGCAGTCCTTGTTTGATGAGGCCGACCTGTAGCCATGTAGACAGACTATTCGAGCTTGTAGTCTGAATATACTGTTATGACCTGTGCTGAGCCAAGGTGTGCCAGAGACCAGGTGCGTTTGGGTGTGCTTCAGAAGAGACTTTGGATGCGGACTTTGGCTTCAACGTTCGTGTGTTGCATCCTCGAGATAGTCTAAGTCTGATTTTGGAGTATAGGCTTTAGGCTGGTGTCGGATGTCGAACAGATGCGAGCAGATGAGAACGGATGAGAACGAGAGGAGGAGATTAGAAGTCGAGTATGATATTCAGACTGCCAGACTCAGTCGTCCTGCAGTCCCTTAAATACTACAATGAATAATGGACTACCTATGACAATGAGCTGTTGGCTGTCTAACTCGTGGAGGAAATGTGTACGCTAATGACAATAGAATAATGAGGCACATGTACACTAGGAAAATCAAAGACAAATAACAAACAAAAGAACAATATAATTGAAGAGCTGAAACAGCTATGAATGGATGTCTCTTGGATGTCTTTGGCACGGGATGGGTCGTGACACATAGGGTATGCAACGCAAGGTGGAAGTAAAAAACTAAGGACCTGTGTGAACTAACTACCCTAGTTAAATATAGGAATGACCTATTACAACGGTTGAGCTAGGACATATCCAGGATATTATTTAGAGGAAGGTCTATTTTCAAAAATAAGCACTCTTGCAAGTATAGACAAAGTAGCATGAATTTGGCACTTGTTGCCAAAATCCTGGGCCTGGAGAAAAAGGACTTGTATTGTATTGCCATGCCACGCAATGGCCCACACCACACAAGTTTGAAATACTACAGTATTATGCACTGTTCAATGCAGATTTTTATTTCCTATCAAATGGATATGGGAATGGACACAAATTGCAAATGCTACAAGATAAATACTCTCCAGCCATCAAAATCAGCCATTTCTGGGGAAAGAAACAGCCCATGCCCTAAGTTCTACAAAGGACTGTAAGCATGGAGCCAAGAAGTGCCAAGCTCCTAAGTTGATGTATGGAAAAAGTGCCAACAAGTGAGGCTGCTGATGTGAGAAAGTGTGAACTTGGAAAAGTCACTTTATGCACTCTCAATGTGACCTAGATCTATCCCTAGGGAATGAGCCAATGCCCACAGTGATAACTCCCCAACACACAAATGAATTGAGAAGTCTACAATGTCAAGTAAATAATGTAGTCTACTGGATCACAGGTAATGATTAGGGCTTGTCCTTGAACATCTTTTGGATAGCAGCGCTCGAGTATGACTTGGGGCGCTCAAGAGCTATAGAACCATAAGTGAAAACAGACCAACCAACAGTAAAGACAAGACACTTACGAGCACCGAGGGCACGATCCCAAATCAGCTGCGCAGCAACACCAAACGCACGCGAGACACCGAAGAGAACAGTGTAGTACTGCATCTGGTCAAGGCCGTAGTGGGTGAGGAGGACACCCGAGTGGGCATCAACATTGGGCCAGGGGTTCTTGGCCTTGCCGGCCTCGAGGAGAATGTCGGGGACGAGGTTGTAGATTTGGCCTACGAGCTTGAACATCTTGTCGTCAGGGAGGTGCTTGAGGGCGAACTCGCGCTGGGCGGTGTAGCGCGGGTCGGTCTTGCGGAGGACGGCGTGGCCGTAGCCGGGGACGACCTGGCCACTCTTGAGGGTAGACCAGATGTACTCCTTGACGGCCTCGTCGGAGGCGTCCTCACCGATGGCAGTCTGCATCTTGCGCAGCCAGACGAGGACCTCCTGGTTGGCGAGACCGTGGAGGGGACCGGCAAGACCGTTCAGAGCAGCGGCGTAGGAGAGGAAAGGGTCGGAGAGAGCCGAGCCGACGAGTTTACCGGTGTGGGCCGAGACGTTACCGCCCTCGTGGTCGCTGAGGGACGAATGAGAGGAAGAAGAGAGGACAAAACAAGGAGGCATACCTGTGGATGGTAATGTAGAGACGGAGAAGCTCGACGAAGGCCGGGTTCTCGCCGAAGCCCAGGAGAGTGGCAAGGTTGTGGGAGTAGTCTTTGGCGGGGTCGATGGCTGGAAGCTTGCCCTGGCCGAAGACGTTGCGGTAGATGCGGCCCGCGATGTTTGGGAGTTTGGCGATGCTAAAAATAAAAGTGAGGTGGTGGAAGGAAAGGTTCGGAAAGAGGGACGTACAGGTCCATGGCATCCTCGAAAGTCGGTCCCCAGTACTCCTTCTTGGAAATACCACTCTGGTAAGCCTTGGCGAAGGCCGAATCGTGGTTAAGCTACGGAGAAATGAGAAGGTGAGGAGAGCGACATGGGGTCAGAAAGGCTCACGGCAGTGACAGCCAAACTGAATTGACTCATGGGGTGGAGAGTCGGGGGACAACGGTCGATGATCTCCTCGACGAACTCGGGGATGGCGGCACGAGCAGCCCAGTCGCGAGAGAGCTCGGCGACCTGCTCCTGGGTGGGTACTTCGCCGGTGACGAGGAGCCAGAAGAGACCTTCGGGAAGGGGCTCTGAACCGCCAGGCGCTTTTGGGAGGGCGGCCTGAATCTCGGGGATGGACTTGCCACGGAAGCGAATGCCCTCCTCTGGGCGGAGTGAGTTGGCAAGAGTCGGGGGAGCGGGGTAAAAACATACCTGCGTCAAGAACGGAGCCGTCCCAGATGAGGGCGGGCAGACCACGCATACCACTGGACCGGGGTGAGCCACGGTAGGCACGAAAGAAAAAGGGACTCACCCATAGAGCTGGTCGACGAGGACGGGGCCAAATGATTTTTTGCCATGGGCGGCGCGGATGGCTTTGACCTAGAGAAAGTTTGAGTGACGCAACCTGGGGCGGAACAACGCGACTGACGTTCTCGATCTCGGCGGGGATAAGCTCTGCGAGACGCTCCTTGAGGGACAAGGGCTTCGCTGCCGATGATGACCAGCGTGCATGCTGGAAGGCGGCGCGGCGGACTGAAGAGCGGGCGAGACGGGACGGGAGAGCCATATGATGGTGGTGTGTTGGCAGAAGAAAGTCGGCCTTTTCTATTTTCTTCCGAGAGTCTCCTGGTCACATGACTGTTACCTAATTTTCTGCCCCCAACCATCATGGCGAAACGAAAGCGGGCCAGTGAGCACCAGCCAGCAGAGACGCTCCTGCCCCAGGTATGTTACCTTCGACTACCCTGGCCAGTCGCTTACCCGCCCCAGAAAAAACACTACCGCCAGCGCGCGCACGCAAACCCGTTCTCAGATCACGACCTCCAGTACCCAGCCAGCCCAGATGCCGTCGACTGGGACGCGCACTATCCCGCGTTCGCGGGCACAGGCAAGCTGCCAGAGTTTGCAGACATCGGCTGCGGCTTTGGCGGCCTCTTGATCACCCTCGCGCCTCTCTTCCCAGACACACTCATGCTCGGTAAGTACTCTGTCCATCTTCCGATCCCAGCTCATACTCTGCAGGCATGGAAATCCGCGTCCAGGTATCGCAGTACGTCCAGGACCGCATCGCCGCACTCCGCGTCAGCGAACACACCCACAACAACGTCTCCGTCGTCCGCGCCAACGCAATGAAGTTCCTCCCAAACTACTTTCCCAAGCACTCCCTCTCCGCCCTTTTCTTCCTCTTCCCAGACCCACACTTCAAGTCTCGCAAGCACAAGGCCCGCATTATATCCCCCACCCTCCTCGCAGAATACGCCCATGTCCTCCGTCCCGGCGGCATCGTATACACCATCACTGACGTCAAGGATCTCCACAAGTGGATGGCTTCCCATCTCAACTCCTTCCCGCTTTTCGAGTTTGTCGACGAAGACACTCTACGCGCAGAAGGCAAGGGTCCCATCATCGATGCTGTCTACACAAGTACAGAGGAGGGCAAGAAGGTCGAGAGGAACAAAGGTGAAAAGTGGTTGGCCTGTTTCCGACGCATACAGCTCGAGTAGTCACAATCCACTCATTCCTCCATCTCTCTTGGCTGCTGACCGCCCGTTTTCATCGACGCTATCAGCCTCAGCGACCGTGCCATAATCGCTGCCTTCATCTCTTCATGAATCACCACCGCCGCGTCCGTCGCGACTCGAAACACCTCCTCAAATCGGTCTACGTGCAGTCGCGTCTCCATCGTCACCAGCGACACCTTCCTCGTCTTCGGCATCACCGCGATTGTCACATTCGGGACGTCATTTTCCTCCAACGTCGTCAGATCGAGCAGTGGGTGCGTCGAGTACACCCCACCGCTCACCGCACACACAAAGTCGAGCATCGGGATCCCCGCACTCATCAGGGCCAGCGTTGTCCCATTAATACACGCCTGCAGTAGTCCCCCATCTTGTTGTACCACCTGAATAAAAATATCAATCTGAGAGCGCGGATACAGGCCCGTCTGCACGACTGGCTCGAACGTCGACTTGATCGTCGCCGCGAATTCCAAAATCCGCCTGAAACCGAGTGTCAGTGATCCCCGCACAAAATTTAGCCGACGAGTGTGCTCACTTGTCTCCCCGTGAACGCTTCCTCCTGTCTCCCGTACTGAACGCCGCGACGGACACCTCGACGTTGATGTTCGCGCGGTCGTGGATCGTCTGCGAGCGCATCTTCGCCTCCCTGGGCCCAAAGACCGACACAAGAACGTGGGTGAGCCCGTGCGTGATCACCGCCGACCCGTCCGCCTGCCCTTGCTGCCCCAGATCGATGTCGATGGACCGTAGCTCGAACTGCCTGCGTCCGTCGGAGCGGTAGCCACCCTCGTTCAGTATTTCGACGCGTGAGGCCTGCAGGGGAGGTCAGATGAAGAGGTTCTGGGGCCGACGAGTACGCACCATGTCGTTGTGGACGAAAAGAGAAGGACGCGGACAAGATTAGACAGGTTGCTGGGCCAATAAGCGCTCACCTGTCCCTTGCTCCACTACCACCACCACCACCATGTCTGCTTCACTCACAGACCTCGCTGTACCACTATCCATCCTCGATACGGATCTCTACAAAGTACGTCCCTCAACATATGCGCTCTAACTATGCTAATATCCCAATCTAGTTGACTATGCAGCAGGCCGTGCTGCAGCAGTTCCCAAACGTACACTCGACTTATCGATTCAAGAATCGCAGCATCTCGACCCTCTTCACCCGTCAATCCATCGAGCGTTTCCGTACCGCCGTATCGCGTCCGTTTCCTCCCCTTGCCCTTATCAAAAGCCAAAAACCCACATCATCTCCCAGACTTCACCACCGTCCAACTTACCTCCGCGGAGCTCTCCTGGCTGCAAGCCGCCTGCCCCTACTTCACCTCCGACTACCTCGACTACCTCTCCACCTACCGCTTCAAGCCCGAACAGGTCAAAGTGAACTACATACCTGTGAGCGCCGACCAGCTGCAGGGGCGGGTCGAGATCGACGTCGTCGGACCCTGGGTCGAGACGATCCTGTGGGAGGTGCCCCTCATGGCGTGCCTCAGCGAGTCCTACTTCCAGAGCGTCTTCACGGACTGGGGGTATGCCGGCCAGGATGGTGAGTTCCACTCATTCAGTTCAGCGGCTATTTTCGTATCGGTGTCGATTTACGTGCGCACGCACGCTCCGCGTTCCATTCACATCTATTTACCTTCCATGGGACCTGCCATGCCAAATGAATGAATGAACTCCGATATTCTCTCCAACTTACTCACTCGTTATCTCCCAGAGCTCGCCTACTCCAAAGCCCAAACCCTCCTCTCGGCCAACTGCCACTTCAGCGAATTCGGCACGCGGCGGCGGCGGTCCTACCAAACGCAAGACATCGTCCTGCAAGCCCTCGTGCGTGCCTCGCGCGAAATTCCCTCCTCCGGCGGTCTCTCGGGGACCAGCAACGTCAGTCTCCTTGTATCACATTCCCTCACCCCACCTCTTCTCAACCAGGCATTATTTCTACCTTCCGCCTTTAGGTCCACTTTGCGCAAAAGTACGACCTCACGCCCATCGGCACCATTGCACAGTACGTCCGAGTTGCTTCTATTAAATCTGCTATTACCAGGAAAGCTACTAACGGCCTCCATCCGAACTTGGCGGAACGTACCTTTTATAGCGAGTGGTTCATGGGTGTATGCGCTTCTTTTTGTTGCGACGTAGTACCGCTCGTTGATTGGGTGCACTTGACAGGTATCAGCGCTGAAAGGCTACGAACGCGCCAATGTCACCGCACTCAAGCTCTGGGAAGAGGTCTACACGCCCGGCACGGCGCCGCTCATCGCGTTGACCGACACATTCACCACGACCGCGTTCTTCAAGGTATTCCCCTCGTATATCGCCCCGAACCTCCATACTCACCACTTCACCGCCCCACTCCCACCTCTACCTCCAATATAACAGGATTTTGCATCCGATTCCGAACTCGCCCACCGCTGGACAGGCCTTCGCCAGGACTCGGGCGACCCGTTCACCTTCGGGCCGCGCGTAAAGGAGATGTACGAGGCCCTAGGCATCCCGCACGCGTCCAAGACGATCATCTTCTCCGACTCGCTCGACGTCGACAAGTGTCTGAAGATCAAGAAGCAGTGCGACGAGCTGGGGTTCGCGAAAGGTACCTCTGTGCCACTCACTGCCGTGCGCCATGGGAGGTCCTGACGGAGTATATGCTATAGTATCGTTCGGGATCGGCACGTTCCTGACGAACGACTTCCGCGTGGCCTCGACCGGCGAGAAGAGCAAGGCGCTGAACATCGTCATCAAGCTCGCGTCAGTCGGCGACAAACCATGCGTCAAGCTGAGCGACGATCTCACTAAGGTATGTCCATTCGTCTCTCTCTCCGTCTCTTCCCTTGATGCTGACGAAGCGTTCGTAACAGACAACTGGAGACCAGGATACCGTTGACCACGTAAAGCGTGTGTACAACCTGTCTGCATAATCGGGCCCTGAATATTTGGATAATGAATGGTCCTCGCGATTCGTGAACGCGAAACTGTATCTCTACATACGACTCTTCGCCCTAATTTGCTGTCGAACTTGTTGTGTCCACTGTCATATTTTCCGAACATGTTGTACTCGTACTCGCGGGCATTTTATCACACAATACCATTCAACGCAGTGCATGGTCTGTTTATGTCATTTTTTTGTCTTGTCCATTACAAAATTTCAAGGTGGAGACTTCAGTCAGTCAGGGGAGAATCACGTTCTCTTCGTATCACGTGTCCCATCTCCATGTTACGCGACTGCATGGGACTGCATTGCAGCTACCCCTAGTGTTGCCGGGAGCCGAGTTCGAGTTGGCTCGAGCTGATGAAGTTTCAAACTCAGACAGCCTCGAGCTGATGCGAGCCCGAGCCGGCTTCGAGCTGGATTCCGAATGGAGAAGGGCCATCAAATCGCGCGTGTACTGGTAAGCGCCCCCGTAGGCGCCGCAGAAACATAGATTATGGATGGTATTAAACATGTAGAACACTATAGAGCAAATAAATAAGATTCTTTGAGAGGCGAAGAAACCCTCGAAGCGGTTTGAGCTTAATCATGATGGTGAACTCTATTAATACTAAACCTTAAGTTATTGTAAAGACGCGATCCATGACGCCGTTTCTTGCTTGTTCCCATTATCATTGCTCCATCCCCACCCTTCCCAGGACTCGTTCACATACTGGTTGAGCTCCTCAATCTTCCCCCCTGCCAGGAGGCTCTCAACAACCTCAACGGACATGTCAAGGACTGAGAGCTCCTCTTCAGAGGAGAGAAGATGGTCAGTGAAGTTCAACCTGTCGTTCCGATAGCTGAACTTCATGATCTGCAGCTGCTCCATGTGAAGGGGTGACAGGTTGGACCGCCTGGATGTGTCCATCTCCTTGCTTGATGAGAAAATCCTCTCGCACGGAACGGACGAGGCTTGGGCAGGGAGGACATCGAGGGCGAGCTTCCAAAATAGTGGGAATCGTGTTTGATTTGCCTATAAAATGGTATGTCAGGACACTCCGTTAATTTAATTTCTAGAACTTACCTGCCAGAAGTGCAGGAGATCAAAGTCCTCCAATTGAGGGCTGTCATCTGGAATCATCCCAGCGTTCTCGTAGGCGGCAATCTCAGCCAGGACGATCTGAGTATCTTCCTCGATGGCACGCCGCTCTCAAGCCGCATTATCCAGGCTGTTGGGTTCTTCCAGAGATGTGGAGGTGGGGGACTGGGTGGGGGATGATTGGGTTGCGAGCGCCTTCACGCGCATCATTCCCCAAAGTTGGGCCAGAGCTGTGTGGGATGCGGAGGGAGTCTTCATGAGCCGTCAGCCTGGTGGAGACGGTACAGGCAGCGGCAACTGTCCGTCACTTGTCGCTGATGTTCCGGTGGTCTCTTGCACCTTTCGCGTGGCCGTCCGGTATTCGAGAAGCTATAAGTGGTATCAAAACGAGTCAAATATGTAAGCAAGATACTCACCACATTGAAAACTGATTTTCTTGCTGCCTGATATTCCGCAGCACCCCAGTTCTCCTTTATCCATTCAAATTTGATTGTTGGGTTGAGTACTACAACAAATTTGGCTGTAAGTGAGGTGCGGATGTGAAATTTAAGGAATATGTGCCCATTGCAAGGTGATATATCCTGGTCTTGCAGGATTTGGCGAGGTATTCCTCGAGCTTTGCGACCGAGGCTTGAATCGCATGGGAGAGCTTTGGCATTGATTTGGACATGTCTTGAAGTATCCCAATAAGCTTCTCGTACATCAGAAGCACAACTGAGAGTGTTGGGGTCTTCTCAGCGGAGACAAGCTCCTGAACAGTATGGAACACGTAGAGAAATTGTCGAATGTCAATTAAGACTGCCTTCTCTGTCTCGGTGAATGAATAGATTGCGAGGTCGTCATTTTGCTTTGTGATCTCTTGCACAGCCCACAAGAGACATGAGATCTAACATCAAGTGAACGGTAATCCAGGAAACTCACAGGAAATTGCTCAAGAAACCGATCTATCATGTTGAATGTCGAGGACCAACATATGTCCATATCTTTGAGGAGGCCAACGACCTGGAGTATGATTGGCCCTTGGTTCGTTGGCCATCCACCTGCTTCATTCCCGTTCTTGATAATCTTTTCAAATTGCTCGCAACGCTGACCAGAGGATCGACAAGCCGTCACAAAACATCGAACAGAGGCAACGATGTCAGATTGCAGTGCCATGAGATACTCCTCATCATTCTCAAGCTCCTCAGACCTTGTCACCTCAGCAAAAGTTTCATTGATTAGGTCAGCATCGAAGATAGAGATCTCGGTCAACTCCTTCAGGCCCGCCTTAACTGCTATGTTAATTACATGTGGAAAGCACCTGGCCAGAGTAAACTCTGTGAGTACTTATTCTACCACCCGAGTCAATGAAGCATCACATACCGAATGTGGTTTCCCTCCTTGTCAAAATGGATGCCCATTGATTGAAGTTCAGCAGCCATTTCGTCCATCATTGTGTTGTTGTTTCCTGCATTATCCGCTGTAATAGTGGAAATCTTATAAGAAAATAAATCAGTGAATAGGCATTTAATCATTGCGGGGAGGTGGGCACCTTGTTCAAGCTATTTATCTCCTTGATTATTTGAATAAAGACCTGGCCAATGTTAGCCCCATTGTGACTTCCGTGGAGTTGACGAAAGGTGACAAGTTGACTTCAGATTACAAGGTTTCCGTCACGAGATTTGGCCGCATAGTGAGCGGTGACACCCATGTGAGATTGCATCGTTTGTCGAGACCAGATATCACTTGTAAATGAAAGGCGCCCAAGAGAATTCTGCCCGGTTTTAATGTAAGAAAATTGGCAGCACTTTGGGGGGCAAGTGAAAGGCTTACCTCAATGTCCTGAAGCATAGCTAAGTAAGCTTTCTTGAACCCCTCTGTTATCAGCTCCCCGAGCTTTGTACGATGGGGAATGTCATTCTCATTCAAGTCCACGCTGATAAACAGAAGCAGATTACGAAGCTCAGGTGAATCGACGACATCTAAAGACTAAACCTGAATGAATAATTGAGAAGGGCAAAGTTTGACAAAAATGACATACCTGATCGTCAACCACGATCCACCTAACAAGCCTATCATAAAACCCATCGAGTGAAAATGGTTCTCGCTCATATGGTCCTGAAGTGCTCCCAGTGCCATATCGTGTAAGTCCAAGTTCTTTCCATCCCTTAAGCTGCTTGAGAATGACAATGTCGCGCCAAACCTTCCAGTGCTTTCTCTTGAGGTGATTACAAATTGTCTTGGACTGTCCAGCACGGTTACTCCATGTTGTCCATTCAGAGAACCTGAATTTTGAAATACAGTAATTAATCATTTGGAATATCATATCAGAGAAAACTTGAAGACTCACAGGCAAATTATACAGCCAAGATGAGAGAATTCCTCAATCTTGGGCCAATTTTCCGATGGAGTTTCTTGTGCTGGCATCATGTCTGGCCTTTCATTGGTGTGCAAGCCCCGCATGAAATACCAGACATCCGTGGCGGCAGCTCCATTTGGCATAGATGTGTTGTGTGCCAGAGACCCAGCGTACTTGCTAGAAGCCGAGGGACCGCTGCGAGTGTGAGAAAGTGCAGGGTGGGTGGCTGCCTGTTGGGCGCTTGTGATGTTAGGCGCTGGAACCTGTTGTGGTCCAACTCCAGGTACTGATGGCTGTGGAGAGGGTGGGAGAGTCGAGGAAGTGGATCCAGGAGCCATGTTTCATTGCTTTGCCACTGATGCCCTTCCTGTGGTATTCTTGCGCTTGCTGCCGGTTGATGACTGAGGGGTATTGACAACTTCTGAAGTGGATTCACCTAAAGCCATTCGGAAAACTTCAGGCTCGTCAGGTACATCAACACCCGGATGGCTGTAAGAGCTCGAGAAAGTGTTGACAAAGGATAAACTTGCTGAGGGTGGCACGGGAGCTGGGGCAGGAGCAGGAGTCGGAGTTGGATAGCGTGACTGACTCAGAGGGTAGAAATCGTAAGCCTGAGGAAGCCAGCCTGGATGTTGGCCAGTAGGCGTCACCACCGATGGAGCAAAAAAACTGGGGTGAGGTTGTGGATAGTAGAACTGAGGTAATGGGATGCGACAAGTGCAGGACTGGGGATCCGGGCATCTCCCAGTGCAGTGAGACGTTTGTGGTGTCAAAGACATGGCGCTCTTTGGGTGATGAAGCTTTCCTTGCTGCTCGGTCTTGCTCAATTTATACCAACGCCGGATGATATTCACCAAAACACAGAAAAACAATTAAACAATCTCAAGCGCGTCGTATCGCGTTCAAATGTGCCGCGGGACGCGACTGGGTCCCTGAGGGAGCAAATAGGTGCAACTGGACGTGACTAGGACCTTGATACCGGGGATGCGGTGAGCAACTCCAATATACCGTCGTGATACTCTTTGATCCCAATTGTTTGCAAAGTCTCCAAATCCACATGAATGAATAGATTAAAATCAACTCAAGCCGGGTCTTGATTCTCACTCACTCGAGGCCAATGGCAACTTTTCTACTACTAGTGTACCTCTGGAATCAATCTATTAGGCTATAATTTCTCTGACATACGTCGAGCGCTAAGATTGACGTTCGATGTCAATTCAGAGAAGATCCTGGGTGACGACAACATATGGTGATTCCCATCAATTACCTCGGAGTTAACTCAGAGGCGAGTCAAGCTCCATCAGCTCGAGCCCCTCAAAGGGGAATTCCCACGAGCCGAGCTCAGCTCGACTTCGAGCCAGCTCCAGCTCCCGGCAACACTAGCTACCCCATCGTCCTAAAACCCATTTCTCTCTTATGTTATCCCCCTCCTATTATCTCCCCCAGTCCATCTGGTTGCGGTGTATGCATATGGCCAAAACGATGGAATCTGTCCTTCGTGGACGCCCTCTTGAAGTCATTCAATTTGAGCCACCCCCACCACCTCCATTGCCTAAGCCCGGCCCACCCCTCACAGCATCACCTGCGTCCATTTGGCACTATAAGCCGTTTGATAGCAGACGCCCCAAGTATCTCATCGACTCCCTTGTGTCCTCGTTACGTAGAGCGCACAGGACACGCATTATGTTGGAGCCACCCCCAGGCCGCGAAACGTAAATACACCCAAGGTGCTCCCTTCAAAGTATCCGCTGACCTATTTTCTTATTTTGTCAGAGCCAATGTCTCCGAGTATATGCAGGACGTACTTCTTCAGCCTATAGCTGATATCTTCAACCAAATGTATCTGAGGGATATCCGTGCAACAGCATCAAACGTCGAAGGCAGAGTGAGCTGTACCTGGTTGAGTAACTCCAGCCATTCTAACACACTCTTGCAGCAGGTATTGTCATAACCTTCCGTGCTAACAATGCACTAGGCATACCCAAGCAGATCGAGAACATTCCCGTGGTCCTGTATATTGTACGTGACTGTTCACAGTTTTCAATTCAAAGCTCACTCGCCGCTGAACCAGCCTGATGACCTTTTCAATGCGGACGGACCCTCGCCTCGACTGGTGATTGCTCTCGAACAAGTCCATGCTGTCAAATCATCGACAACAGTTATTGCTACCAATTTCAACGACATAGCTATTTTTGGACTTTCCAATGCAGTAAATGAGAGGGGTTTTATACGGCTCTCGACAGACCGCACTCGTATGTTACTCACGCTCAGGACAGTCACGGCCGCGTATCTATTGCGAGCACTGTACCTTGAGAATTACATTAGGCTACCCGACGACTTCGGTTCCGACATGGATTGCCTCCTTCCTGCAGGACCACCTGTTAATCCAGCTGCTCCTCTGGTCCCCGACGAAGAGATATTCGAGACCTATCAACACCATTCCGACTTCGATCTCGTCACACTCAAAAGAGATAGAGAACGGGCTCTTCAATTTTTTCGATGGAAGCAACATGTACGAGCCTCGCAACGGAAACTCATCGCAGCTCCAGAAGATTTCATACAAGCAGCAAGCAATGGCCTGGACTGTGTTGCGCCGGAACTGGCTCCCTGCTACCAGCTGGACTTCTCTGAGATTCCCCCCGACACTCTTGCACATCTAAGCGCAGTCCAACGGCCGTGTCCTCTATCAGCCGCTGGCTTGCGCAAGCGGTTCATGCGCAGCAGCCGCTTCATCTTGCAGATCCTTGATGTCGTGGCAAAGGGGTCTTCACGTGGAATCTGCACGGTGTATCAATGTCGACTCATCTCCATCGACGGCGTTCAAGTCTCTGAATCCCCTGTACTTTGCTTGAAATTGTTCGACGATAGGTTCCAGGACCTACCTCCTCCGGAAGAGGAGGAATTAGAAGAACAGCCCTCCCGTTGGCTGTCCCGTCTGGTCCTTGCCGAGTGGCATGCTCGACAAGAACATAGTGCTTACAAGAAGCTTGAAAAGGCCCACGGATCGGTTTTCCCCTGGTACTACGGTGCCCACCAGGTGAGAACTTCCACACCCTTGTTGTGGGCCTTTTCTGTTTTCTGATCACTCCGCAGTTTACTCTCCCTAATGGCTTCCAAGTCTATGGCATTCTGTTAGAATATGTACCCGCACCGTCACTCGACTCAGATAAAATTCGAAATCTGCCCCCCAGCAGTTGAGTTCAGCTGGTAAGGTCCACCCCTCTGTCATTGTAGATCCATGAGACTAATGCAATTTCATGATGCTACGTAGGTTCAGAGTTGCCGCCATGCAGCGCGAGTCTTAGACCTGGCAGACATTGCTCAACATGACTGGCACTCCAGCCAGGTCCTTGTCCATACGAAAGGCGACCTTACGCATGGAGTACTGATCGATCTGGCCTCCACCACGCAAACCGTGGACCTGCAGTTTCCCAACTGGTGTCAGAACTTCAACGGCATGCTGCGCGCGCTTCTGTACGGGATAGGAAAGGAGGGGGAGGACCGTCGTCTTGTTGAAAACTATGGACCACCAGATCCCTGGGTTGACAGTCCTACGATCATTCCAATGCCTCCAGGCGAGTCAGAGATGTTGCAGGCGCCTGATCCGTTCCCATTCATCGACCCAGACCCGGAGGAGGAGGAGCCCATTCCTCCTTCTCTGAATATACGGTTCCTCTAGTGATGTGTAGTCACGACAGGTAGACATTTATTGAGAATCTGTTCCGATTTGTGGTTCAGTAGGATTGAAGCATGTCGCACCGCGCGTAGGTCAAATTTTGTCCAAAAAAGTCGCCAAATCCTGAATAAATGTGTTAAATAGAGCAGCGCGGTTATCAAGGTGGAGGCATCTGAAAGAAACTTGAGGAAACTACAGATTTGAGACAAAGGTTCACTTACAATCATTTCCACCTTGAGGTAACCACGTTATGTAGAGCAAAGGAAGCTTTGACCTGGGAGACAAAGGTAAAACACATAGAAAATATTTCTTTCTCCTGCCCGAAGCAATCTGCAAGATTTGAAATCGGCCTCACATGAAACCTAATTGTTGCCAACAGCCATGAAAGAACCTATTGCATAAAGATTGGGGCTTGATTGAACCTACCGCTGGTTTGCTCAACTGTTACTCAGTTCATCTTTGATATGTACCGCCATTTCCCTTCCCCCACATGATAAAATGGCAGACGTTCGGGCCCTACTCGAAGCTAAGTGTTAAGAAGCCCGCATATCCTAGCCCTATGCAACCTACACGACCTCCGGGCAACTCAAATGTTCGATATGCGCGAGCATCGTGAATCACGCCTCCGCGTAGGAGGGCCACCTAGGGAGCAAGGCGCACCAAACGAACATGCTCCGGCTGATGGAGGATGGGAAGAAGAGGCAGCAGGAGGCGCGGTTGGAGAAGAGGGAGATGAACCGGTGCGTAAGAGGTGAAGGGATGGCGGAAATCGCCCTCGGGTGCAAGGTTAATGGTGTTCAGCCTGCACCTGCAAAGGCTGCATTGGCGTCATCACCATTCCCAGCAGACTTCTTCTCAATTCCCGGGCATAGATGTCGGGCCTTGATCCTCTTAATGAGCAAAGGTACTCTCCTTTCCGGACTTCATTCCGTGTGGCGGAGACGTCTCCCCTGAGGGGCTGAAGGGCATGATTGCCCATGCATGAATATGGACGTTCGAGGATCGTTTAAGAATAGCACTAGTTCATAATTCTGTTGATATGTACTTATACAATTCCTTACATGCTTTTGTTAACGGATTTTTTTGTGCAATATGACAGTCACGCACCTTGCTTCAGTGGATGAACATGACCATCTACTAGTATTCATCAGCACAGTAGATAATGTAAGAGGATGTGGTAGGCCGCAATATCCCAAAAGCCCAGCCAGTACTAGACGATTTCTTAACCGATCTCGTGTTCCGCCAGAAGCTGAAAGCCAGGTCAGTCGGAGCTAGATGCTTGGAGGGAGCACAAACCATGTTAGGTATTCCGTTCGAGATTGGGTAGATATGATTGCAATTCGGACATGTCATAGACCCTTCTTCTACGTGGATCTGAGGAAATTTTGGTGCAACTCTTTCGACCGGAGAACGCGACCCACCTCGAGAAGGACGTGATGAAGGTTTTTCAGGAAGTCATCGTCGAGCATTTCCGGTTGCTCGAGAGGTAATGAGGTGTCTCCTAGCTATATGATAATGACTAACAGGGACTCGTATCCAGATTTTCAATCCAGACGTACCTCCCGAGCTGTATCAACCAAAGCTTTCCATTCAATTTTCGGCATGAAACCCTTCAGAAATTGAGGGTTGAAATCGGCTTCTCGGAGCTCCAGCTTCACGTCTTTGAAATGAAGGGGGAAATTGTTGGTATTGCAGCCTTTGGCATGGCATGCGAGCAGGTTGTGGGTGATTAGGCGGACCATGGTGGTTGGACGAAAGAGGGGTCGTCGACGCCAAACAAACAAACCTTTTCTTCCTCAACGTCCATCACTGCGACTACAAAATGAGACCACCATCGCCGTCAATACCAGAGAAGGAATTTCTCTTCAGCGCATTAAAGGAATCCCTGAGGCTCGATGGACGCTTACCTCTCGAAATCCGTACGCCGACTTTCAAATTCGGCGAAGAGCTCGGATGGGTCGAATGCTCACTTGGAAAAACGCGGTATGATCCTCGATATTCTGCGAAATTCGTTGTTTCCTAATATTCGGCACAGAGTCCTCGCACAGGTGGATGGGAAGATGGTGAAACCCCAGCCTGAAAGACCTTTCGAGGGCACAATAACGATCGTCTCCGAAATCTCGCCCATGGCCTCGACTGAATACGAAATTGGACGGTAGGTACGTGATCTATCCCAAGTTCACCTATGACACCCTTTGAACAATGCGACAGGCCCTCAGACGAAGAAGTCACGATTACGCGGATGTTGGATAAGGTCCTGAGGAGGAGCGATGCTGTAGATAAGGAGTCGTTGTGCGTACTGGCTGGACAACGAGTGCGCATCTTCCTTTCCTTCTATGATTCAGGCGTTGAACTTACTGCTTTAGGTGTGGCACATAAGCCTCACGCTCCACTTCCTAGCAGATGCAGGAAATCTCCTTGATTGTGCCTGTCTAGCGGGTATCGTTGCCCTCAAGCACTTCCGGAGACCGGACATCGAGGTGATCGGGGACGAAGTAACAGTGGTATGTCGCATTTCCGTGTTTCTTTGACGTTGGATAAAATTGCGTTTCCTCTTAGCATGAACCCACTGAACGCGCTCCAGTCCCTCTGGCAATCCACCACACGCCATTTTGCTTCACTTTTGCTTTTTTCCCTGATGCAACAACTCCACCAGTCGTCGATCCATCACACTTGGAGCAACGGCTAAGTGCTGGATTGGTTTCGATCGCTCTCAATGCTCAAAAGGAAATCTGTGTCCTGCAAAAGTTGGGTGGAGTGCCGCTCGGTACAGACGATATCCTACGACTTGTGGACGTTGCTGTCGGGAAAGCAAAAGAGATGCACAATCTTGTGGAGGCGCAGTTGCGGGAAGATTGGGCAGGGCGGAAGGTAGAGGTTAGATAGATATTTCTGGCAGAATGTATGCTTCATCTTCCTCAATGAGCACCCGCCCAAGATAATCATCTTCTCAGATTCGTTCCATATGGGTACTTTGCTTGAAGAGTGAGAAGTAGAGTGACGAGTTGAGCTTCGTGAAAGCTTTTCTCACTTGGGCCCCGTCTAGATGCAGGAAGCTGATATGTGCATGGTTGTATCGCCTCGTAATACCACACTCCTGAAGAAGCGAATGACTCTCGTCTCGCCCCAGCAGGAGAGCGAGGCAAAGGTCGCGTCAGATAGGGGTGATCGCGTAATTCGCGCATCACGTGTCCACTCCCCTTCTTACCACCACTCCACTCTCCGAAATTCATAAGAAATTCCAGGTCCTGTTTGTCTTGTCATTCGCATCAAACCCGAGAACCGTCGAGGATGCTGGCTAACTTCAGTCCGAAACTGCAGTTCCTTGGCTTGTCCATGTCAATTACAACCGGCGTAGGAATGTTCTCTCCCCTGCAAGCACTGTGACAAACACTTCGCCCCCATCTAAGCCCTGCGGTTCCTTCCTTCAAAGCTCACGTCCCTGTTCTGCAAGATTCTCTCCCTGTTCCTTACCTCCGCCCCTACATCCTCTTTGTGATCTTGCATTTCGACTGGCTGACAAGAACAACCTCGGTCACATTCTGTGCCCCATGATCTCAGTGCCCAATTCGACTGTCGTAAACGCAGGCGACTCGGATGACTCTCGTCTGTCAAGTTTTAATAGATGGCAGTTTCAGGGGGATTAATAACAAATGACAGCAGAATCGAACCTGCCTCCCCAGATTCTTGAGTTGAAGGCTGTGGAAGGTTGAATGATAGACAGCGCCGACTACGCTATTGGACGCAAAATTGCCTGGGTTTGCGTTACCCTTGGCCTGACCTTCCACCAGAACATCCTCGTTTTACTTAACGCGATTTAACAGCCATGATATTAGATATCGGGCCCAAGTTTGGCGCGAGGACATTATAAAAAACCTGCTGTTTTCATTCGTCCTCCACAACTCGAGCTCAAAGTCCCATTCAGAGCACCAGTGCGACAATGAATAATCAGACTCCTCCCAAAGTCCTCCCTTGTCTCCCCGTGCCCACCATAGACAATAAATACATTCGCTCAGAGCGTCCGCTTTCCTATCAATGGCGCTTCACTCCAGTCCCAACTCAACCGCTCAACAACCATGGCTACCCAGAACCATGACCGCGGGTACAGAATACCCAATACCTGCAGTAATGAACTTGATGTTCTTCAAGGTGCGACCATCACGAAGCCCACGCGTGAAGGTTTGAGCATATATGCATGTCAACAGTCCAAAAACGTGACGTAGGTATGTAGAGGAGGAAATCATGGTCCGGTTCATGGTCTGGTCTTTGCCAACTTGTCCACATGCCAGATCTTGACACTCTTGTCCGCCATAGCATCCAGCCCAGCGGGCGTTATAGGCGTATCCGAAGGACCCGAGTACAGAGAGTATCGAGGCAGGCAGGAAACACTAAGGCATGGTCTCAAAAGGGAGGTGCGTGTAAAAATGAAGGTGCGTACCTTTTTGAAAGGGTATCAAGTGCGTTAATTGCATTTTCCTCGAACTTATCTATACTTTCAGCGAGAGCGCACTTTTGCAAATCATCATATGCTTGCTTGGCAAGGGCGAGCCCGTTTTCCCATGCTGTGAGGGAAGGACGAACATGACTCGAAGCTCCCTTACTCTGCTACACCGACAGCGTCAGAATCACATTGGGACCGTGTACCAGGTCATGCTCACTTTGGCACCAGATGATGATGCAAGAATTGAGGGCTTGTCCGCCATTTGATGTATCGGCGAGGAACCTTTGTCTGAGGACTAGAGAAAAATGAGGGACTGTGAAACGGCGATCATGGAAGCACGCACATCCCACTCTGACCCCTTGCCTTGCTAAGTGCAACAGTTGCCTCGAGAGATTCCAGATATCCCAACATTAAGACACTGAAAATCTTGTTCGCCACTAGGAAGGTGTTGGAACGTTTCATGGAAATGCAAAGAATGTGGCTGTTGACTTACCAGGTATCATATCGCCGCAAAACAGTTCTCGTATTACGTTTGCAAATAGGACGTCATCTTTGTAGAAAGACCTCTCGATGGGATCAAAGGAGTAGAAGTGGAAGAGTGTGAGATCAGTCAGAAGGCCATAGACCCGCAGACCGGTGTACTTCAACTTCTTGTTTGCTTCTGCGGCGGCTGCAAGAAGGATCGTCAAATCAACTCAAAAGAAAAACCAACTAAACACGTCAAAAACACGTACATAAGAGTTCAAGAAACAGCTGGGCTGTACAATCTTTATCCAAAAGTAGCTTCATCTCAACAACGAAGAACAAAGCCCTGCCCACGACAATGATCTGGGAGTATCTATTAATTAATTGGAAGCCTGCGAAGCAGAGAAAGGCTAGCAGGTCCTTACCTCATGCTCAACTGCACCGCCGGATGAATATATCGTAGGAACCATGGCGGATTCAGGCAAGTCAACCACTCTGCCTTCGAAAAGAGCAATAATGGGAACCAACCACTACACTTGCGTGAGTACACATATTTTGAGCATAAGAACTTGCTCACCGGCTCTAGTAATTTGATTCTAGCGGCTTCCCGGTCCTGCTGAGTTTTTTCTCGATAGACATCCATGGCTCGCCAGCCATCCTTGAACATTGCTCTATGCATCGATAGCGGAAGCATGCATGATGGTGGTGAGAAGCTTTCAAGTAGTAGGTCATCCACCTTATCCGGCAGGTCAAGTTGAGGAGCCACTTCGGCCCACTTAGCAGATGAGAAAGACGGGAGAGTTAATCTGCTCTTCTTAATTTGCTGGTCCGTGATGCTGGCTTGTTGGGCAATGTAGGCCAACACGGCTGCAGCCTGGTCTGGTTCTAAGGTCTTCAACGCATCCGTCATTTTGGTATCCAAGTCATTCGGAAGAATTTCAAGGGCATCTTGGAGTAAGTCTCTGGGGCGCTTTGGGGTCATGATGAGGTTGTCACAAGAAACATGAGTCTCACGGGCCAAAATCAATCAGATATTTACATAATAAAGAGGCTGTGCAGCACCCAGAGGCTCGGAAGTGACCAGTCGCTTAATTTCCTTTGTGCAAGCAACTTTAGCCACAGGATATGTGATTCATGGCTCTTTCCCTATGGTTCCTTATGAGTTTGGGAGAAAAAGTGACAACTAACATTGGACATGCCAAATCTAAAATATTAAGAGACAAGGCGGCTTAGATAATAATGTTACATAATCCAACCAATGATGAGAACACGTCTTCAATACCGCGTTCGGCCCGGTAACAGACCAACAATGGTAGTGGTCCAAAGCGATTTTCTCGCCGAATTTGAGACCGTTTGACTTCATTCTTTTTGGCGCATGTAGGTTAGATCAATTACCGGGCCGGGCACAGTACTCCTGAGATGAGACATGTGACAGTGTTAAACCCCGTGGTAAGCGAAGCTTGTACAAATTGTACGAGAGCAGTACTTGGTCGAATGGCCTTCTACTTTGAACAGGCCGGAAATGCTAAATTAGGCATCCAAGCCACCGAACACCGGACAGTCGTGATCTAGCACGGCATAGGAGCATCAATTATATCGAAGGATTCCCTCAGTTCAATCGCAGTCATAGGAAGGGCTGGGATAGAACGGATAGTTAAACGAGGGGCGATGGAAGTTGACCTACCACTCGTTAACTCGAATAGGAGATTTTCCCGACAACCCTTAAGCCAAAGAGGTTCTCGTGAATCGAGTGTCCGGTTATAAAGGTGTCTGAACGTTCAGAGGAACGAGACCTTCGTAAATTACCGGGATGTACACGACAGGTGTAAAGAGCAGTATCCTAGACTTTCACCTGCTTTGCCTGTCTCTGTGGAGAAATGTCAGAATTCATGGCATGGCACACACTCATCACAAGACTCACGTATCCAGCTCCCTCAAAATCATATTTAATCCCAGCCCGAGCTAATTTTTCCTTCCTCTCCAGTTGTCGCTTCAACAATCGGTTCGTGGCACGTTGCTGTTCCACTTCGGTGCGAAGCTGGAGAATATCTATGAGTCAGATATGCTCACCTCTTGAGGGTAAAGGCGCATTACTTTGTTCTGTTGAGCACGCGTTACTCGTGCCGCAGGAACCTTCCGCCATTTCCGGTTGGCCCCAACCCATAATTCAGGATGAACCTCGTCCTTGGGGATCAGCTTACAACGTAGTATATGACCCATTAGCAAGTAGTTGTCCATCGTCTCGGCGACGATCTTGGCGACCGCGGATGAATCGAATTCGATGAAACCGTAGTGTTTGGATCGTCCATTCTACGAAGCGACACAGAAAATGAGAAAGGTTGGTCGAAGAAACAAAAAATGACCTACCTTCTTGTTGCGCGACAAGCGTAGACGCGTAATGTCGCCGAACTGTGAGAAGTACGCTTTTAGTTGGTCCTCGTAGAATCCATGTGGGAGACGACCGAGGAAAAGGACGCCGCGATCTTCTGTCTGAAAACGAGTCAATACCAAGTGAGTCTAATATGTGTGAGGGTACTCACTGGCTCCCGCTTAGCTTTCTCCAACTTCATTTTGACCGTTGCGTCGTCCTTCGCGACCGTAGGCAGTTTTCCAACGTCAAGTCCGGTAGGCTCGTCGTCCATAGCGTCGTCTTCGTCCGAGGAGTCCTCGTCCGTCGAGAAGCCGTGAAGCTGGTCGTCATCAGAGTCTTCATCCGACTCTTTGGCCCCGTCGCCATCTCCTTCCTCCTCATCTTCAGAAGCAGAAGGTTCGGGTTCTGGTGTAGGTGTCTTCGCAGTTTTTTTCATGCCTCCAACCGATTCCGTGTCTGAATCTACTGTCCTTTTTGCTGCTTTCTTAGGCTTTTTGGAGGGCACCTCATCTTTCTTTGCCTTTTTGGATGCCTTAGGGCGTTCCTTCGATGAAGAATTTTCGTTGTCGTCCTCTTTCTTTCGCTTCAAGGCTTTGGCGGGTTTGGAAGAAGATTCTGGTTTAGAGGAGATCACAACAGATGGTTTGGGCTTCGAACCAGACTTGGCAGACCTTTTGGACTTTTTATCAGTACTCAGAGGTGCCATGATTCGCCCAGGTACGGAAAGCAACAGAGCGATTGGGAGGGGGAGTGTTGAGGATTACTGAACGTCGATCAAACTCTGAAAATATCTGTTGAGAAAAGAAGGGTCGTTGAGCAACAGACCACAACAACACTCTTGAGATGATACCACGCTACAGAAACCCCCATTTCCTGCTTCAGCAATTTGAGCCTGCTACTCGGGCTGAACTCTACGCCGACGGTGCCTCCGAACAATTTCAAGATGATGAGGCCGCTTTGGAACGTCTCCAACATCTCGTTCGCGGTACCATTCAGCAGGACTTCGTTGAATTGTCGCCATCTCGGAGACAGGTAGCTGTTGAGGAGTCTAATGCAGATCCAGTGCGTATGTGAGATTTTTGGACCAGTTCGCAGCACCCATATAACTTGGTTCTAGCTTTCCGACTAGTGTCCTCAACTCTACCGCCTTATTTAATCTCCCTTGAACCACCACCACCGCCACCTCCCAAGTCTGTGCGAGTTTTCTGGTATCTGGACGTGTAAATTCACGTATGGTTCAGGACACGGGAACCAGAGATTGAAGACAATGACGAACAAGCTCTTGTTCGTAGACAACGGGCGGAGGCCGCTTCTATCAACGCCGAAGACATCCTTCTGGCAGCACTCGTGTCTGAGGTATTTCTCAATCATTTTCCCCTGCGCTGCTTCTTTTCAGGAACATCTTAGAGTAATGCACGCACAAAAAAGTCGCCACTAAAGATGAACGCGTCATTTGAAATCCCTGCACCTCCAATAATGATCTTGCGATCTGAACACGAGCTCCGCAAGACGCGGCCGCCTGTATCTCCGGAAAAGCTTGCGCGCTTTCCATACGTCCGTGATAAACCCAGTGCTCTTTCAAACGCGACGGCGCAAAAGCACGCATACATACCGGTCATTGACGCCGAGGTTGGAGATGCCAATGGTCCGAAAAAGCGACGCAGGCAGAGGAAGACCGATTCGAAGAAAGTCCGGCCTCCACCTCAATTCTGGAGACCAGACCCTTCGTGGACGGGGCCATGCATGGGATACGCGTACGGATACCCAAGCAGCTTTTCTGTGATGAGTGGATACAAGAGAGAGGATAGATGGCAGTACAAGCGAGATAATAGCATGACCGGAAGGCCCCTGTAATTACTCGGCTTTATTGATTGAACACGCATTTGCCAAACACTACGCGTTCGAAGACCAAGTCGAAGTCTTGGACTGATCAACCAACTCGCGTCCCTCGACTGCATATTCACTCTCCAGCACGCCTTCTTCGTCTTTGTGATCACCAACGAAAGGAACCCCCAGGCCGTTTATCTACAAATTCTCAGTCGCACCGCAATGACCTCTACTCCTCCGCCCCCCAATCCCTTTGCTGTACCTCCGATGCCGCGGCTGCCCTCTCCGTCAGGCTCAAGGCCCAGGGGTTCAATTGGCTCTAGTTTCTCTTTTGGTCCACAGAGTCTCGTGGATTCGTACATGGATGCAAATTCCAGCACGATGTCCAATCCCAACGCCGCTCTCGACCCCAACCGTTCCGTTCTATTAACCTCGCCACTGAGATCTCCGCGCAAACACAAGAGAGGCAAATCGAGTACCAGCCGGCACCCTCATCCCTTGGCAAATGATACCACGGACGTGTTTCAAGACTCAGAAGACGACGCAGATAATGAGAGCGAGTACGAGTGGGGAATGGTCGATCGTATGAGATTGTGGCGGCACGACGCGTTAATGCAACACCTCTATGACACTGCTACGTTCTGGGGAGATAAGATTCTTAGCTGGACAAGTACGTCGCGTCTTGTTTTTGTCTTCGCTGTGTTGAACGCGTTTTCCGTAAAGATGACGCAAATGATGCATTCTGGCTTGCACAGACCTATTTCATGACACATCAATACGCCCGTGCTGAGCGTTTACTTACCCGCCCATTTCCTACCACACCACCGAAACGACCAGTCTCGGTCTCGCCAACACCTCCAGCAAATGGACACCTTCCTAGTCAACCTTCGAAAGGAAAAGGTCGTGAATACGACGCTTCACAGCTCATGCTGTCGATGCCTCGACTACCTATGGGTCCCGGTGGCATGATTGAACTACCGGAAGAGATGCAGGACCGCGTGTCTCGTTTGGTTGATATGAGTGTGGCATGCAGATACCTTGCAGCCCTATGTCAGGTTGGTAATCCTGTTGCTTGACTTGTTGTCATTGCCTCATCCATGACCGTAGTTTCGACAAGGAAATTGGGATGCTTCGATGGAAATGCTGGGAGAATCGAATCCATTCCACAAAGCCGGTATGAGCCAAGAACAAATGCAATTTTCCGCGAACTGACTAGAGACAAAAGCTCAAGATGGAGTCGTTATTCCTAACGCGGACGCCGGCATTAAAGTACGGAGATTTTCACTCGTCCTTGTTTATGACTGACAGTATATTTCAGGTAGAAGCCTCCATGTGCCATCTTCGAGGGTGCCTCTATCAGAAACTCAATCGTATAGCCCAAGCCAAGCAAGCCTTCACAGAGGCTCTTGCTCTCGATGTCAAATGCTACGAATCTTTTGAACAGCTGATATCCACGGAAATGATGACCCCGGACGAAGGTATAAACCTTGTTTTCAAATCTCGAAACGTGCCAATTGATGTTCCTATCAGAGTGGGAGTTCGTGCAAGGATTAGCATATGCCACCCAAACACCTCAGGATGCACAATTCGTGCAGCTCATATACACCTCACGCTTACGAAAGTTCCAACACGCCGCTGAGCATGCACTTACTCGACAACGATTGGTCGACGAGTACGGTTTAGGCGACAATCCAGATGTGCTATTTAGTTTCGCAGATGCCCTCTATGCAAACTTCCGCTGGGCAGACTGCTTTGTGATGACAACAAGGTTTGTTTAATCCCTGTCTTTCTCTTTCTATAGATTGTCTAATAGCCTTTGAAAATTTTCCAGAATCCTCGGTCTTGTGGCCATCCACAGTCAAACCATGCCGCTGCACATCGCATGCATGTACCATCTATCACATCTCCATTCAAAGCTTTTCGTCCTCGCCCACGAGATGGTGGAACGCGAACCTGAAAACGCCGTCAGCTGGTATGCTGTGGCGGTATGGTACTTGAGTGGACAGAAATGGCCACAGGCACGCCAATACTTCAGGTCAGGACTGGTTTCAAGTACCCTAGTACCCTTGACTTGTATTGACTCCGCCGCCACAGCAAGACAACTTTAATGGATCCTCGTTTTGCTCCAGCATGGGTAGCCTTTGCCCACACGTTCGCACTCGAAGGAGAGCATGACCATGCCGTGACTGCGTATTCAACGTGTTCCAGGATGTTTACGGGGTACGTCCGCTGAAACGAATCAACAGCTCCTGCATGCTAATCCGTACACGCAAGGTCACATATGCCATTGCTATTTGTTGGCATGGAGCAGATAATGCTATCAAACTTCGGTCTCGCGGACGAGGCCCTCGACGCTGCGGCCTCGATGTGTGACGGAGATCCGCTCTTGATTAATGAGAGAGCAGTCATGGCCTATAATCATGGAGAGTAAGTGCTAGCTCCGCGTCGGATTGAAGTTTTCGGGCCCGACGCAATCTGACCTTGGGGCCGTACAGCTTTGAAAAAGCCGCGAAGATGTTCCAAACGGCATTAGATCTAGCGCAAGTGACCCAGACGTCTCAAAAAGCCTGGGCAACGACTTATCTCAACCTCGGAACGGCATACCGAAAGCTTAAGTCAGTGCCTATCCTAACCTTCTGCGCCTCCGTGACTCATCTTTTTTTTTTTTTCCTTTGGGCAGGCGGTATGAGGAAGCTCGGGTGGCCTATGTTAAGGTGTTAGAGCTGGACCCACGTCACTCGGTCGCCCTAGGTTTCCTCGGGATCGTTCACCACTTGATGGGCAATTTGGACAAGGCCATTGTCAAGTACCATGAGGTGGGTTTCTGCTCTAGGCTGTGCTCACGCACGTTCTGAATACACCTTTCCTCTATCGCAAGGCACTGAGCATTGATCCTATCAATCCCCACATTCTGGAGCTTCTGAACATCGCCCTGGAGTCCTCACTGCTCCCGACTAAGGCCGCTGAGGTTGACTTCAAGAACGCTGTGAAGTTGCTGAAGAACAAATTCAGTCGTCATCATAGTGGGAAGGGCAAAGAGAAGGCCCCAGATGACATGAGCATTGATTGAGAACCGCACACCGGAATATATGCGTATTATTCTATAGATGAATGCACGCATGTCGGTGAAATTCTTTCTTTGCCCTTGCAGCAAGACGCAAACGGAGAGACCCGGCCTCAACCATGAAATGGGATTCCAAATGGCGTTTATATTTAGATGAGTATCATTATATGGATTACATTTTGGTGGATAAGTACAGTGGTACATGAGTAAAAGCGTGGATAGAATGCTGGCAGACGTGTCCGTGTCTATGGAACCGGAGAGTAGTCTAACTAGCGATAGCAGCGGGGTTTGTGATAATTCCACCAGCTGGACCTCTGACGAAGCCCTCTTGATCTTCGTTAGAGAGGTCTTCGAGAGACTTTCCTTTTGTCTCAGGTAGCAGGAGAGTAGAGAAGATGCCGGTCAACATGAAGAAAGCAAAGATCTCGAGACTAGCGAACAAAAATCAGAAATTTGGCAGACGTAAAAGAGTTCTAAGAGATGCTTACATGTGCTTCACAAATTTGTTCGGGCCACCAATATCCTTCAGCTGGCTGAAGCCGACTTGTGCGACGATGGCTCCGAGTTTTCCACTGGCAGCAGAGATGCCGTGGGCAGTCGAACGGTAGCGGGTAGGGAAGATTTCTCCAGGAATGACGAAGGTCGTGACGTTAGGACCAAAGTTCTGGAAGAAGTTGGCGAGGCAGTAAAGGAACACAAACGCCTTGGTGGATGCGGCGGTGGCGACGAGCTTGTCGTAACCGAAGCCTGGACTCAACGGTCAGCTCCTCCGATTCAGATGTTCGGACAAATTAACTGACCAAGGATAACGAAGAGGATAGTCAGGACGATGAAACCCATGAGTTGGATGGGCTTGCGACCCCAGGAATCGATGAACAGGAAAGAGACCCAGTATCCGGGAATCAGGCCAGCAGCTGACAGAATAAGGTTGCCGACGGAAATATTGTTCAAATTGTCGTAGACCCCCCTGACGCCGGTCGTAGAGGGCTTTCCGAAACCAGTGGCTTGCAAGATGATAGCGGAGTTGAGGCCAAGGCCATAGAAGGCAATCTATGTGCCATTTATATCAGAAAAGGCGCCGAGGGCAAGAAACGAAAGCGTACGTCGAGAGCAAACCACGAATACGAGGTTCCGAAGATAATCTTGAAGTTCTTCCACTGTCCGAAGTAGGTGGTGAAGTCGTTCCAGCTCGCCTTGGGGGCTTCAATGCGCTGAACAGGTGCATCCTCGTCGAGATTACTCCTGCGGTTGGTGAGGACGTTCTTGATGTCAGCGGACGCTTGGTCGATGTTGCGTTCGATATCCATGGTAAAACGGGGGGTTTCGGGAATAGTCAGACGGAAGTAGAGGGCGACTACGCCGGGCACACATCCGAGACCGATGAGGAGACGCCACATGTAATCGACAGCGTCGAGCTCTTCGACGGACGGCGTGGAAAGGATGGCACTCTTGTAGGCGGCGGTAATAATAAAGGCAACCAAGGCAGCAGCTATAAGGCGCATAAGGACGCCGTAGAGACAGGTGAAAACGACACTTACTGAAGTTGCCCCAGCCTTGCGAAGCGAACACAGCGGTCATCATGCGACCACGAATCTTCGTGGACGCGAATTCAGAGGAGATAACGGCGCTAAGAGGATAATCGCCTCCAATGCCAATACCCATCTACTCGAGCAGGTAAACCAAGAATAAGATTTAAAAAGTCGAAACTTACGATGAAGCGCCAGACGATCAAAACGCCGACGATGTGGACGGCGGCGGCATTTCCGGACAGAGCTTGGGCGAAAGTCGCGACAATGATGATAAGTAGTTCTACACCGTCTGGAAAGGAAGATTAGATCAACTGCCGTGAGGATAGCGATGTGCCATGACGTACACATTCTCTTTCGTCCGACCAGATCTGCCAACCAACCGAAGAGAATTTGACCAACCAAGGTGCCGACAGGAGTGGCTACTTTGACACCGAGATCCTGTTGCTTGTTGAGACCTTTGTGATCTGAACGCACGTTTGTGAGACTTGTGATGCCCAAGCTCTGGAGATACACAGGGTCCATACCTGGTCCATAAACGTATCCCAGCATCACGGAGGCGATGTTAATTGCGAAGATATCGTAGCTGTTGAAGAAACCGTTGAGCTCGCTGGAAAGACAGGGCTGAAGGACTAAGGGCATACGCATCGGTGAAGAAACCAACACCGGCGACGAGACAGACTTTGGCATGGAACCAACTGAAGAAGAGGGTCAGTGTGCGCACGTTGCTGATATGCTGAGGACGTACGAAAACTTGGCATTGTCAACTTCAGCCAAAGCAGCTCGGCGTCGCTCGTCTAAGACATAAGCAGCATCAACACGAGCAAGGACCTTTTCTTGCGATCCGTTGCTTGATCCTTTCTCCTGGAAGCTAGCCATTGCGTCGACGAGAGGAAAAGGAGAAAAAAAAGACAAGCAGAAGTGAGGGCTCCTGAAAAGCGATTACGGGAGGCCATTCCGCTTTTATAAGAAGAACATTTTTTCTGAGCGCCGTCAGCAAGGTTAAGGCAGTATGGCGGCTGTAGGAACGTTCGTGGGGAGTGGCCAATCAGGATCGCAGGAGGAGTTGTGGGCCGACGCATGTGTGCTAGAATTTCCATTCCCGGCGTGTCTAGATCACGGCAAGGTGCGACTCCAATCTCCGTCTCCATTGTCTCTATCTAATCTCTCTCCTGCAGGTGCGGGTCGTCGAGCATAAACGTACCAAAAAGCTCTATGCTCTCAAATACATCGACAAAGCCCGTTGTCTTCGACAGAAGGCCGTTGCCAACATCATTCAAGAACGAAGGCTCCTTGAGGAGGTGTGTCGATAGTCGGTGGCCTCGATGTCTCAACCACTCATGCCACTCATTCAAGATTGATCACCCATTTGTTGTAAATTTGCGCTATGCCTTTCAAGACGACGAGAACTGTTTCTTTGTACTAGACTTAATGTTGGGCGGTGACTTGCGTTGTAAGGGAAAACTTCCTTCTCGGGTGTGCCTGAAGCTGACCAATGCCCTCAGTTCATCTCGAGCGCAAGGGTTACATTCAAGAAGAGGTGGTTCGTTTCTGGATGGCGGAGCTTTCTTGCGCACTGGAATACCTACACCGACAGCGGATAATTCATCGGTATGTCGCACCTCCTATGCCACTCACCGCCTCCTAATGTCCCCCATAGTGACCTGAAACCCGACAACATTCTCCTGGATGCAATGGGTCACGCCCATATCACAGACTTCAACGTTGCTATCCACTATTCTGAACGACGCCTGCATACCAGTGTGGCTGGCAGCATGGCCTATATGGCCCCCCAAGTTGTCAACAAGAAGGGTTATTCATGGCAGATCGATTGGTGGAGCCTTGGGATTACCGCCTACGAACTGCTCTTCCACAAGCGACCGTTTGATGGACGCAATTCGGAGAAAATGACCCAGTCCATTATGAAAGACCCGTTACAATTCCCAGAAGATGCGACAACGCGGTGTAGCGACCATGGCATTATGGCATTGAAAGGAGTGAGTACTTCCTGGCGCCTCTGTTGCAATTTGCTCATCCTCTCTAGTTTATTGATCGCGATCCAGCAACACGCTTGGGCTGCCGACCCAATGGGCAGGGAATTGAAGACATCCGGCATCACCCTTGGTTTTTGGGCATTGACTGGGATGCCCTGGAAGGCAAAGAATCACAGCCTCCATTTGTTCCCGACGTGTGTTGTCAACCTCTCCTCCCGTCCAAGTTACTGACATGCGGCTTTGCAGATGAAACAGGCCAACTTTGATGTAACACACGAACTGGACGAGTTTTTGATGGTCGAGAAGCCTTTGACTCATTCAAAACGGAAAGCCAATCCCGACCTCGATAAGATGAAGCCTGAACTACGGCAACTTGAGGAGCAGTAAGTTATGACTTTCTTGAACGAACATCAAACTGATTATTCTGCATGAAGATTCACCGTATATGACTTTAGCAGCATGAACCGCATGTCCTACTACCCACACAACCAGCCCATTGTTGCTATCGGTACAGAATCTGACAACACAGACCGGACGCTGGCGCAATCAACCACAGGCACCATTGTCCCGACAGCAACAATCGTGGAACGGTCTCAAGCTGGCTCTCCCATATTTGAGAGCTGTGATCATCATCCGATACCTTCAATGCCAAATGGGACACATGGTTACGTCGCGTCATGATTTCCATGATCTTTCGTATGTCATTAGGCGTCTTGTCCCCTGCCACTCCACTAACGCGGCCTGTGATTCTAAATCATTTTCTCTTAACCAGAGTTTGATTATCTTTATACCAAGCTAATTACCTACTAGTGGGCCCTTCGAACTAATTATCCATTGCGAGATATGGAACAGCATATTGTGCCTCTACTCTTAGTCCTTCGACTTCCAGCACATCCTATTACTGTGTTGTTCAGTTTCTCGGCAGGTTACCAACTGGTTACTCCTTCTCTTTATGGCTTCACGGATGATCATTACGCATTCCCATCTTGCATTCATTCAGCGCTGGCTCGCCAGCAACTTTACACACGACCATCTTCATTCTCCCAGCATGTGTACTTGTAGATGTCAATTTTAGTCACGCGGACCAAATTATGTGAACCAGAGGGAAACACGGCCTCATGTACTCAACGAGGGCGCTAAAGAAGGTGCCTCTGTACCACCTCTTTTCTTCCTTTACCCGGCCTATTCAACCCCAGACCTGTAATTCAAGCCGGATGGGACTGATCCAATCCAGGTGCATGCGGCTTTCTAAATCTGTCCTGCCCTCGTCTTCATACTCTACCATCACCACACCTTCAGGTTCGCAAGACAAATGTCAGCCGACGCGCCGCCCTCCCCACGAACAAGCGAAGCGTCTGACTCTGAGGCCGACGAAAGATTCTTCGTTCGCCTTGATAAAGACATCAAACCGATCGCAGAGTTTTACGCGAATAACATTTTGAAGCCGGCACCACCAGCAAAAGTTCGTCGCAAACACGACCCTGCTCTCTTGGAACGCGTATCGCTGTAGTACGTCTCATTTCTATTGCCCTGGCTTGATTGGGCTTAGCAAGGACGCGTTAGTCAAGGTGATATCACCAAGGTGGATGTGGACGCAGTTGTCAACGCTGCGAATCGCAGCCTTCTAGGTCCGTTGAAGTTATACTTCATGAAAGGGCACCTTACCAGGAGCTCTGATATTTAAACCTTAGGCGGTGGAGGTGGTATGTGCTCCCTGATTTTGGCCCTTCGCCAGCAACTCAGACCGACTTTCTAGTCGATGGAGCTATCCATGCAGCAGCTGGTCCTAAGCTCTACGACGAATGTCAGTAGATGGTCGCATACCGCGGCGTAAGTACCTAGGTGCTCATGGACCCTTCCTAGGTCGCGAACTAAACGGATGCTCTACTGGAGAATCAAAGATCACGAAGGGTTATAATCTGCCAGCGTACGTGTTCACCAGCCAGTCCTATTGTCCGTGATTCTAACAAATGTTCAGCCGCCACGTTATCCACACAGTTGGGCCCGTGTACTCCACGAGAGACAAGGAAGAAAAGGCCGAGCAGTTAGCTTCATGCTACAAGACGAGTATGCAGTTGGCAGTGGAGAACACCATTAGGCATGTTGTACGTCTATCAAACCCTCTTTATTCCGGTTGTAGCTATTGACCTTCTGATGTGCTTGTGCCACCAGGCTTTCCCATCGATCTCCACCGGCATCTACTCGTATCCGATTGTTGATGCAACCAGAATCGCATTGGACACTGTGAGAACCTTCATCGAGTCGGAAGAGGGTGCCAAGGTGCGTCCTCTCTAATTGATATCCGAGATAAACATACATAGCGCTTATCGATTCGTTCAGATCGAGAGGGTCATTTTTGTAGTCTGGAGCAACAAAGACAAGGAGGTGTATGAGTGATTTCTACGTCCCATGCTGCACATTGTGCATGCGCTCACACAAGCGACGGTAACACAGGTCACTCATCCCCGAGTATTTCCCTCCAGGCGAGAAGCCGCAGGAAGTTGAGCCAGCAGCTGAACAAGAGTAGATTCAATCACCCAGGGCCCCATGGAAGTAGCATTGTACCCGATTCACCTTCCTTTCTGTCAGTTGTTAACATCTACTGAAATTTTTGATCCCACCATGTATTTTAGTGACCGCGCCGCCCATCGAATCCGTGAATATAATTTGACTTCATCTCGATTCGAAGATGACCCCTCTATGTTTCGAGGCACCTATCGCCTTCGACTTACAGCTGTCCTACGACCCTCTAGCGAGGCTTGTTTTAAGCATCTTCGGACAGCCGTGTATACTTTGGTTGACTTATGGAGACACTCTTCTCCAACCATCACCGGCCCGTTTCTGTGCTTCTTCATGTGTCTTCCGTGGCAGCGACCTATTCTCGTGATCATGACCCCCAACTATCTTCGTGATGTCCCCCCGTAGATTCTCCGTCTGTTTGAAGACTCCAAGTCTAGACATAAAAGCAGAGAAGGAATGCACGCGTTCCTGTTCATCCTCTCGCTCTGTCTGCCACGTCTAACACCGTCGAAAATGGGCTTGCTATACAACATATTTGTCGCGCTCTTTTCGTCAATAGGTGGGTCTCGTGGGTTTACGCACCAGGTATTCGATGTTTATTTGTTCCATTTAGGGGCCTTTTTATTCGGGTGGGTGTCGCCCAAGTCATGCTGTTAGCCAGGTATTCATGTAGACCCCTCTTACTAGCTATGACAGGTAGGCAGCCGTGGTATATCCTAGTCCAGCCGACTGACCAAAACGAACTAGTGGGATTATCGCTTCCGTCATTACCATGGATCATTATATCGCACATTTTGGTAACGACGCTGACATCAAAGGGGCAGTGGTCTCGACATTCAATGGTCTGAAAACATAGAAGTATTTTTCAAATCTGACGATATCCTATAGGTGGCTGCTTCCTTGGCGCTGCTGGTGCCGGATGGTGCGTAATGACAGTTATCACTGTTGTGTGCATGACGTGTAACAAGTCCATGAACAGGAGTAACGACAGATTTGGACGCAAAAGGACCATTCAAGTACGTTGGTGTATGGTGTGATCAAAAGCAACAGAGATGACCTTTGTCGAAAAAGATTGGATGTATCATCGCCCTTTGGGGTTGCGCCATGCAGACGGGGGCAAATAATGTCGCAACCTTGCTTACTGGGCGTATCATTGCTGGTGTCGCCATTGGGTAAAAAATCTGCATCCTGACTCTCTTCGACATTATTAATTTGGTGAACGGCAGAGTTCTGTCTATGACGGTGCCTTTATACAATGTAAGATGGCTTTCTTTCTCTTTCTTCGCTGCGACGCTGACAACACCTTTTAGACTGAAGTGGCACCTCCGAAGATTCGTGGATTTCTAGTGGGTTTAACCCAGCAGATGTTGGGAATCGGTTTTATCGTGGCCAACTGGGTAAGTTAATTTGACAGTTGGTTTCTTTTCGTACTCATGCAGCCATAGGTCGGGTACGGCTCACAATACATCAAGTCGGATGCTTCCTGGAGGCTACCTCTTGGCTTACAGGTTGGTTTGCTGTCGAAAGAAGTTTTCTTCACTTTGACTTTCAGCTAGATGGCCCCTGCTGGACTGCTTTTGGTTGGCACTCAGTTCCTACCGTACAGTCCTGTAAGTCAGAATCCTCTCGGATCCATTGTCTCGTGGCTCAACCGCTGCACGATACGCCAAAGCGGTGGCTTCTGGAAGTGGGAAGAGATGATGAAGCTCGCGCAGTCGTATTACAGTTGCACAACAACGACCAGATCTCTGCAGACAAGGAGTACACACAGATGTACGAAACAATTAAGGCAGAACTATCCGTCAAGAGTAGCCGTCTAAGCGACCTATGCGGCACTCGCGCAATGAGATGGCGTACATTTGTTGCGATGGGCGTGCAAATTTTCTGCCAGTTCACGGGAATTAATGGTCGGTTATAAATCTCGTCTGGTGTCTCAGGGCTTACTGACCATGATCTCTACAGTGATCAATTACTATGGTCCGGACATGTACAAGAGCCTGGGTATAATAGGCGGAAAGGCTCTGCTGGTCCAAGGGTCAGTGCTTTCTTAGCGATAAACCAACGTTTTTGAAATCAATTCCCTTCAGAATATACGGCGCTGTCGGCCCAATTGCCAACTTATTGTTCGTGCCCGTTGTGCTGCAGCGCGTAGTCCGCGACTGATCTCTTGTTTGAAGCTTCATCATTTTCATTCTCGACAGAGTAGGACGAAAGAAGCCTCTTCTTTTTGGAGCTGGAAGTCTTGTAGTTACGTTCTCCATCCTCGCCGCCATCCTCGCCACAAACCCTGTCGGCTCTGCTGACTCCAGCATCTCAGCCCAAAGGTCGGGATCCGAGTTCAAGATAGCGTCGATACATCAATTTAACTTGAAATCGAAGGGCTGGTATCGCAATGATATTCTTGACAAGTATATTCTTCTCCTTAAGCTTTGGCCCTGTCAGTTGGGTTCTGGCTTCCGAGGTGAGTCCTGTGGCGAGCCGTCATCGATCAGTGGAAAGTCACCTCGGACGACGTTGCAGGTTTTCCCTACAAGCACTCGCGCAATCGGAACCAGTGTGGCAACTTGTTCTAACTGGGTGTGTAGACTTAATTTGAAATTTCATGAATAATTCGTTAAGGTTCTTCATTCGTGAAGGCCTTCAATACTCTTCTTTCCCAGGCACGTGTTTCCTATGCAGCAATACTAGCAACCTCCTGCTACCTTTGATCTTGAAGGTTGCTCCTATTGGGATTCAAAGAGTGGGATGGAGATTTTACATGCTCTTTGTTTGTTTGAATCTCGTCGACTTCCTCTTGATCGCCTCCTTTTTCCCCGAAACAAAAGGTACGAAATGACCGCCTATCACTCAATGCAAACCTTGTTAAGATGTGGTACAGGAAAATCTCTTGAAGATATGAACGTGATATTTGGAGACGCTCCCACTACCATGTCTTACAGCCCCGACCACTCTCCCGCGAAAGGGTCCGACTTGGATGAGAAAATTGCTTAGACGAAGCATGAGTGGACGCTGAGGGAGAAGCGGGCCGGAACCAAGGCAACTTACGTGACGTCACAGGTTGGAATAGTTGCTTTTCACCGTTCCCACTGCTTGACCTTAACCGTCACTGCCCGACTTGATCCACAAAGCGACGCATATTTCTTCTTCCTATGCTTAAGTACGCGTAACGCGTCAAAAACGTTGTCTAAGTCCTTTACATCATATTGCGTCCTCGAAGTACATTTCCGACTTTCAGACAACAACTGACTCCTTGAGGACATGAACCAAGTCGTCAACTTATACGCATCTGAACGAGAAGCGGAGGTGTTCATTTCTGCTCATGAACGACTTTTGTTGTATTAATATGGATATTCAGGCAATTTCATCGAAGGCTTCACGGGCTGAATTTTCCAAGGATTACGATCAGGCGTTCAAGCTCTATATCAAAGCCGCAGAAGCTTTCCTTCATCTGAGCCGGGTGACTGGCGCCACTGATACGGCTACGCAGCGGTGGAAATCTAGTGCTAACAAGTCTCTTGAACGTGCAGAGAAAATCAAGAGATTTGTCGAGGCCTCTCGGCGAGCCGTAATCCCCCCGTCCAATTCAGACCAACAACCGGCTGCAGAACTCCATTTAACGCCTGTTGCCATTGACCATTTCTCCCATCGTGAGCTCTGGAGTGCGTGCTATTACTATGAGCTGACTCGCGTCTAGAGGAGCAACTCTACGTGCTGAAAAGAGGAAGCCATGTAAATGGCCTTATTTTTCCGCTGTGGGACGATCCTATATCGATGCCAAATTGCCAGAGTGTGGGTTATATGTGCGTTTATTCCAGACATTCCATCCAGGATTATTCCATCTAACTTCATGGCCAGCGATCCTGACGGACAACCAAAGCTTTCACCTGATCAAGAGAGGGTCTCTCCTATTTGGCGGCGACCAGGATTCACTCTCCTGAGTCCTGCAACAACCAAACCCAGTCGACGTATCTTACCGCAAGAGATATTGCAGCATGTCGTGACCGATTGCTCCGTCTGCGCGTCTATATCTGTGTGTCTCGAGCATGGTCGAAGATTCGGCTCTACTGTAAGTAAGGAAAGCGAAAACCACCAATTCTTGTTCATGCCGCCCAGCTCGCAGAGTCGTCGGTACGAAGTCTATCCGACGGACAACAAGTTAATGGGCGATATGATATTCGCATTTTGTTCAACGGTGCATGGCGTCGAGTGCGTCGAACTTCAAACTCGATTGATCATAACTAAGTCGGATCACTCTTCGTGCTTCAGATAGGTGAGGTTTCCCCCATCAATCAACTCTTCGCCTCATTCCAAGGATTTCTAGTTGTCGACGACCAGCTGCCTTTCCATCCAACAGAAGGCACTGTGATGTGTATGTCTATTTTATCGCCCAAATCGACGGAAGCCCCGGATGTCGAGGAGGCACCGCTCTGGCCGAGTCTTTTAGAAAAGGCTGTAGGGAACCGTCCTCGTGTTTCGTTGCACTCGGGTTTTGACCTCATCCCTAGTATATGAAGCTCATGGGCGGCTACGACTTTCCAGGATCGTAAGTCATTCGTTCGCCCCTGTGGGCCAACCTCACAGCGTAAACAGAAACTCGAGCATCGATCTCCAGTAGGCATCTTGTCTCACTACACAGAATGCATGGACTAAGTGCGCTAGTGCGCTTGCTGGCTGGATACCGGAGCATATAGAAACCAAAAGGTCATTAGGCCTTCTCTTTCCGAAATCGCCGCCTATCTCATTGGAAATCCTTTCAGGTCCCATTTTGAGAGGGAGAAAACATGGGAACGTATAGAAAGCGGGTTCTCTGCAGGTACACATATCAAGCTGGCGTGTCACCGGACAGGTTGACTTCATTGCGTGATTGGGACAGGTCAATGTGTTGTGACTCTGGGAACTGGTCCGACCCCCTACACCCACTGGCGAGACACGGCCCTCTTGCCATCTCATAGTTATGCTGTGATCGGTGAGATTCATTTCCTAAAATACAAGCCAGACCCTGATTCTTTGATGAAGATGCGTATGAATCGGAAGAAGGACGCATGTTTACAGTGCTGGATTCCTGGGTCGGGTCAGACGCAGATCACAACGGAACATCTAGTAAGTCCGAGAAGCCTTGCAATAAGTCGAGTTCCTGACTGGGGGGCAGGGGCACTGCACATCCCTTGGTCGGAAGTGCTCAATACATTCGACGGGGTATACCTGAGCTGGGATCCAGATCTGTGGAGAAAAAAGCTGATCTTTCACGGGTGTGTGCTTCGTTGAGTGCTTATTGAGGGAGAATGTTCATTCATCAACCTTCGAAGGATGTGGAGACGCACTAGAGAAAGCGAAAGCGGTATATGTCTGCCCATTTCGTTGCTCGGTCAAAATTTGAATCGATTCATAGGTATTAGGCATTTGCGAGTGGAGTTTAAAAACGACTCTCTCCTTGAAGAAGAGATATGGATCTTGTTAACTCGACACACGGCCGATACACTTCGGATTTCAGATTTTATTTCTTTGCACGTCGAAATAGAGGATGAGGCTATCTCCGGCGTAAATGCTGTTGAGAATCAACATATCCTTGCTTCCAAGGTCTGTCTGCATTCGGTCACCAGATTCTTAAACTGAGCTGTGCTTGGTAGAGCACCTACACCAACAGCACTCACGTCTTGGTACCCCACATATTTTTTAATTAGCGCAAAGCTTATTGTCTCCTAGGTCCGAACTCGTATTTCACCTTCGCAGAAATCTGGTATACTGTCAATATCGGCGTCCTATGAAGGAAAAGCTCAGGAGGTCGGATTTACACTGACCACATATGCTCGGGAAGCTATCAAGACGGCTTGGATCGAGCATACTCCAACACCTCCATATACAGAGACAGTGTGTAGTGTTGTTTGCACCATATTCTCTTCACTGATCAGGTTCAATTAAGGTCGAAGTGACTTTATCATCCAAAAATGCTGGTGGAAATTGCACATACCCAAGTTTCATGGTCAATCCACAGTATCGTCTCGCTCTCAAGTCAACAAGAGGCAGATCCGACAAGGCGAAAGTGACGCTCACCATCAAGGCAGGGAAAGATGTGCCAGTCAACGTGGCTATGGTGTGGTCCCAGGGCCAGAGGGTCTCGGAGTAAGGGGTTGTGTACTTCAATTGTGCCATTCATCTAGAGTCTTCTTTAGGCTTGCAGAGAAAGATCTGGTTGCTACTTCAGGAGCATATAGCTACGGGTTTGCAAGAGTTACAAAAGATATCTCGCGTACGTCTCGACTACTTCAGTCCATTCTTACCCTCACCATGCAGTAACAGCGGGTGAATACACTATAATCGCGTCTGCCTTTGAACCCCATCACATGGGAATGTTTTCCTTGAAAATTGATTCCTCTCATCCCTTTGACTTCAAGCCCATACCGCAAGAGGGTGCCGGGATGTATAGCAAAACTGTACGAGGATCATGGCAAGTCATTCTCTTCACCACCAGAACTGAACTGACACGGGCCGTCTTCCAGGGAGGGGGAATCTGCCGCTGGGGCTCCGTCTTTCAACAAATATTTCAAAAACCCAATATACGAGCTCGTTGTTCCTTCTACGACTCGGTTAAAGTGTGTCAGCCGACTGTATTCAGTGGATTACTCGCTGAAATAGTAACAGGATTCGCCTCCAGCTTTTGCAACCCACGACTGCAGTCTCACTCAATGTAACAATGTACTCCCAGTTGCCCAATGATGTCACCCAACCTTTGGGACACCAGCGGCAGATCGTGACCTCCGGCGCATATGATGATGCTATCTCGGGAGTCGCAACACCTGAAGCCGTGGTAGGGCCAGGGAAGTATTGCATTGTTCCGTCGACGTATAACCCAGGGCTGGAGACTGAGTTTCGATTCATCGTGTATTCCAGCGTCGCGGGCATCAAGTTGGCATCAGTAGGGCGCAGGACCTAGCTAACATCGACTCGGGGGCTTGTGCGGAAAGACGGTGGGCTGAGCAGAAATTCATTGACGCGCTTGAGAGTCGCTCGAGATGGATTCGCCTGTGGCCTACTGGCTATTATCCATTCAAGCCTGGTGCGGATGCTATTCTTGCTGAAAGCTGTTTCAAGATTAGAAGAAACAAATTGTAATTAATTAATGATGTACCTTTCGCAGTCATATCCTTCTCGAAAGAAACGGTCCCCAGGTCTCTGAAGGTTCCATCGTCCCTGAAGAATAATTGCAAGGCAGCAAGGGCAACGCCGACACTCAAGTCTTTCCCAGATTCGCAAGCGATGCACACAGTTTCTCCGTTATGTAAGTGTTCGCGAATAAACCTGGACGTCGTAGGTAGAACAATTCGCAGAAAATGTGCTTGACCCCTCTTTCCCGCTAGGACTGGGACATAGAGCTTGTGGCGATTCGAGGGTGGAGGTTCTGCGCTGGGCGTCAAAGTCACATAGACATCGGCAAGCCCTACGGGATGGGGTAGCGACGCCGGGACATCTGTCAATGTGCAAATAAGAACTCGGCCTTCAACCCTTTCTATGGGAGTTGGGGATTTTATCTCAGAAGGAAATGATGAGGCTTCTTGAGATACGATGGCGGACACAAGTTCAGGCAACTCTAAACGACCTGCTGACAGCAAATTATCGCGGTGTGTCCAGAACATTGCTGGAGTCAAGCCCTAGACATATGGTCAACAAACTAATTGGTGGCGCAGGGGGAGCATACACACCATACCCCAAAGCTCATGATCATCTCCTGACCCTTGAACATATGAAAACCCACTTGTACGCCGTTCGACGCCCTGGTCAACTTGTCTCGAGGCAGACACACATACAACAGGAAGAAATTCGCGCTGTCCAGCTCGTACGTCCGGAAATCTTGGGAAGGCGGAGCTAGCAGGAGTTATCCACAATGGTCTTAAAGGACCAGGCAACACTGGCAGCTCAAAAGAGGAGGCCTGCATGACCGTGTCAACTATCAGAATGGTAGGAAGGTTGGTGAGTCCTTACCGCTAAAACATGAGCCCACCTGTCGAGGCGCAGCTCAATTTGATGATGTTCTTGCATACTGACAGCTACTGGGGGGGTGTATAGAGAGATATCCCAGGAGAGGTGTTCTCTGTCACGAATTTGTTCCGGATGGCGGATAAGCAAAGCTCGATTGATTACTGCACACCATATCGGCACGGTTTTTGACAGAGCATCGGGGATGCGTTTCCCTGCACGAGTAGAATCGATTAGAATTATGCTAGTGACTGTCAACGAAGATGGCATGGGCGACTCGACAAGAGTTAAGCTCACCCGTAGCATTTGAGAATCAGAGGAAGTAAATGAAGATTGGCGCGACGAAGGTTGAAGCTCCAATTGTTGAAATGCCCATCGGTGGACTTGAAGTAGGCGGGAACATCAGTGGCCTAATAAGAAGTCAACATCCATTTTCGAGCAACGGTTTTCTGAGTAGACTCACTAATGAAGGGTCTGTGTACCAAGCCCCACACCGCAGATTTGCTGCCCCTTTAAGGTCAATAGCATTTATTGTTGGAAGACATGTTCACGAACGCAGGAACGGCGTGTCTTTGTACGCGGCATGCACTCGTTTTACGAACTCGACATCTTCTTCGATAGAATGAAGTCGATTGAATATATCGAGAGATTCTCTCCTAATGTATTCGAGAGGGTTGGAATTGTCGGGCAGCGTATCATTACGAAGGGCCATGCAGGTGTCCCGGTGGTTGGCGGGCTGTAAAAGCACGCGCTCTGGAGACGCGATTGTCGTGGAAGCAGATCAAGGTTGTGCATATTACGTAACGCCTCAGTCTCTGCGCCTCAGTCTCTGCGCCTCTGCGCTCAACCCCAACTCGAACACGACACCCACATCATTTCCGCATACAAAAAGGCCCAGAAGGACACTTACTTCCATATGCAATGGCTTTCAGTCCAATCGGACTGCAAAGACTTCCTGTCGAGGTACGCAACTTTTTGTCTTGCGACATTATTACACTGCCAACTTTTTTTTTCTTCTTTACAGCTGCTTTACGAGGTTGAACTTTATGCGCTGTCGGAAAATCTCCCTCTCGTTTCCAGCCACTTTTACGATGTGTACAAGAATGCACCGTTGTTCTTTCATGCCCAATATATTCTTGGCCGCGTTATTACCAGTGCCGATCTTGACCTGTCCGAGGTCTACACCCGAGCACTTCACTATCCTCTCTGCCATCTTCGGGTCCTCGAGATGATCCACAGCTTGCTTCATGATCGCCGCCCCTCAAAATCACGCATGCAACTACCACGCCGGCTATTTCGCTCGTTGATTCGACCACAAAATGGATGGACAAACCACGATGAACCCATCCCTCTCCTCCAGTACCTTTATCATACTCCAAATATACCTCCGATCGACACCAACGCCAACGATGGATATGCTCTAACAAGGGCTGTACACGCCAAGTTTCTGCCTCTCGTTCAGTTTCTTCTCGACCACCAGGCTTCACCTAACTGTCGTGAAGGCCTTGCCTTGAAGGTCGCTATTCGACATAAGAGTCTCGATATGTTCAAGATGCTTGTTGAACGGCAGCCAGGTTCCAAGCGCAGAGGCAAGAAACAGAAGATGGAGGATAGGGTTCTTCTGGACTCAAATGTTCTCAAGGTTGCTGTCATGTCGGATGCCCGAGATGTCGTCGAGTATCTCTATCGAGAGAAGGGTGTGGTACCCGATGTACAAACCCTGAAGAGAATAATATCCTTGTAATCAACTTGTGATCGTAAGTGTCAATGTAGATTCCGACACATAAAACTGGAATTTTGATTTATGGTTTTGGCTACCTAAGACTGTTATTTGAATGCATCTACCTATTCGACTCTCAAGACTGGGTGCAAGGCTGGCGGATATGACGGGCTCATTCGCTTTTGTCCGTCTGACCCGTGTCAAGACCCGGTCTCTGACATGTCTCGAGAGCGTTCAGATGTTGATCGAACTCCTGGTACGTAAAAGTTGCTTCATAGGACCTTGAACGCGCTATCTGATTTAGAAAAAGGTCGGAAAGATTCAACTGCGAGTGTGAAAGTCAGATTCTGACAATCTCACAATTGCGCAAAAACCAATCTCCACAAGTCCGGACAGCGGTCTCCCATAAAAGAGCAAAGCATCTCAAGATATCGCCTGCGTTGGCAGTGGAGAATAAACCGACTTCTAATTCACGTCGAGTTACATGCAGTAAACGAGACAATGACAGAGTCAATAAACTAGGGTAAAACAACAATGAAAATGAAATTAAAGAAATGCTCGTAAAGTCATCGATGGCAAGTAGTGCCGAAACGTAGATGGGTCGTTAGATATCATCGATATCAACCTCTCCTTCGTCTCCGAACTCGAACGTGCATTCTCCGTCCTCCTCCCCGAAAGTATCCGTCTCGTTGATTTTAGCGTTTTCGGGGAGTTCGCCATAGGCTTTCACTTTGGGGTCGCAGAAGATTATGAATAAGGGTATATAAAATTTCATGGAAAGACACGTACGATTACGTGCCTCATCGGCAGTGTACTTGACAATGACATCGGCCTTGTCATCTTGGAAATCTCGCAGCGAGAGTAGGACGATATCCCCTTGGTTAATCCAGACCTACGAATGCATCGGAGTATTAGCTTAAGTCTCGAAAACAGGGCTTTCTGCAGACGCACCTTTTTCCGCATCTTCCCTCGAATATGTGCTAAGCGCTTCTCTCCGTCGAAACATTGAGCCTCAATACGGCCATTTCCCAGCATCTTCGTCACTTGGGCGTACTCTTGCCCATCTTCCCGGAAGACCAGCTCGCGCTTGTCGTCGTCGTTCTCGTTCTTTCCACGTCTCCTGTTTTTACCACCCTTACAACAGCAAGATGAATCATACGTGTCTGTGAGGCTGATCATTCGCAACACACCTTTCCCTTATTCTGAAAATGAAGTCAGTTAGCTGTCCTTTGTGAATGGGGCTCTCTGAGCCATACCTTCGGCATGATGTACTGACTGTTTTTGTGCCTCTGCTTTACGGAGGCAGAGAGGTTGTGACGGTTGGGCGAGCGCCGTGGAGGAGGTTAAGCGGTGGAGAGAATCGATGGGCGTTATCAAATCTAACACTTTTGTTGACTCGATGCTGACAAATATCTTGATCAAGGTCCGTTGAGGGCCCCTAGACTGGCCTTTGACTGGCCTTCTTCCATTCTTCGCTTCCTGTTCTACTCGTACTGCCCTCAGCCCCTTTACATTTTTTTTGCCAAGAACTCGAAGCTGGCATTTGGGTGGCATCCTTCTCGGCGTCTTGCTCCCAGAAGATCCGATCTTATCTTATCTGACAGTGGCTTGAAACTGGGAGTCGCTGCGAGTGCTCTTCAAGTGCTCTTTCTCCGGATTCATGATGCCGAGGAAGATAACTCTCCTCGTCATAAACCCCAACTCTTCCGAGTCTGTCACAGACGGTCTTCAAGACGTCCTTGTACCACCACCTGGCGTGGTCCTCGAGTTCTACACCGGTCCGGGGAACGCACCGGCACAAATCATGGATACGACCACTGGTGTCCTCAGTGCCGCAAGATGCTTCGAAGACATGGTATCTGAACACCTCGTCGAGAAATATGATGGTTTTCTTGTCTGCTGCTGTGAGTAAGTGGCACTTAAGTGGCACTTGAGATTATCTAATGTCTGATTCTTCATCAGTCTCTGACCATCCACTAACACACCTGCTCCGCGAGAACACCAGGAAATCGGTAGTAAATATCCTCGAAGCTGCCATTACTCAGTCACTCTTGATTGGAGAGCGATTTGGCATTATCACCACTGGCTTCGGGTATAAATACATCTATCACAAGGATGTACGTAATTTTTTCGGCGCGACGTCAGAACGTTTTGCGGGGCTAGTAACAACTGGGCTGGAGGTTTTGGAACTGAGAGAAGGAGATCGTGTTCACGTCGAAAGTCTGATCAAGGAAGGAGCGGCCAGCATTGCGGCCAAGGGAGCTGATGTTATCATTCTTGGTTGCGCAGGTAAGAGCTGTTGTTGCTTGACCTGTCGTCCGATTCTCAGTTGTCCTTGTGGTAGGAATGGCAGGAATGGAAGAAGTCGTTAAACAGGGAGTGGTAGAAGCAGGTCTGCCACCTGTCCGAATAGTTGATGGAGCTAAAGCTGGAGTGCAAATCCTGGCAGGTTTAGCAAGGTTAGAAACTTGAACGCCATGGAGCATAGAGTTTCAGGGTGTTCTCTCGGAGCAAAGAAGCAATCGCCAAAGTAGTGCCTAAGCTAACATTTCTGGATAAAAATCCTCGAGCTCTCCGGATCCGTCGAGTCGAATGCTAGTTGTAAACACGAAAGGTAGTCATTTATATATAATACATTCCAATTTATGGCTCAGGAGAACTTGAACATATCCATGGAGGCGATTAAGTAGATAAGCTGGGTATCAATAATATTCGAGGCGCCTTATTTCGGTACGCGCTACATATAACCACGTGACGTTCCCAGTTGAAAGTGACGCTCACTGGCTTGTTCGACGCTGTCAACTCTGTTCATCGCCTCTTTCCACCTGACAAAAATGGCAGATGTCCGCGCCCTGCTCAAAGCCAAACGCCAAGAAGTCCGCATATCCCATCCCTACGCGACCTACACCACTTCCGGTCAACTCAAATGTTCGATATGCGCGAGCATCGTGAAGCACGCCTCCGCGTGGGAGGGCCACCTGGGGAGCAAGGCGCACCGGACGAACATCCTGCGGCTGAGGGAGGAGGAAAAGAGGCAGCAGGAGGCGCGGTTGGCGAAGGAGAGGGAGGAGGAGTTGGCGAGGGAAAGGGAGGAGGAAGAGCAGGAGGAGGAACCGGAACCTGCGGTGGAAGAGGTGAAGGGAAAGCGGAAATCTCCCTCGAGTGCAGAGGCGGGGGCAAACCATATTGACAAGAAGCGCAAGGTTGAGGGTGTTCAACCTGCGCCTGCAAAGGCCGCGTCCACGTCGTCGTTCCCAGCAGACTTCTTCTCAGATCCCAACCACGCACCTGTGCTACTCTCGGAGGATGACGAGGACGAGGACGAAGACAAACCAACAGCAGAACCTACAAAATCCAAACCCCATGAACCCGCATCTGTCGTCGATCTGGAATACGAGCGCTTCCAGCGCGAGTTGCTGGCCAGTGCACCAGCTGCAGATCCTTCAGAGACGTTCGCCCGCGCGACGGTGTACGCTGAGCCAGTCATTGTGTCAACGGAGACCGCTGGGCTGCCTCCAGATGCAGGTGGTGCAGCGGAGGTACAGGAGGCACCAGAGCCGACGGAGGAGGAGCTCAGGCGGAAGAAGGAGCAAGAAGAGAGGGAGCTGATCATGGACAGGCTGCTGGAGGAGGAAAGGGCACAGGAAGACGCCGATACGCGTGTTCAGGCGCTCAAGAACAAACTCGAGGGCCTGCGGAAGAGACGAGAAGCAAAGAAGACGAAAGCGAAGAGCTGAAAGGTATATCTACTATGATAGAATAATGCTATAATACAGGATCTGTCTGACTACTGCCTAGTTCGCAGTCACCGCGGCAGGTTTTTTCTCCTTGCCCTCCTCTTCGTGCTTCGTGACCCCGAACCACTCTAGCCACTCCATGCCCTGCTTGTGGAACATCATGAGCCCGAGCATGACGGGGAGGTACCACAGACTATGCTGGAAGACCGTTCGTGCCTCTTTCTCGCCGCCTTTCCGCCAGAATCTCCATGCAGCGCGGACGCAGATGAGGTTGGGACCTAATGATGTAAGTGCGAACATCCATGTGGTGAGCCCGGAGAGGGGCGCGGCTATGGAGAGGACAGGGACGAGGAGGAGGGCGTGTCGGAGAGAGACAAGGGCGTTTTTGGGCGGATTGAAGACGGAGAGCATGCGATAGCCAGCTTGGGCGTAGGAGTCGCGTACGATATAGGATAGCGAGTTGAAATGAGGGAATTGCCAGCAATATAACAGCATGAACAAGGTGAAGGGTGATAGAGGATTGTCGATGAGGGAGAGGTCGAGGGGCGGGGCGGTCCCGTCGGTAAGGAACGGAGGGAGGAAGAGCTGGATTGGGTTGTCGGCACTGGGTAGGAGCTTGCCCCCGCACGCCGTCCATCCCATGAGCGGGGGCAGGCCACCCACGACGGAGCCAACCCAGGTGTTCGCAATGGATTTCCGCTTCATCCAGGTATATGCGCCAGCGTAGAGCGCGATGTTGGCTGCTCCGAGGCAGGCGGTCGTCGGGTTCACCATCGTCCACAGGAGCGCGGGTCCTGCGATGCCAGTGGCGATGGCGAAGCCCGTCGCGTGCAGAGGGCTAATTGCCCGCCGGACGAGAGGTCTTGCACGTGTCCGCGCCATTTGTGCGTCGAACGGGACTTCCTGGATCTGGTTAAGGGTGTTTGCGGAGGCGGAGCAGAGCGCTGTGCCTACCGCCGTAGACAGCAACACAGGCAGTGTCGTCGGCAGCGGCGACAGCGCGACACTCGACATGGCGCTGAGCACGACGAGGACAGTTAGTCTAGTCTTTGCGAGCTGTGTGTAGACCTTGAGGAGCCTCGGGGCTGTTAATGCCTCTAGAGGCTTGTAGGTTGGGGCTATCGGGGCCGCTGGGTGGAACTTTGCGGAGAATCGAGTCTGTGTGCGCCACTGAGCATTGTGGAAGAAATACGAGGTGAAGGCGGGGCGGGCGACGACGCGCTGCATGAGGAGGAGAGGGTAACCCAATTCAGGCGGAGTCTGAAAAAAGCTGTGAGCCAGCAGCTCCGTAGTCTCTGTCCTTGACGCTCACCACCATGCCTGGCACTCACCTTCTACCCCCTAACCTCCTCAAGCTATTCGCGCCACGGCCGCCACTCCCCTATGCCCGCCCCGTCGACAAGGACATCGACCGCGTCACAAAAAAGAACGTCGCTGGCGTCGCCGGCATCCTCGCGCAGCTGAAGGAGGCAAACACCGACACTCTGTTCAACACTGGCGCTGAAGGGATGGAGGAGGGCGAGGAGCCCGTCTTCACCCACGCAGAAGAAACAAAGCGTCAGATTCGCCGTGAAGAGCGCAAGGCGAAGAGGATAGAACTCTTCAAGCTCGCCAAGGAGACCTGTCAGTATCTTGCCGTTCTCTCATTTTGCCCTTGCTGATGGCTTGAATGCTTTCTAGACAAACCTACTGACGATGGAGAGGCTGTCGGTGATCCCTATAAGACACTATTTATCTCACGTTTGGTATGGACATTCTTCATTTTGCTGTATGCGTTTAACTCATCTCTACGCAGCATAAAGCAGCCGCAGAAACCGATTTGAGACGCGAATTCGAAGGCTATGGAACCATCGAACGGGTGAGAATCGTACGCGACAAGAAAGGTCGCAGCAGGGGATACGCCTTTATCGTCTACGAACGGGAGAGGGACATGAAAGGTTTGCCATTTCTCCCTATTCTCTCCTGCTAATCGTGCTTCAACTTTTGTCTATTTTTTTCTCAGCTGCATACAAAGAATCCGACGGCCTGCAAATCATGGGTAAGCGAATTCTCGTTGACGTCGAACGAGGCAGGACCGTCCGTGGCTGGAAACCACGTCGCCTCGGCGGTGGTCTCGGTGGTCGTCCCAAACGGCCAGATCCCGTTGCAGCCGCTCCTCCCCCAAGAGGAGGAGGCGGTGGTGGCGGCGGTTTCAGAGGTGGCTTCGGCGGAGGGCGAGGTGGGTTTGGTGACAGAGGCGGAGGGTTCAGAGGCGGTCGTGGCGGTTTCGGCGGTGGGGATAGGGGACGGGGTGGCTTTGGAGGGGGCGACCGCGGGTATGGTGATCGAGGCGGCTTCGGCGACCGGGGAGGAGGAGGAGACAGGGGTGGCGGTGGTTTCCGTGGCAGCTTCAACGGTGGGGGCGACAGCGGCTTCAGAGGTGGACGAGACGGTGGTGGTGGCGGTTTTAGGTATACATCACTTGCCATCTATCAGAAATCTGACATACTGACCTTGGACAGGGGACGCGGGGGCGGAGGCATTGGCTACCAGGGCGGCAGTGGCGGATTCGGCGACGGCCAATCGAATGGGTATGGTCCTCCTCCATCTGGCTCGGGTGGGTTTGGTGGGCCGCCAGGGGGAGGGTATGGAGGAGGGGGCGGCTTCCGTGGTGATCTCAAGCGCGAAGGTTCAAATGGGTATGATGACCGTGATTCTAAACGGCCCAGATACTAGGCATGCATGCACATCTCAGCCCTCTCGTTCGTGTGGGTTGAAGGTATCCGTATTTTTTTCTCTTCTCTCTCTTCCTGTCGAGCCAAAGCGGCTATGATGGGTAGGTGCTGTTTTATGGTGCAAGTATCCGCCAGGTTTTGTTTTATTATTGCTGCTGTTCGTAAGTATATGTGGTCCCTCTGGGATATGTTATGGCAAGGCATTTCACTCGATTCTGGCTCTGGACGTGTTGACTTTGCAGTGACAGACTCGATTGATAATTACATGCTGTTGTGCGAGTCAGCGCGGGCGCGGGCGCGATGACTTTGCGTGGAAATGCACTCAACGTGGGTACGGATGGGAAGTCGATTGTGGCGATGCTGGGAGTCGTCGATCCCTTCGGTCCCGACCCTTGACGCCACGCGAGACTAGGACAGGGACATTCTTCTCTCGCCCCCTGTTCGTGTAAGCACGCATTTCTTCCCTTGAAGTATGTACGCTCAAATGTGCACGTTCTGTCCGAGTACTCTGCTCTGTTGAGCGCAAAAATGCGCCGTCTGTTTTTTTGAGCGCAAGAAAAGCCCGAACCAAGTGGAGGTAAATCCTGGGATTTGGCGGATCCGCATAAGGAAGGCTGGAAGGCTTGCAGGGCTGCGCGCACGACATATTTCCTCTCTTGATGGCCAGCCTCATGTTGTCCGTGGCAACCACTCCTCCATCCGTGACTCGCCCGCCCGACCCCCGTCTTGTTTGTCTGCTCCCACGGAACTCGTTCTCACAGGCTCTCGAGTCGTGTTTCATTATTTTTATGCAGGCTCACGGCGACCTAAATTGTGTCCAGTTGATGTTCAGACGATGACGTAGAACCGATGTGCTCATTAGAGACATGTACAGAATGAGAGATCCATCGTGAACTGCGCTGACCTGGTCCGAACTCGCCAGGTCCGCCAAGGCCCCAACACCCCGGCCATGTCCTCCATTTCACCTCTCTCCAGTGTCCACCGTGCCCCCCGCCCCCTCTGCCTCCTACCCCCACTCGCGTATCCCGACTCTCGCGCGTCGCCCAACGCGTCCGCCGCCCCAATCTCTCGCCTCGAGCAAACGCGACTCCTTCGGGCATTGGCCCTGTTACCTTGCCAGCAGGCTTCCCTCTTTTGGTTCCTAGATCTGATCGAGGTTCGTTGCAGCACTTTGCCTCCAGATCATGAAACCCTTTCAGGCCTCACCTGCTTTTAGGCCGAACGCGTCCACCCGCCCCCGCCCTCTTTCACTTTCTCCATTGTTCTCTATTTCTGCTTCCTACATTAACCTCGCTCTTTCTTGCACAGTAATTTTCTTCCCCCGCTCTCCTCCTTGCCCGTCGGACCTCCCGCTGCGGGCCCCCCTGCTGTCCGGTTACAGTTGTCCTCTTGTGACGCGTTCAAATCTGGCTGCCGCTGTAACAGTGAGCCGTCCAGTCTGGGATTTCCAAACGGGATGTAAGTCGTGTTTTTTTTACCGGTTCTTGCTTTCAGATTATCGATCTTATTATCTACTCCAGCCAAAGACATGGCGCAACACTCCGGTTTCGCTCGACACCAGCGTGCATCTCTCCAGCTTGATCCCGTGTACGCCCAGACGGATGGAGGATCTACCTACGCGTCTCCTGCTTCCTCCTCCGCTATGCTCTCTCCGGCCTCTGCTGTTCTCCCGAGCTCTCAAGAGGGCGACGAAGATAAGGAGCCCTCCTCCGGCCCGCAAAGGTCCTCCTCGACCTCCGGCAAAGCCGACAAAGAGAAACGGAAACGGTCTCGTGTCACCCCCGAGCAGCTCATCCATCTGGAACGCTTTTTCGCGATGGACAGGAGCCCGACTGCGGCCAAACGGAAAGACATCAGCAACCTCCTCGGCATGCAGGAGCGCCAGACGCAAATATGGTTCCAAAATCGGTGCGTCCTCCGCCGTCTCTGCGAGGATTTTCCTGACCTCTCTACCGTCGTCAGTCGCGCAAAGGCGAAGCTTCAAGACGGGAAATTCAGCAAGAGCGATCCCTCAGAGATTTCTCCTGAAAGCCCGCCGGAGCTCCCGAACGTTCTCGAGATCGATCTCAACGATTTAATCCACGAAGACGAACGTAAGTCAACCAGCTTCTTTTACTGAATACTGATTCTTACATCCGTTCTCTTGACATCAGCCGTCACCTTTGTACCCTGCACCGACCTGACAGTTGGAACCTGGCGTCGCATTGCCACGTCTGCAACGACCAAGCACGACCTCGTCGCGTATGTCTGCGAACGCAAACGGTGCTTGACATGGTTCCTACTTTCTGGCGGATGTGGCTACAAGATGGAGCTCCCGTTCCACACGATCATCAATACGGAGTTCCAGAATGCCAGTGCTAACCATGGCATGGCGTCGTTTACGCTCTCCCAGCCGCCTTTGTTCTATCTCGAGACTGTTTCGTCTCCTCAACCCGACGGCTCTGTCATGCGCGGCTGGAAGAGATGCGCAGACTGGACGGAAAACACGCAAGCGACCCAAGTTCTACTGCATACGGTGATTGGATCCGTCGTTCAGCTTGCCTATGTTTTGCGAGCCTTGCACAAAAATAACACGATGCCGGACAGACGGGCTTCCTACCATGGAGAGACGCACATGCCACCTATGGAGCTGCCTCCTCCACCTATGGCGGCCCTGACCGCTGGGGCTACCTACGGGTACTCGAACACCGCGGGGTTGAACTCTGTTCAATTCGAACCCAGTCGCAAGCGACTATCCTACGAGTCCGGCATGCAAGTGGACCCACAGTACGCTGACGGTGATCTCCGTTCACCTCAGCACATCGCACCTATTTCAAACCTGCCAACACATCCCTATATGCCCGCCACTAATAATCAGTCAGTACCCAACACCCCCACCCCTAATTTCGACCCGGCTGTGTACCACAATTACCAATCCAGCCTGCAGGCAGCATCGAGGATCCCCACTCCGCCAGAGCAGCCGGCGCAACAGCAACCGGCATACCCGAGCCATAACCCTCGCGCGTTGCATCCTTACCAGCACCCGCTGGATGGCCAGATGGCCCAAGACCCCGCGGTGCCGATGGGCATGAACTATTCGCCCTCGCGGTCGCTGCTCATGAGTCCGTACTATCCCGACACGACTCGCCGTTTCTCCGAGGTGCCGCAGCCCCATTCCCCGCAGGTTTTGGCGGGCATGCCTGGTATCATATACAACGCCGAGGCGGACTACCGTCGCCGGCGATCTGAGTAATTTTTTCTTTTCTTTTCTTATATCTCATTTGGTATTCTACCGTCTAGGGGTCACCGCAGCAGCGGTGTATAATATCACCTAATGTGTTACCACTTCTCCGTCAGTCTGTACGCATCGATTCCACGTTGTTATCTTTCGTTCATACACTAGTTGATCCCCTGCATGGGTATTACTTGTATTCACATCATAGTTCTTTTACTAGCATTTACTACTTACATAGGGTCCACGAATAAAGCTTTATTGCATATGCAAGAATGATTCGGCGCTCTAGGATGCTCTAACATAAGGTGGAATTAGGCATTAAGATGTAGGATTATGATACATTCGAGAATCCCCCGTTCTGTTGTCCCTCTCTCTCCCTGGTGAGTCTAGCAGTGTAAGTCCTACTCACGATGGTAACTGCAAGGGATGTTCGTCAGCCATTGTATCAAATAAGCCAGAGTTATACGCACAGACTTCCATGTAACGGTCAAGACACCTCGAAAGACATGTCTGTCGAGAGAATGACGCGTGTCAGAGTAGACCGAGGTATATGGGAAAGGCGACACACCTGTTCTGAACTCGAGAGAGAATCCCCTGGCTTCGTCACGCATTTCGCAAAGCAACGCTCTCCAGCTTTCTAAGGAGAAACACAGCATAAGGCTCGTTATTGTCGGCCAGGAAGAGACAGGGCCATACGTTCATGAGTTCTTGGGCGTTCGCGAGTGCCAGCTCGTTGCGGACTTGGTTCATAACGGCTTCCTTTTTGGCAGTCATGTCTAGCAACAAGGACATTGCCTTAGTGCTCCCAGAAACATGAGCTGACGTGCTTACCTGCGGGAGTTGATGAGGAACCACGAGAGAGAAAGTCGGCCATGGTGGGTGTGTAGCGAAGATGCTTTGCCGACGTCGCGTCTCCCAAATTTCGTTCCGCTTCCGCTTCCCAAATAGTCAATAGAGGTCAGGTGACCTCGCAAAGATTGTAAGCTGAAAAATATAAGTCTCCTTGAACTCTACCCACAATCTCGTATTCATGGGCGCGCGAGAATCTACAGCCCGGAATACACAAGAGGATGCAGGGGGAAGCTCCACCGTCGTCGACTACTATGAGCTGTTGGAAATAGCTGAAGATGCTTCGCAAGAGGAGATCAAGGTACTTTCTTCCCATTCTGTTCACCAACGAGATGAAGCACTGAATACCCTTCGAAGCGTTCTTTTCGTCGTCTGGCTTTGATTCACCATCCAGACAAAAATCAGGACAACATCGAGGAGGCAACACGCAAGTTCGCGGCCTTGCAACAAGCCTACGAGGTCAGCTCGCTTGCCATCTACATAACCACACTGCAATGAGAAGCCGATGAATGCGATCAGGTACTCAGCGATGAGCAGGTAAGCCTCCGTGATGTCGGTTCTCCTTTCTCATTTTATACGATTCCACAAGTAGGAGCGGGCTTGGTACGATTCGCACAAGGCATCCCTTGTGCCAGAGCCAGACGCGGAAACCGTATTCGAAGACATCCGCAAAGGTGTCAACCCGTCAAATCGGGCTCGCGACAGGGGACTTACAGTCCGGCATTTGGCTCGTTTCTCTGACACCGCGGCGTGGAGCACCCTCGATGACGGGGATAACGTGAGTCTACTTGTTCTCCCGCACTTCATCACCGACGTACGCACTCCTATCAGAGCTTTTTCACCATTTATCGTAACTTGTTCTTAAGACTGGCGACAGAAGAGGCGCAATGGGCTTCGGAAACCGACTACCCATCTTTTGGACAATCCACCTGGCCCTGGTCTATCACGAAGCAAGAGGGCCTCGACTGCGCCAGGAATTTTTACGCGGTCTGGATGAACTTTTCAACGGAGAAAGATTTTTCCTGGACAGACCCATGGAATATCTCAGAGGCGCCGGATAGACGAGTTCGGAGGTCCGTATTTCGCGCCTTTTTGCTAGGCCAGATCTGCTGAACCCCAGTTCACTAGGCTCATGGAGAAGGATAATAAGAAAGCTCGTGACGACGCTCGTCGAGAGTATAACGATACCATTCGCGTACGTAAATCTTCAGGTGGAAGCGAGGCCTCCTAACATTGGGTTAATTTTAGTTACTTGTCAAGTTCATACGCAAGAGAGATCCACGATATAAGAAACATCAAGAATCGCAAGCGGAGACAACTCTCACTGCGCAGGTGCCAAAGGAATCTTCGGCTGCTCACATCGCCAAACAGAAAGCAGCTGAGGCATACGTTGAGCAAGAATGGCAAAAAGTCGAGATGAAAGGTCTCCATGCGGATTTGGACTGGGCTGCTGCTGAGGGGGAAGACCTAGAAGAATGGGAATGTGTTGCGTGCAGAAAATCATTTCGCAGCGAGGCGGCTTGGGATAGCCATGAAAGGAGTAAGAAGCACATGAAAGAGGTGGAACGTTTGCGGAGACAAATGGAACAAGATGACGAGGAACTAGAACTCGACGAACCTATCCCGAGTGAAGATCATTCCCCATCGCCCGACACCAACGAGGCTGGACAAGTCGAAAAAGAAGCGACTCCTCCGCCCCTTTCGCCATCTCCCCCGCCATCACGGCCTGTCCCGAATGTCACTGCTGACGTCGACCCAGACGAACCTGGTCTTCTCGAAGACGAACCGATTAGACGCCGGACGAAGCGTAGCAAGAAGCAACAGCATCCAGGTTCGCAAGCTGTATCCCCGCTTGACTCCAACGCACCAAGCGATGATGGTATCCAGCCGCCGCTCGTGGATGATCTGAAGAACGAAGAACCGGTCGAGCAGTCCAAACGGGACAAACGGCGTGCGCGACAATCAAAGAAGGCCGAGGCTGCGGTGAAGATGGAGGTGTGTATCCGCGCATCCTTTTTGGGTTGTGGGTGTCAACCTAAAGGATTTTCTTAGCATCGCTGCAACGTCTGTCGGGAACTATTCCCGAGCAAAACTAAATTGTTCAACCACATCTCAGAAACCGGCCACGCGTTAGCAGCTTCCGATGACGGCGGTAGTAAAGCTCAGAGGGGCAAGAAAAAGCGGGGATAGAGCGTTGGTTAGATTGATGCGCACGGAAGATGCTCAGATGTCTTCCTTTACCCTGAATCTATTGCCGCGAGCCTCGCAGTGGGACGCTTGGAGATATCACATCCATTGTCCGGTCGCATTGTACGCCCTACGGGTTTTAGTCCATCCCTAGGTTCGTCACACTTCAACATTCAATATTCAGGCCTTAGACAAGATTTCGGGACCCTGGAGAGCACACGGTAATATCCTTCAAAGTCATTGTCGGCCAATGCCCAGAAATGTTCTCATGAAATGCTTCATGTACCTGCACAGGGACAGCAGGAAGCAGTGGATTACAGCGTGTATTCAGTACAAGTGAAACAGTGACCCGGGATAAATTGTGAAAGCAAGTGAAAGCACCGCAATGACACGTAGAACTATCCCATGAGCTGCGATATGTCAGCTGGAGGGTACTTCGTCTGAGAAAACGTTAAAAGCCTGAAAGAAAGAATAAGAATAGAGCGGTCCATCCAGATTTCTCGCGACATACCGCTTCAAACTTTGAATGTACTTTCGGCTGACTTCGTCGTTCAAGACGTGTGCTACTTGATCTGCCGAGATCTTTTCGCGCGCGGAACGTTCGTGAATACTGTCGTGTTCACAATTAGTAAGATAGACGCAAAATCATCCGAATGAGGACGTACCCAACCATGGTAACACCTATCGGCCACGGTGCATTCCCAATGGACAAACGAAGGTAGGAGTCGTTTGCCTTTTGATATTGCCGCTTTTGCATATGGTGTACTATTTCAGAAATTCGAGCCAACATGTCAGAAGGAAGCGACTAATGATTTTACTTCAGCGTTCGTCGACCAAGTGATATGCATAAAATGCGTACTCTCGAACGAAGGGCTTTAAATAGCGGTTTCAGGTATTCCGCTGACTGGACTTGAGTAGCAGCTGCTAACTTCCCCTGTGTCGTTCGTTTGACATGTTCTGCATCATGAGGTTTTAAAAATATGCTCGGTGAATACGCCAAATACCTGGTCGTTCATCCATGGCCTCCTCCCATTCTTTCAGGGTCCTCTTCAACGCATAATAGATTATGGGATATAGCTTGTCGGGGTCGCTCTTGATTAGGTCGAGATCCAGGACATTGTTGGCAGCAGCCTCGGAGTCATCCTTCTTCTTCCCTTTGGTTGCCCTGCTCTTCGACTCCAGCTCGCTCTTTTCGACGTCCTCCAACGCTTTCTTGAAGTCGTTTTGACCGCCCTGGCGGTCATGACCCTTCTCTTCGATGAGTTCCAGAGCACGAAGGCGCAGGCGACGATCCTTGTCCGACTCGCCGAATAGTCGAATGGGTTGGCCCTTAGCACGAAGTCTGCGGATGGTCTCCTCATTCGACATGTTGTATGAAGATTCAGCAGGTTTTGGAGATTCGGTTTCTCGCTCAGTGGACCCGCGTGTGGGCGTCAATGATGGCTATTCTCCAGCCAAGTATCAGGACATGATAATGGAGTGGACATAGGCTGTGAAAACTCACTCTAGAATCCGTGAGCTTTGGGGCAGCTTGCTTGGGCGCCTCTGCCGCCTTTTGCTTTTCTTCCCGTTCCTTCTGCTCCTGTTCTTCGCGCAGACGTTCTATGTCGCCTCGCTTCATATACTTCGTCGGTCGCACCGCTAGAAGAGGGTCGGCCTTGCGTTTTGAAGCAATCTCAGCCTTGAGGGCATCCATCGTTGGTGGGAGTCGAGAGCAACTCTAGGCTTGATGACATAAGCCAGCATATCCCTGCTTTTCTCGTTCCGCCACATCCCGACCTCCATCCTCATCAACGACCACCATGTCCGACCTCTCTAGGTTGGTCCTTCTCTTTAATTCTTTCATTTTCGCCTGCTTACAGCCCTCCTAGTAAATACGTCCTCCAGACGGTCGGTTTCGACGGTGCGTCTGCTCGCGTTTTCCTGGCCTTTCCAGTTACTGATACTCAACTTCTGCAGCTCGTTTCCCCAACCAGAATCAGACTAGGAACTGGTACACGCCGCCCATCTCTAGTTACTAGTGAAGCGCACTTATGCATTCCCAATGCAGCTTCCAAAACTACACCGACTACTTCAAGTGCATCTCTGCCAAGGGCGAAGACTACGCCCCATGCAAGCAGTTCAAGAAGGCGTACAACTCGCTTTGCCCTAGTACGTTCCTCTTCTTGCCATAAATCTTCGCAAAGACTGACATTTCTGGGCTTCCTATCAGACGAATGGGTACGCCGCCCTGGTCTGCTGTGGCCGCGTCTTTTGTTTCTAATCATTCCCTAGATCTCCAAGTTCGACGAACAACGCGAAAACGGAACGTTCCCTGCGTCGCTGGAGCCGTGATAGTTAAACGTAGCTCTCTGTTGTAGTTGTCACGTGGAAAGGAGAATGATAATTGAGGTTGAGTTCCTCTGCTCCAGACCCTCTTAAGACCCGTATGTTCTGCCCCTGAACCTGTTCCGCCCGTTTACCGCGTGTCCAACCTTGCTTCCTACTCTCACCTCGAGTATGAATTACTCTTCAGAACCCCAGCATTCCACTCTGCTTAACGTTCAAGACAATGAGCCTTATAACGCTGAACCATCTGCCGCTGCCCTGGTCGAGTTCAATGTGACTCCAGAAGATCTCGTTTACTGTCGAAATCATGGTCCAGTCCGCGAATTCGACACCACCACATACTCTCTTGCAATCAAAGGAGCCGGCAAGGGCGACATAAAGCTCTCGTTCAACGATTTGAAGAACATATTTCCTCCTACTCGAATCGTAGCCCTCCTTCAGGTAGCCCACCGTCGTTCTCTGTTGGAAGCTTTCTGAGCACGCAATACATCCAATCCAGTGTGCCGGGATTCGACGGAAAGAAATGGGCGCGATGAAGACGGTTCACGGCGTTCCGTGGGCAGACGGCGTTATTGCGAACTGCAAGTGGGGCGGCATCCGTCTGCGTGATCTTCTTCAACACATCGGAGTTGACGAACAGGAATGCAAGCACGTCTGCTTTGACTCATATGCCACTCTGTGTCAGGATGACACCTATTACGGCGCGTCTATCCCTCTGTCCAAGGCCATGGATAAGGCTGAAGATGTGTTACTTGCCTATGAGGTCAGATCCATAATTGTCTTGCGAAGAGAAGCTCATCACCGTGCTTATCTTAGATGAACGACGAACCTTTGAGCCCCGATCGGGGTGGTCCTCTGCGTGTCGTGGTTCCTGGTTATCTTGGTGCACGATGGGTGAAATGGGTGGACACGATTATTCTGTCGTCTGAAGAGTCCCCGAATTTCTACCAACAGCGGGACTACAAGATTCTTCCTCCAACTGTAAGTTCTATTTCTTGGGTGACCCATTCTGGCCTTCTCATTCGTCTAAAGGTTGAGTCGAAGGAAGCTGCGAAGCCCCTGTGGTCAAAATATCCATCGATGACCGCTTTGCCTCTCAACTCCGTCATTGCCGTTGCCGAACTTATCTCCGACAACACTCTCTTTGTCAAAGGGTATGCAAGTCCAGGAGGAAATGGGAACGTGAAGACGGTGGAGATATCGGTGGATGAAGGCGAGACCTGGCATCCTGCGAAGATTACCTACCAAGAGGGGAAATGGAGTTGGACGATCTGGGAGGGCGAAGTCGAGTGCAAAGCAGCAGGCGGGAAGGTGTACAGTCGTGCGATAGACGCCACAGGGAACATACAGCCCAAGGAGGGCGTCTGGAATCTGAGAGGGGTAGCGTACAATGCATGGGGTGTTGGTAGTTGGTAGAGGTCGGCTTGTTTAGGAAGCTTTCTGTTGCCGACCAGACGCGCTGTCGGCCACAATACTTACACAAACATATCTTGTCTCTTACACCCATCTCTTCTACAACCATGGTCCTCGGAAGATTGGTCCATTACGCCGCTGACGCCGTGCTACTGTCCACCGTCGTGGCTGGCGTCCGACGTTCAAGCGGGTTTTCGTACGTGGCATCTTTCTTTCGTAGTTCTGTATCTTGATCTCGTGAACTCCAGTCCCGACGCATCCCTAATATCAGACCCCACAGCGCGTTCGGTCGCTGAGAAATTCCTGGGAGTGGGGGAAACTATTTTCGACATGATACAAGCGACGGCCGTTAATAGTGCCTACTTCAAGAAACCAAGCTAGATCTTCTCGTTCTTATTCAATCCCACCACTCCGGCACATCTTGAGGGCTTACAGCACAAGACGGGTGGACCATATGAGATGGAAGAGGCTCTTACATGGCAGTCTCGTATTTATTTATTTGGGTACACCGTCGGCTTGCTTCCTTGATTGACCTTATACATATACAGAGAGTCTGCAGCATCTTGCACGCCACTTCCAAACCCGTCTTTGCTTCTTTGAACATGTGCTTCCTTCACTGTGATAACAACGGAAAAGCCTATCGCTTTTAACTTGAAAGCTAGATAAACGACCACAGATCACCCAAGCTCAACGATGTGGGATTCTCGGAGAAAGGTGCCCCGCTCGACGGCGTTCTCTTCCTCCATTCAGGCGCCAACTGTCATGATGTACTCCTGGGTTGGGCATCTTAGGGCACCGAGCTCTAAACCATGAACTTGGCGATAATCATGGATGATCGTAGCCACATCGCAACTCGTGAATTTAAGTGGGCTAAACATCAAAATCAAGTTCTCGAGTAAGTCCGCGTTGGTGTGTTCGCTCTTCTGCATCATCGATGTTACAGTCGTTTCTGACTCGTCAGTATCTCGATACAGGCCCATAAGCAATTATATCACCCACCTCTATCATCCATCCCCAGAGCTTCTTAGACCCACTCGCTGGTTTTCCGGAGACACCAGCTTCGCTGTCCCATTCCTCCACGTATGGCTGACGTTGAAGAAATCCCCACTAACCTCTTGTTATCTACCTAGTCGAATCGTTCCATGCGGTTCTTGCCGATACCTCTATTAATACGATTCTATCTCTCTGGTAGGTCTCGGTCACACGACATGGATCACGTTCAGTTATTCTTGCAGAGATATTGCATAGTACCAACTGCCCATCATCCATTTCCAGCACAACGCCGTTGCAATTATGTTGGTGATTCCTGTTCCAGGTGCGGCTGCGTGGTCTCCTCTCACCTTCGGACGCCAGAAGGGCTGGACCACGCGAGATGTCAAGCTTTTGAGGCCCAGCATGTCTTCGGTGAACAGCAGAGCAGTCACGGTATGACTCGTAAAATTGGCCTTCCATTACGCTAAAGGTAAGCTCAATGCATTGTTCCACTGCCGCATTCCGACGATAAGCCACCAGGCCTCTTTCCTGCAGTCTCGCCTTTACGTGCTTCAACCGGTGCCACATTGCTCTACCACACGATAGTCTCTTGGCTTCTTTCGGGAGGGGAACGTTCATCGGTCAAGGTTCCGAGCATCTCCTTTGGAACGGTGTAGAACGAGATATAAGAGTCGGAATCTGCATGTTTGTCGTTCCAGCAGCGCCGCCCCGGTGTTCTCTTGAAAATCTCTAGCCATGGCTTTCGAAAGAACTACGCTCTTTTTGACCTTATTTTCTGTGTTCCTATCTCAGTGCTTCTCTGCTCTGGGATATGATACGTCCAGGTCTGATAACGTGAGTTAAGCTTTCCAGTGTGTTATCAAATCATCGCCCTGACCCCTCTCCTCTAGTTGGCGGTGTAAGTGTCATAAACACTATAGAGCTGACGTTGAAAGACCTTAACCCTTCTTTTTGCAGTTATTGGGGGCAGAACTCCTATGGGGCAACCCATCCCGACCCGTCCTCCTGGCAGAAGAGATTGTCTACATACTGTCAGGTAGGCCTTATCCCGCCTCGTTTTGTAGAAAAGAACATCAACAAGAGCTACAGGACGACGTCATCAATGCAATTCCTCTAGCCTTCCTCCACGTCTTTTTCTCGACAGGAGGCCTCCCAGAAATTAATATGGCGAATGTAGGTGCTCGTTTACTTTCCCTAAGAACTAGTCGCTCATCGCACGTGCTACCCCATAGATATGCAACAACAACGACCAACCCGTGTTCTCGGGTACCAGTCTCGCCAACTGCCAATTCCTCGCCTCCGATATCAAGGCTTGTCAAGCTCGAGGCAAGATTGTCACGCTCAGCCTCGGTGGTGCCACTGGCGCTGCTTCCTTTACGTCGGACGCCCAAGCGGAAGCGTTTGCCACCACTGTCTGGAATCTCTTCCTCGGAGGTTCTAGCTCGACTCGCCCTTTCGGAGACGCTGTTCTCGATGGGTGTGTGATTAATTTTCACCTGTCCAGACCTATGCAGCTTACATACATCAGTGTTGACCTGGATATTGAGGGTGGTTCGGGAGCATATCTCCCCACCTTCGTGAGGAAGATTCGATCTTTATCCAGTGGGGCGAGTAAGAAGTAAGTGCATAAATCAGGGTATTCATTTTGATGTTAAAGAGTCTTCTTCAGATACTACCTGACGGCTGCTCCGCAATGTCCATTCCCAGACGCCTATCTTGGCTCTGTTATCAACGCTGTAGGCTTTGATGCAATTTATGTCCAGGTACGATAGTCAAATCATTTTGTGGGTTCGTAACTGATGCAAGCTAGTGTGAGCGACCTCTCAACGATTCTGATATTAAATCCCACTAATCAATCCTGAAACTAAGTTTATAACAACTGGTGTGGGTGAGTGTTGGCTGTAGCATTCCTCAAGAGTAATACTCACCATTTTCTTTCAGACTGAACAATTACAACAACCAAGATGTGAGTGGATCTGTCATTCATGCTCTGAATATATTCGATTCTTTCCGTTTCGCGACCAAGGCATGGAACTTCGCCACTTGGTACGGACTTATTTCCATCCATTCGTCCCCAGCCCCAAAGCTGATCCTCCATCCATGTAGGGACAACTGGGCCAAGGCAACTTCACCCAACAAGAGCGTCAAGATCTTCCTCGGTGCACCAGCAGCTTCGACTGCGGCTGGGTCAGGATATGTCGACGCCAATACCCTGAGCAACATTGCAAAAGCTATGAAGGCATCCTACTCTTCTTTCGGAGGTGTCATGCTCTGGGATGCTTCGCAAGCTTATGGTTCGTTTAGAAGTGCTCTTGTTTGCTTCGATTGTCTGACCGGTCTTAGGAAATGGGCGATACGATGTCGCAATCAAGAATGCGCTGGGTGGCGCAGCAGGGACCCCGATTCCGACAACCACGACGAGAGCGACAACCTCAACCGCAACAACCGCTCGGCCAACTACGACCACCACAACCGCTCGGCCTACAACTACCACCACCCCAGGAACGGGAAGTTGTGCTGGAGTAGCACCATGGACCTCGACAGTCGTGGTAAGTCATGTGTTGATTTTTAGTTGTAGCTACGACAACATCTCAAAAATTTCAAAGTATCTCGGAGGAGCACAGGTTACCTACAAGTATGCGAGGTCTTCTTTGAGGTGCTATCGCTGTAATCTCATATGCACCCCTTTTCTAGCGGACATTTGTGGCAGGCGCAATGGTGGTCGCAGGCAGATACACCCGGAGGTTTGTCTAGTACCTGCTTATTCATTCTCAACCTGCTGACGAATTGATATACACCAGGCGCGGCTGGCGTCTGGATTGATAAGGGTGCTTGTACCTCGCGATTGGCTACAGCGCAGCCCAATATTGCAGCTTCGACCGCAGCACCTGCTGTGAAAGGTATAAAAAAACTATCATTTTGTGTGAAGCCTCTAACGACCTGTGCTTAGATGCTAAAGTGAGCGAGAAATTGAACGTTGCGCGCCGCTCTTCCAGAATTTTCAAGGAATGAAACTGTTGCCAGGACACAGTCAGGGGATTTCAAACGAATGTACAATAGAACAACTTTTGATACACTATGCGTGCGGAACGCGGACCAGACCGTAGGCCTTCATGACTGAAGTGGATTTCTTCAGAGTTAACTATTAGAGTGCATAAAGTTCAAAACTGTTAAGAGTTCCAAGAACCAATAGATAACAATTTACAACAACTGTTCTAATTATGAATACGTACACGATTGTAGGATCTAGCAAGACATCTAAATGGCTACAGGTCTATGGTCGTGAAGTAGAATTGTGTAAAGGACGTGACACTGCAGTTTTTTTCGCAGTGTTTTGCAATATTCGAGTCCGTAATGAATCCAATGTGCTGGATTTAGAAGAGGCGGAGGGTGGGAGTCGAGAAGATGTACTTGCTGGAATGGAGGTCACTTCTATCGTGGTTCTCCTTCGTTTAGCTCCAAGATGATCAGCCTTTGCCTTGTTCCACAGGTCTTTGGCTTCTTGAACGGATTTTTCATCTTCCCGAAGGAGACTTAAGGTGGCTGGCAAACCGTATCGACCCTTGAGATCGTCGTCTGCTTTCCGTTTCTGCTGTTCGACCTTCTTCTCCTCACGAAACTTCTTTCGGGCTTTGAGTGACAAGGAATAAGGGTCGCTGTTGTAGTGTTCGGATACGACCTGGAGAGATTCAATACGTGGCTTCGCGACTGTCTCCATTTGCCGTTTGGCGTCCGTCGTCTTTTCCAACGCCGCCAGAGGGTCGATCTCAGCAGACTCCTTCTCAGTGTCTAAACGAACGAAATTAGGTAAAAATAAATAAATAAAGGCATAGGCATAGAAAACGACGAACCATGAATAGCAAACCCCCCATTATCTTCTGGATTCCAATCTTCGTCTTTCTGTCTTGCCCCAGAGACGACGACGTAACGCGTATTCTGAGCAAATGTCAGTTGTGCAAAGTTGAGAACTCCAGGATCCGTACCTTCGGATCCGTCTGAATTTCGAACCAACCGTCGCAGAGGTGGCATTTACACCGAAAGGAGAAGATGGGCGTAGAGTAGTATGCACCTATTTTCTTCTTCTCTGCGTTATACCGAACGCCCATGCCGATGTGATTGTTGCATGTCCCACTGTGGCGTTGTGAGAATAGAATAGGTCACTTCCGCGGATTGACTCACCACCAAATATTGAACGGAAGTTCAAAACGTGTGATCAGGATGCCTTGGTCGAGCTTGCGAGCCCGATCTCCCAATGCATGCTTGCCTGATAGTGTTCTCAGATGAGAAGAACCTGAGGCACTGGTGGCGCATACCTCGGACCTTATTCAGGCTGCCTTGAGACGGATCATAGTCTGGGGGATAATACCTGGCGTACTGTCAGTAAAGAGGACGAGCAAGCGCTATTAGAACGTACTTGTTGAAACCCTGCATGGCGGTAGGAGGTAAAGCTACACAGCACCAATTACTCGATGACTTCACTTCCCCTAACAGGTGTCAACAAGAAGGCTCAAGTTGATCATTGGCTTAAGCTTCTCGACACTAAGTCTCAAGACGGCGCGCTCGGGAGTAACATCTAACAGCTGGGTATACAATATTATGTACTAGATATATGTATCAAGAAGAGCGTATAGTATGTAAGGTCCATGGTGTCGTAACTAAACATAAGCAACGTAAGTCCCAATCACAGGTCGATGGTCACTCCTTCCTTCCAGCCTGCGCATCCCCCGATCATCCAGAGTATTATAGCTAAGACAGACAACATCGCCTTTCTGATGCAGCGGAACTGCTGGAGGTTCTGGAGGTTCTGGCGGTGGAACGCTTCCTTGATTGTGGGTTGGCGAAAGGAATGCAGGAATAAACGATCGCCATATCGATTGGGCGGCTGATTGCGGACGTTCTGCAGACAGAGGACTCTCAGGACCTGTAGAGCGTCGAGGAGGCCCTTCGAATGGAAGCGGGGCTGTAGGAGGTGGTGAAAAGGCGGTGTTGGCTCGTCGTCCGATTCGAGAATCGATATGTCTAAAGGCGGCGCCTATCACAGTAACGATGAGTGTAGGCGGAGTAAATTGAAATTTGTAGACTTACTGTGAGGAAGAGGAGGTGAGGGGCCGTTGACGGTGGAGGGTGTAGTCTCTGTAGATTGACTAGACAGTACTGTTGAGATTTGAGGGGTATCTCGGGCCCGGGGTGATGACGGCTTGAAAGCGTTCGCCAAAAATTGGACGACCTTGGGACGTGGTCTATGATGTAGCTCGTAGCTTTCCAACTCCTCGTAGACAGATTCTGGGAATATAGTGGTTTTCCAGAGTATGCGATCACACCTGATGATGGGTTAATCAGGAGTTCGGTGGAGGTAACAACATAGCAGTCTTACCAGCTAGGAACACGCTTCTTGTGAGAGGAATCATACACACCCTTCTCCTCTACAACCTCCTCTTCTGCTAAGGTTTCCTGGCCTCCGCTTGAATTTGAGCTTACCAATATCATAGGAGGCGGACGTAGAAAGCGCCTCTTGCTGGAGTCAGATGCACTGATCGGAGGGTGGGCACTCAAAGGGGAGGGAGGTATGAGCTGATTTGGGGTAACTGGCGTCCCAGGCGCACCCCAGGGTTCTCCATGCTTCGTCTTGAGTTTCGGCGAAAAAGAGGGGGACAAAATAGACAACCATTTGACCTTGGCCTTACTCGCTCCAGTGGGGGCCAGGGAGACCTTGCTCGTCGATGCCATAGCCGTCGGCGTCGAAGGCGAAGCGTGGAAGTATGCGTCTTCGTCATTCCCAGGCTCTGTGGCTGGTTTCGAATTGAGAGACGTCATTGCAGAAGACATGAGGGAGGCGCCTTCGTCTTCATCGCCTTCGTCGTCATTTTCCTCAAACCCTCGTTCTTCAACCTCAGCAAGTTTGGTTGAGCTGTCCCCTGCCCGAGACAGCTTCGAACTTGATCGTTTCGGACGTTTCAGAGTGCGAAGAACGTCATATTTGAAAGTGGGTGGGAAATCGATAGGCGCTTCATTGAATCCATCGAAGAAAGACCCTGTTTTCATGATGGCGTTTAGTTGATCGAATTCGAACGCTTGTCTGTACTCTAAAGCGAACGTGAATAAGCCATGACATCTCCTAAAAATAAAGTCAGACCTCGTCTTGAAATTAACCAGTCTGCGTGTAGACGAGAGATATCGAGTCTGAAATTCAGGTCTCCAAACAAGAACGTGAAGTCGAACTGGTCCGTCAGATCTATGGCGTGTATGAGTACCTGAGCGGCATCCAAGAGAGTTATCCTGACCTTCAGCAGCCATACGGGGATCGTCTTCCTGCAAATAGTGGTCCACATCCAGCTCAGCCTGTACGCACCAAACGATCAGTTCTAATCATAACATACACCGCTGGCGAGAATTGCACCTTTATTTTTGAGAGGTTCGCTAGACGGTGGTTCATGCGTCCGCCGTGGGCTATCAAAAGATGTGAAGGTAAGTATAACGACTAGGGTTAAGAAGGCAAATGGGTGACCTGCGAGATGGGCGTTGAGGAACAAGTACGTCGTGCCTTCGATATTCAAGCTGATTCCGACACCTCCTTTATTTCCGAGTCTGCCGCCTATGAGGCCTGCTGTGACTGCACTCTTCGACATGCCTAGAGTATATTTAAGATGGAGGGGAAGAGGCATCCTTAGGAACTTACCTCGCACGAAAGGTTTGACATCTCGATGAACATATATGGCGAGATAAATTCCCATAAGTCTCTCCTTGATGAGCAACTGGTAGGGCCCTTTTCGGGACTCTTTCGTGGATTTGTGCCTCATCAATGGTCGAGGAAGACCGACGTCGGTTGTTGATGGAGAATTGGTACGACTGGTATAACCACCACCATGGCAAAGCCAATCCTCGACCATGGATGTCCAACCAGCTGTCGGATTCTCAGGGGCGGTCTCTTCGGTTTGAGCTTCGTCAACTCGGTCCTTGTCCTTCGTCTTGTCCTTCCCCTTGTCGTGTTCCTTCTCGCCTTCTCTTGACTTTTCACGGTCTTTATTATCGAGAATCTTGAATCCGGCACCAAGTCCCATGGGAATACCTCGAAGAAATGATTATAGGGAAGCGTGAAACAGCATGAAATCGCTTACCGGACGGAGTGGGGCATTCCTGGCCGGCACTTGAATCAAGTTAATGTCAATGCTATAAGTAATAGGAAGAACCTGACGCACATTACGACCAAGTGATAAGGGTGGTTTCCGTCATTGGGTAGTTGAAGAATAGAAGAGGACTGCGATGGAGTGGTATATAGGGGTACTTTGCCCAACAGTTCTTCAAGGTCACCCTACACACAATGTGTTAATAACTACTGAAGAGGCAAGATTTGGCCCACCTTTGGGAGGGACTCATGCATGTTCCATGTTACTATCCGTATTTTCATGAATTTCGGGTCCACGGGGGAGATTCGGGGCGTGGGGGACGGCACACTCTTCTCGTCAAGCACGTCGCCAAAACGTGGTGACGGAGCGCTAATGTGTGCGTGTGGCGAGGTCGGAAAAAGACTTTGAAGACGCGAGAACACGGCATTCTGTTGACCTGCGTGCCGGTCAATTTGCGGACTGAGAGGAACAGAGGGTCTCGGTCACCTGGGCGGCGCCTGTTGTGTGGGTGCCCGACGTCCATGTGTGCTGGTTGTTGGGCAGAGAGTGTCTGCCATGAGTGGTACTGAAACCAAGCCTCACGGTGATGGGTAGCAACCAGCTCCGGCTTACGTAACACATAGGAGCAAGAAATCGATAGCAGTAGAACAACAGTAGGAATACATACACAGCAGGGGCCGGTCAAGTACTAGTAACAACAACGCGAGAGGACACAAAGAAACGAAGACGACGATCCGCGAGAATAATATAAGCCACAGATGGGGGAGATTAGTGGTGGAAGACGCAAAGTAAAGATCAGAACGACAGAACAAAGCACAGAAACTCCATATTATGAATTAAAAATCGCCCAAGGGTCAGTCGATGTCATTGGACTGTCCCATTTCCAATCGCTCGTCTGGTAGTACGTTGCCTCGCCGCCATCAATCTCCTTCCACGGACCCAGGCGCAGCATGTCTGTCAATTCTTCGGTTTTAATGTCGGCCGTCGAGGATGAGGATGAAGCCGGGACATGGTGCGCCCCCTCGGCTTCATGATTTGATTCTGGGCTCGGGTTCGTCGACGACGATGAGACCAGATCAGGTGTCGGTGCTTTCGTGTCCTCATCCTCGACTGTCCCAAAAGAAAAATCGAAGAACTCGTCGAATGATTCGTTCATCATCGGCGGTGGAGTCGGTTCGCGAAGGCCACTTGGCTCTCCCAACACATCCATCGTGTCCGAACCAGGGTAAACAACACCCTTGAAGATCTGGTCGAGGGCGTCGGAAACGCCATTCGACAGGGTCTCATGGGGGTCGTCCTCCACAGCCCGCTTGAAGAGCTCAGTCATTTGTTCGAAGAACGCCTGCGCCTCAGGTTCTGTCTTGATGTTCTCTATAGCCTCGCTCTTCTTCCTCTGCTCTTCGGTCGGCTGCGACTCCCATTCTGTCTTCACCCTCTTCGGTGGGGATGGTTCGCTACTGGCAGGTGCAGCCGAGCTACCATTGGCCGCAGAGCTTCCACTAGCCACGGGCTCTTCCTCGCGTTGTCGTTTGACACTCCCACTACTACTTGAGGCTGTAGGTTGAGACGGTTCAGGGGCGGGAGGGGCGGGAGGAGGGATGGCTTTGGAAGGCCGCCGCTTTGCTCCACCTTTGGGCTTCGGAGCTGCCTTGGTCTTCGGAGATTTCGTGGAGTTGGGAGGTGACGATGCAATTGCGGTAGGAGTGGGTGCGCTAGCAACTGGGGTAGACGCAGATTGAACAGGGGCAGGGGAAGGAGTAGAGACGGGGCCATTCGATGCTTGTGGCTTTCTTTTGAGAGGAGGAGGATGTGGAAGCGCAACCGGAGGTCGAAGAGGTTGGTTCGTAGGGGGAGAGGAAGCAACAACACTAGGAGGTCGATGGGGGACAGCGGTTCTGTTGTGGTGGGACATGTCGGGGGTCCCCATCATAGGATTTGGAGGAACCATGACATTCCCCGGCATTTGCTGCTGCTGCTGCTGGGGTGGCTGTTGTTGTTGTTGCTGGTGGTGGTGTTGTTGTTGCGCCTGTTGTTGCTGTTGCGCTTGCTGTTGCGCCTGTTGTTGCGCCTGCTGCTGCTGTTGGTGCAACATCATCGCGTTCGACCCAAACATCTGAGGATTACTGCGCATCATTTGCTGGAATTGGTGGTTGGACGTCTCCACTATCCGCTGCAAGTCCGCAGACATCATGCGAAGGTTCTCGAGGGAGACCATGTACCGAGGTGAGTTGGTCGTAGACAGCATCATTCGCTGTTGTTGTACCGTGCACACCTAAGACGATGGTCTGATTAACTAGGCCATCCAGGAATATTGGACACACTTACAATCTGAACCATCTTCCTGACTCCCTCCTCGTTCTTCAGGACACCAAGCATCATGGCGATCCGCTGATCAGCTTCGGTGCACTGACGATGCACCTGCTCCAAAATGCGGTTGTACTCATGCAATTGTCCGGGCGGGATTTCGACAGTGGGCATATTGTTGAAGTCTACGAGAAGCTTGGGTAAGAAAAAATACCCTAGAAGATAATCGGGCAACATACTGTTCGCCATGAAATCCTGCTTCATCTTCTGAATGATCGGCATGGCAGCATTCACCGAACCCCTTGCATGTTGCTGCGGCATTCCACCTTGTTGGGGCATCCGGTTGACAGGGAGCCCATTGGGACCGCCCATGAGCTGCTGCTGTCCGGGTTGTTGCTGATGCTGCTGCTGTTGCTGGGCCATCTGCTGATTGAGTATCTGCTGACGCGCCGCCATCAGAGCGGGGTTATTCTGTGCAGGGGAGCCCGTCGGGAACGAAGGATTAAGACCCATGCCAGGCGGCCTAGGTACTGGTCCGCCGTTGGGTTCGCCGCCTTGAGGTCCACCCGGGGCTTGACTGCTACGCACGCGCGTTTGGAATGAGCGTTGCTCTTGGTACGTCCGCTGAAGGCTGGCTCTGTTCGCCTCGACGAATTGTATCATCTTTTCATCGATGTGTTGAGCATGAAGTTCGGCCACAGACATCTGAGACATGGATACTACGGCTTGCATTTGCGCTGGCGTCCATCGATTGCCCTGCATCCGCGCTGTGATGTCGCCACTAGCAGCCATCTGCGCTCGTCTGGCTTCTGTCATATACCACTGGTCGAAAGGCGCGATATACTCCTTGTAGATGTGGCCAAGTTGAGTGGCTACGCCAGGACCAGATTTCGCCGGGGTGTTTTCGTCGCCAGGGAATTGGATGAACCCGAGACGGCCGCCAATGATTGGCCAAACTTCGTTCGCCTCCACCTAAACACACAACGATTTTATGAACGAAAATCAAACTTTAATGTCAAGAACATACCTTGTGGATCCCACCCTCTTGCATGACTTGAACGTGAAGACCATGCAAATCCACCGGCCGATTCTCGATGCTGAGCAGTCGGTTATCTGGCTTCACGTTCCGCCTATTGCAGAAACTCCTGAACATGGGGTCGAATTTGTGTTTATCCAGAGGCATTATGCCGAAAGTGTTCTGCATGGGATTACCGCCTGTCATCGTTGGCTGAGAAGGGCCGGCTATGGGTTGAGCCTGTGGGTTGCTGTTCGGAAATGGAATTGAGCCACTCATCGAACTCGGTGGCATGCCGCTGAAAGGACTACCGCCCGGGAGCTGTTGAGGGCCGGACTGCTGGGGCGTGGGTATGGAGCGAGGAGGGACGATGGGCTGGTTGGCGGGATGACCGCCTTGAGACTGAGCTTGCTGGAGGGACGGACTAGACTGCATGGGATTCGCCTGAAGGGAATGCGGCGGTTGACCGGCCATTTGGCCCATTTGAGCACGACTGGGTTGCCCGCTCGGTCCTTCAACGAAACCTTGACCGGGGTGAGGCGCCCATGACGATTGGCCCTGTCCAGGTCCGCCATTCCCACCGTTTCCGTTCATTTGTTGCGCCTGGCTTTGAGCGACCATTTTTCTGTATAAATCGTTAGCAAAACGCTATGAGAAAAATGGCTGGAAGGCGCACTGGTGGTATTGCAAACCCATCATGATCCTTGTCGCATATTCCTTTCGTTTGGCGTAGTCAGCGTTAGCCTCCTTGATTCGCTCCATAATCTTGGCCTCTTCAGGTGGATCCGTGCCTCTGATAGCGTTTAATCTCTGATTCAGATTCTGGATAACGGCCTCCTGCTGGAGTAATATCGGCCTCATTGCAGCAAGACGAGCCTGTAGGTCGGTAGCGGGCAACATCAGTCTCCCGTTACTGACCCCTGGTCCCGGGGGGATATTTCCTGGCGGGGGAGGTGGAGCGCCTTGAGGCATACCGGGCGGTTGTTGGAGGTTGTTGTGTGGGGACGGACGGCGCAGAGACTCATTCGACATGCCGGGAGATGAGAACACGTCTCCCGGCGATGGCTGGTTCATACCGATTGGAAACTGTTGCGGCTGTGATTGCTGCTGCTGCTGCATCTGAGCGTGCTGTTGTTGTTGTTGTTGCTGCAGCTGCGGATTATTGAACTTGTTCAAATTGACTGGGCCGTTTTGCGGTTGCTGATTCTGGGCCATGTTGATCAATTCGAGCTGGCGTGCGTGAGGCAGGAAGGTATTCCGCGCCTGGAGAGCAGCAGCAGCAGCCGCGGGATTCATGTTGCCGTTGGGCATTCCACCTGTATTCTGGAACCCTCCCTGCATATGGTTCTGCTGGGGATGGCCAGAAGCGGCATCGTGGAAAGGCTGCTGGCCATTTCCGCCCATGACAGGACCGCCTCCCATTTGAGCCATCCCAGCGTTCAGAAACGGCTGCTGCTGTTGTTGTGAATGTTGCTGCTGTTGTTGTTGCTGATGCTGAAGCTGCAGATGCTGCTGCTGGCGCATAGCCTGTTGGCGCTTCATCAAATCCGCAATCTGAGGAGGGAATAAGTGTCAGCGTGGGTCTTAGGGGAGAGGAAGGTGCGGAGAATGAAACTGCAGAGAAATTGCAGGTAGAGGGGGATCGGGGGAAAAGAAGCGGAGACAACAAGGCTCCCACGGATGCGGAGGATGGGGCTGAGTGATGATCGAGACGATGAAGGGCCCAGGAGGGGACTCGGACGGGGACAAAGAGCTGACCTGGGCCTGGTTTTGGTGGTTCATGTCCTGCGCGGCGTTGGGTCTGTACTGCTGCTGCTGCTGCATCTGCATCTGCCATGCTCGGGTCTGGTCGAGGACCTGGTTGGGCATGTTGGGATGCTGATCCTGGTGCTGCTGGGGCTGTAGTTGCTGTAACTGCTGCTGGAGCAGGTTATTGTTGAAGTTGGGCATTTGGTACTGGGGGGTGCGATCGGCCATGGCAGACGAGGACGGAGGTGCGATCGGTGGGCGGGAGACGGGGGTAGAGCGGGGGACGCCTGCCGCGTTGGCCAAGGGTGTTGTGGACGAACACGCAGCACGACGGGGACGATGTGGACGGGGGACGGGGACGGGGAGGAGGAGGACTCGGTGTGGTGGTGGGAGCGAACCAAGACTCGCAGGGCTGTGGCTGACAACTCGAAGTGTTTGCAGGAGTTGTGTAACACCAAATACACAATATCCAAATTTTACTATTACAAGTCCACTTCACTTGGACACTACACTAGGGCCTGCCTCTAGAATAACATCTCCGTCGTCGTCCTCATCGCTGCTGTACACATCTACTACTACGCCCTTGCGCACGGGCACTATTACGTCTGATGCATCCTCAATGGCCTCCTCCTCATCGTCCACAATGCCCGCCGCCTCGCGGCGGAACCAGTATCGCAGCCCGACAGGAATCATCACCCCAACGACGACGGCAGCGAGACCGAAGAAATTCCGCCAGCTGATCAGGTGGAAATCATCCGCGCTGGTCATCTCGTCCAGCCCACTTCCAATCGTTGTATGGATCACACTGACTCCGAGAATACCTAGCGCCGTGCTAATCCAGAAGGGCACAAGCCCGATGCCGACATGGGGGCAAACGATGTTGACTACCCAGTGCGGCGGGAGGGGCGCAATGCGCAGAACGATGAGGAATGAAATCATGTTCTCTTTGTTCGCGCTAATCTTGTCCGCCCACTTGTCGAGGACAGCCTTCCATTTTGGGAGGGTAAGGAGGGCGGGGCCTAGCGCCGCTGAAATCAAGTAAGACAGGGAGGCACCTGTTGCAACGCAACAGCATGCTAGGGGTAGCGCCCGCGCAACTCCCCAGACAGCTCCCCCGAGGATGGAGAGATACATGGATCCCGGCAGCGAAAACGCTTGGAGGCTATGTAGTTGGGATCAGAGAGGGCCGAGTGGAACAGATGGAAGGGAGAAGAACGTACAAGAGGTAGGTTGTGACATAGCAGACGAATATGCGGAAGGGGTAGATGTCTCTATATTTCTTCAGCAAGAAATTGAGGTCCTGCAGTTGCTGGAAGGATTTGGGAATCCGCAGCATCGGCCGGTCGGACCTGATCAAACGGTGAGCTTACATCAGTGCGAGAGAAGATGGTGAGCGCACTCTTCGAGCTTTGGTAGTGCAAGCCAGAGGGTGCCGCCGAGGAGTGCGGTGCTGACGATAAATATGCAGGCCATCTTGAGGGTGGCATTGAGAATGACCCTTCGCGAGGAGGGGACACCAGGGGATCGTGGAACAGTTGCGCCGTAGTCTGGGGTGGCTGGAGTGAGGAGGGGTTCGAATTCTGCATTGTCGCGGTAGTCGACGGTGTCGAGGGTGTACATGGAGGCACTACAGGACTGGTTGTCGCGGACGACGAGGAGCGAAGAGGGGCGAGGCATCGCCGTCGACGACGTTGTTGTGGAAGGGAATGAAGTAATGGGATAATTAATTAATTATTTCGGGCACGGGACGCAAATACGAACAAACTGCTAAAAACGAGCTGCTCGCCGTCTCCAGCGACGATAAGGCTCCTGCTCCTACGGTGTGTCAACCTTGAGCATGCTGCCATCGCAGCTCAACCAACAGAACTCGATTCCGCCGCCGCCATCTCTCCAATCGGCCCTGCAGATGGACCCGAATCAGCACTTGCAGATGCAACAACAACAAGCAGGGCAGGCTGGACAACCGGCAGCTGCGCAGGCGACGCCGAGTGGGGGCAAGCGTCGAAAGCGAGCGGAGGGCGGTGACGATGGGGGGCCTGCGAGCGAGCCGCGGCGGCTTCGACGGTCGCATGAGGCGTGTGCTCGATGCAGGAGCAAGAAAATAAAGGCAAGTCCCGGCGGGCGACACCGACGGCAATTTCCATGCGCTAACACCCGCACAGTGCGACTCGAAGCATCCCCGCTGCACAGCGTGCGCAACAGCCGGCACAGAGTGCAACCAGGAGGACCGCCACCGCCAGACGCTCACACCGCGCGGATACACAGAGCGCCTCGAGCACCAGCTTGCCCAATGCGAGGCGCTTATCAAGCGGCAGATGCCCGGCTTCGCGAGGGAGAACCTGGATGAGATACTGGCGCGGGAGGGCATCGACATCGGAGCGCTCCCGCCGCCGTCGACGTTCCCCCCACTGGACCCAGGCCGCGCCTTCCGCCCAGACGCCGGGCCGCCGCCCAAGGGATATCCTCCCATGTACCCTCCCCACATCATGGGTCCATACGGCCCGCATCCGCCCATGCTCCCCTACGGCCCTCCGTACCACCCCCAGATGCCCATGCAAGGCCCGCCCGGCGCCTACGGTATCCATCCGGCCTTCCAGCAGCCTGGCGTCCCCTACCCTCCCCCGCCCGTCATGCACCAGCACGGCCCTCCGCCCGACCAGCCCCCCCACCACCCGATGTCGCCGCCCCTCATGCGCTCCTCCCAGGCCACAAAGGGCACCGACCCCAACGGCCACGACATGTCCTCCGCCCAGGCCCTCGCAAAAAACTTCGGGGTTTCTGCCGCTATCACCTCCGGTCTCAAGCTCGACAGCATCCACGAAGAACTCCCGGTTGACCCCAATGCCCTCCCCAAACTGGAAATCCCAAGCCCGCGCGATGCTGCTCACTGGATCACCGTTTCCATTCGCCGTAATCTCCCCGCGAGTGGGACACCAAACACCCTGTCCCTCTACGGCCCGGTCTCAAAGTCACCCCAAGTCGACATCTGGCTCCCAAAAGACAGAAGCTTTGCCCAATATATCATCAACGTCTACTTCACCCATCTCAATATCCACCGACCCGTCTATGCCCGGAAGGACTTTGACAAGATCGTCGACGATCTCTATGAGAGCAACCCGACGGGCTACGATCCTGGCCATCTCTTCAGCGTCTACCTCGTCCTCGCCCTCGGCACCCTCAGCGAGCTTAATCACCGTGCCGTCAAAGCCAATCTCGATGAGAAGGATCACTATCTGGGCTCAGCCGCTGCCCGCAAGCTTATGCCCCACGACTGGCCTTCCAACGACGAATTCTTCGAAAGGGCCCTCGGTGTAAAACCCGAACTATGCGTCTCGATATCAAGCCTGCAGGCCCTTATTCTGTTGCACTGGTATCTCTACATCGAGGTAAATCCATAATGTCCTATTTGCTTTTTTTCTCCTATGCTCATTTATCTCCCAGCGTCAAGGACGGACCCTTTGGCGTCTTGTCGGAACCCTTGTTCGCCTTGCCATCGAGCTCGGTTTGCACCACGATCCGACTCCCCAGCTCGCTCCCGGCACAAATCAGCATATCTTTACAGAAGAGGAGAGCCAGCTGCGTATCCGTCTCTGGGCCATCATTCTCATCCACGATCGCGGCACCTCCATCCTCCTCGGACGCCCTTTGGCTATTGCGACGTCAGACTCGAACACTCCTCACCCATACCGGATCAAGAATGCGCGCTTCGTCGAGTTCTCAGAGCACTTTGAGCTGTCTCAGCCAGTTGCCGATATTCAAGCGGATATCATTAACTCACTCTATGCACCTACTAGGCAGGCAGGCGATACCATCATGCGCAATGCTACCAGGATCATCAAGAGCATGACTGAACTGCGCCGCAATCTCCCAGAGAAGTATCACTACTATTTCACTGGGACTCAAGACTGGTCTTTGGACAAGAAGCGCCAGCTCGTCCAGGGTATATCCGAGGATGCTGGCCTCACCTTGTTGAAGATTTGGATTGCACGCATCCTTATGTTGCGAGCACTCTTCAGCTCCAAGGAACTTTCCTACGCTCAAAAGCACAAAGCCCTCATCGATGGTATGTCTCACCCTTCCTGTGCCTCACACACAACTAAAATATATCCACAGCAATCATCACCTCACACAACGTTATCATCATACACAGCCAGCTCATCCGGTTCCCCGGCATCGGCTTCTTCACCTCTCCCATCCCGCTGCACATCGCCGCCATGGTCATCCTCTACGGGCACATCTCCAAGGTCGAGTGCCTGCCCGCCTCCGTCGCCCTCGAGGACGTCTGGCTCGCACTCGACATGATCCCGCGCTTCCGATGGCGGTGGGAGCGCAAGGACGTCAATGGCGGGCACCCGCTAATCGCCAAGCTCGTCGAGCACGTCATGGGCGTCAATCTGCACACCATCAACCCGAGCAACCTCCAAAACCCCGCCGTCCTGATCTGCGAGCCCGACTGGGACGAGCCCACGTCGCCCACGCTCAAGAGCCAGCACGGCACCCCCGTCATGTCCACCGCGCCCGGGCAGTACCCCTCCACGAACGGGGGCGGCGGTGGCGGTGGTGGTGGCGGTGGCGGGTCGTACGGGCCCCCGTCGTCCTCGTCGCGCTCGATGAACAGCCTGAACGGGTCGATGAACCGCTCGAACAGCGGCGGGTCGACGCCGCCCGACAAGCACCTCGCGGACGTCCCGCAGGCGCTGTTCTACCCATTCTTCCCCGAGGCAGGCGTGCCAGCGATCGCGTCCGGTCCGCCGCCCTCGAACGGTGGCGGCGCAGCGGCGTCGGGGCACCCGCAGGACTACAGCCAGCTGTTCCGCGCGGCTGCGGCGGCGCAGGATGGGTACAGCGCGCAGCCCAACCAGACGTATCTGGCGGAGGAGAAGGAGCCGCACAGCGCCACGCAGACGACGTGGGCGAGTGTTGTACGTCCTTGAGCCCTCGCTATGCGTGTGCTGTTCGTTCACACCGATTTTTCCTCAGCCTGCTGCACGGTCTCTCCCTCATTACTCACCTTGAACGAATGCACGTTTGCTCGCTCTTTTAATCCCTGGTTTCCCCTCGTATGTGCCCACCTAGGTTCCATGTCTGTCTGTATCGCCATGTCTTACCTGTCGCCTTTTCTTGTCTTCCCTTACGTATATCTTGGCCCCCACTTGTACGCCTCCGTTTCCTTTAACCCGCTCCCCGAACAACAATTTCTTGGTCGCCTACTTTTCTTGATAGCTCATTCACGACAAAAAATGTATGAATGTTTCTCCCCTTTCCTCTCTTCGTTCGTCTTCATTATGAAATATGTATCTGTACCTCTTCGACTCTCGGTGGTTTTCCATTTCTTCTGTCGCTGTTGTGTATCACGATAGTGCATTGTGCAACGACGGCCCCTCATTGGTACAAGCATCGTAATGCGTGTGCTACTTACGGACAGTTACTATTAGTTTACATTATAAACCATCTTGTTGCTTGTGATTGAGAAGCACCTCGAGTCAAGGTCCCGCAGCCTGGGCAAAGGGCTATGTACATGCTATCGAGTCCGCCGCGAGGCATCCATCTCCAACTGAATGCAGCGAGTCTAGCAATCGATTGTGTATACAACTTACAACCTAGGGATCCGGAGTGTACAACAAGGGCCTTGCGGCAATTGTGAGGCTGAGGCGAGGAAGCAGGTGAAATGCGTGCAAATAAATGCAACTTCCTGATTGTCTATGAAGTACGTAGATATGGAATAACTTGGATGGTGAGTAGATGGAGCGAGCGAGGATAAGTCAGGAGCACGAGAAGATGGCATGAGATCTATGGAGGAGAGATAGGGGGATGGGGATGCATGGATGATGGGTGGGCTGAATAAGATGAGGGCGTAATCTAATTATTCGGCCAGGGGTTGTTGGTCGGTGTCGGTCGTGAATTGAGGTACGATATATGCAGCGGTGGAGGGGCAGACGGTCCCAACAAGATAGAAGTAGAGACGACTGCGCTGGCGGGTGTCGGAGAGAGGTGTGGATGCTGAGGCGAGATGCAGAGGACATCATAAGAAAAGATAAAGCGAATAAATAGAACAAAGTCTTGATAAAGCCTCGAAAGGTGCCGAGGACGCAGTGCACGGTCAATAACTCAGATGAGCAAAACATGACGATGCGGCCTTGGATCATCACTTCAAGATCCTCTCCATCCTCTCGAGGGCGACGTCGATACCACGAATCAGGAAAGTGACCTGACGGGGGAATATAGGTTTGGGCTCGCCATCCGGGCCATACTCGTACGCACGCTGCTCCTGCAGTGCCTTCTCCAGGGCGATTGGCAGGCTGAGCGTGATCCTTGTCAGCTGGATCGTCAACCTCGAGCGGCCCATGATGTCAAAGTACGAGAGCTGGCGGAAGGCGTGCTGGACCTCCAGTAGTCTCGTCAGCTCCGAGTGCAGCGCATATATACATGTCCGACAGGCTGCGTTGCGTAAATGAGTTGTGGATTCAGGACAGGAGGGTGAAGGGGAGAAACGTACTCAGGGCCCGTTCTCGGATGGCTTGCAGTGTGACAAGGACGGAGTTGATTCCGTCGTCCCCTAGCCTAATTGAGGGATTGATGTCATTGATAGCAGCTAGAGACAAGGTCAACTTTGACGGTATATAAGCAGTGGCAAGGAGAACGAACTTAGGAGAGTCCTGATGACCTCGAGATCACCATCCAGAAAGTCGTTGAAGACGCCTAAGACGACGCCTCGGAAAGTCTCTTCAGCATGTCCCATGGGTCGCGTGGAGAAGACGTCGAAATTGGTAGAGGGTGTTCGGTTGTCGTAGAGTCGTTTTAGGGAGGGTTTGCTGAGGACGTCGTAGGCAACTGCGACTTTCTGGAAGGCATGGGTCGCGTCGGGGTTGTCGGGGAATTTACTATAGGTAAGGTTGGCAACAAGGTAGCAGAACAGAACGGGGGGTACGGACTCTGGATGGCATGCTTTACTACGTGAAAGGTAGGCGCGTCGCAAGGTCATTTTGTCAAGAGTGGCGTCCTTGGATACGCCGAGAATCTGGTAGAGGTCGTCTGTGGCGAGGACCATGTCGACGACTGCATCCCCTTTCTCTTCTGTGTCATGGTTAGAAGGTCTGGATGAGGACTCCGAGGGGTTGCGTTTCGTGGAAGAGCCAGAGGGTTCAGCAACCCACGTGAGGTATTTGCGCTCGTAGTTTTCAATGTCCTCGTCCTCCTCCTCGTCGATGGGGAGGTGGAAGTACGTGCTCGCTGGAAGAGACGGTCAGGAGGGTTCTGAACGGGATTGAGGGCACCTACCTGTTGAGAGAGCGTAGGAGAACATGGCTAAGGGAGAAGAAAGCAAGCGTTTGTTTGATAACACCTCCACCAAACCCATGTGATTGTCAAATATCACAGTGCTGACTAAGCACGCTACTGCCCAACACGCGCGCCACCCGCCTCGCCGTCCCTCCCACTGACCCTCGACTACCCATTATCGTCAACCGCACGGATCCGTCTATGTCGCCGCCTCCGTATATAGTGAACTCGTAGCGTCCAAATGCCCAGTTTACGATGTACCATGTACCGTCGTCCAGCCTCACAAACCCCTTTAGGCGCCAGATCGACTCCCGAGGCAACAAATGTAGCGCTTCTATCACCGTGTCTTTCCCTATAACCCGTGTCTCTACGCGTCCACCTTCTCGCGCGTTCTCATGTGCGTGCACATGCTTGTGCTCTAGAGCACCATCGCGATAAATAGTCATTGTTTCCACTTCATCGTGCACAGCCCCTAATTCCGAGCTGTTATCCGCCGCCAGAAACAGCTTCGATTGACCTCCAAAGACCAGTTCCGGATCGATGCCGCTCTTCTCCTGGCATTTGATTTTTGGAGTCTCGTCGTTCAAGGTATAAAGGTGATCCATGACAATGTCCAGAGCGCGCTCCGAGATGTGCTCCCATTTGTTCTAGAACAGAATGAGGCTTTGTAGGGCACAAAGAGCACACAGAAACGCACAATTAGAATGATGTCAGTGTAGCTCGCCTGCATCTTCGCCGTAGGCGAGGTGTCTTCGTATCCCACAAAGTTCTCCGCATCGATAACGGTGACGATAGAATCCAGCACGAAATCGCCTCCAGTATCACGTTCTAGTTGGCGGATCTGGAACGCCAGCGTCGCAGGAAAAGCCGAGCCCCTGGAGGAAATTATTCTCCGAGTGAAGGAACGCATGCATCGACGTACGAGCACTCGATAATGATTCGGTCCGGATGATAATTGTCTGTCGATGTTGGTGAGGATTCCTCCGTAGTTTGATCATCGACATACCACGTATTTCCAGCAGCGCGGTCTGCATCTGACCCACAAGGACACAACACCTGCGAGATGAGTTGAAGGAAGTCTGAAATATTGGGTAGAAGATTCGCCAATCGACGTACATGCACCCATTCAAAATTTCGCTGACCGCCGCGAGTGACGAGTTTTGCGCAAGCTTGCTATCCACCTCGACATCGCCGAACTCATTCTTGAGCAACACGACCTTGTAGTCCTTGGGGAGCTTGGGGAGCAGCGAGAGGATGACTGTGGTCTTGCCAGCGCCGAGGAAGCCAGTGAAGACAGTGATTGGGATGGGTGCCATGGGCAAGTCCCTAAATTGACCGATCGCACTATGACGTAAGGCAGCACTGTTCATCATGGTCTTGTTCAACGCCCAAGCCCTTCTTGACAATGACCACCATCCGGGCAGCTGCCATTGCCCGCCTCCACACAATCCTCGCAGCCTCTGCCTTCTCCTCCGCCCTCATCATCGGCTGCGCGCTGCACTACCGCAAGATCGTCAAGAATGGCGTCGCCGGCTATCCCCAGGAGTGGTTTCCCTCGGTGTCTTCAACGTGAGTGCGTCGCCATTGAGCTGCGGTTTGACCGCTCACCGCATTTTCAGGATCGGGGACTGGTATCCTGAGCGGAATATCTTCCAGATTCTCATAGCACTCACGTCAGGTCGTATATCTCGCCGCAAGCTGCACCCCAGCCCTGACTTACGCTGTTCACTTAGGCCCGCGTTTCGCACTCGTGTTCTTCCAATACTTCCTACATCACTCAACCACATCTTCTCTACCCACCTTCGTCTTTCTTTCCGGGATCATACGGACGCTCTCCTGCGGAGGATGGGTCTACATCACGTCAAGCGACGACCATGACATCCACGACTTCATGATGATCCTCTACATCGTGTGCAACGTTCCCTGGATGCTGTTGGGCATCACCACGACACCCGCAGCCCGAGTTTCTGTTCGCAGGAAACGGTACCCCAAGACCCTTTTACTCCCGTGCCATGACTAACACCGCCTTGATTCTGGCTCGGCATCCAGGAAACTTGTCTCTGGCGCGTATGTCTTCGTGTTTCTTGGCACGCTCGACGCGTCATTCTTGACACTTTATCCCCTAGGTTCTTTGCGACTATCGTGCCCTTGGTGTACTTCTTCATCCAGCACAAAGTGAACCGAATACCAGGAGGTTCGTGCATTTTGAGGCCGTCTACCCCGCAAATCTATTTATAGATTTCGTCTAGCCTACACCCGTTACGCGTTCTTTGAATGGGGTCTTATTTTCCTCGACGTCTCCTACGACTCTATCTCGGAGCAGGAGTTCAGCGAAGTTGGCTTACAGGCGTGTTTGTACCTCCTGCCTTGGTCCTAGTGCTCACTGTGAATTTCAGATATCTCTCGCTGGTCTTGTTGACGGTGCTACCAAAGTAACGCGTGCCGAATCCATGTATTATCAGAATCTTCGTCGTTTGGCATAATAGTATTCACTACTAACACGGCTGTGATGTAGACCATCTGAACTATCTGCCAAATCCGTCGACACGAAATTAGCTCCTGCTGCAGAAACGCTTGCCAAAGCGGATAAACCACTTGCCGATGCAGTTCATGCCGCCCTTGACCCAGTCCCTGAAAATCATCAAGAAGATGAAGACGAAGACGAAGACTCGCTATTTGTCGACGATGTACCGATCTGGAGAGATGCCTCAGCGTTTGTCTCAGATGTGTATCTTTGTGGGTGCCCGCGTCTTGAGATCAGCATCTTGCAACTAAAATTCTCTCAGCGTACATGTTCTGGACTCTCTTCACTGCCCTTATACCCACCTTGTTCTACTTCTCAGTCTGGAAACTGGGAATTGCAGGCAACGAACTTGCTTTGCTCTCTGTGCTCTCGCCTTTACTGCTCTCAATTTCTTCGCCGTACAATTACATCTTCAATCCGTCGACTCTAACTCCGACTCCGGTGCCACCCCTTCTTGCTTATACAAAGTTGCGTCGTGGACAAACTGTCCTTCATTTTATGTCTCTTGTTGGTATTTTAGCATACTTTGTTCCCAGTCCTGGTGAGAGACTGGTTCTCGTGTCTCTTGGGAACATCATTGGAGTGATGAGGGAAGTCGTTGCTTGGTCTGGGATTGTCCAAGGCGGGAAGGATGTAGGATATCAATCCATCGGTATAATTTTCAACGCTTTTGACTGTGAGACGAGATTGCTGATTGCTGTCGTTCTTCAAGTGCTGGGATTGGGTGCCACTCTGGCCTCAGTTCTGAAACAGGCCAATAGGTCCAATAACCCTGGTACTCCTCTTCATTTATCCCTTCCTATGTTAGCTCTGATCTTTGCTCGCAGTTTGGCCGTTTATCAACTACAAAGCCGACGGGTGGAACAAAACCGGCATCTTCCTCGCCCTGCTCGCCATCTACGAATACGCTACTCGACCTATACCTAAACCCCAGCACACACCACCACCTCTTCCTTCCCAAAAACTTCAACCTCGGCCCAGCGTCTTCCTAAGTGCCTTGCCTCTCGGCTCGCTCCTCTTCTGCATACACAACCTCCTCTCCGACTCGAGCACTCTCATCGCATGGTCCTGGACAGGCTACGAGAACCGGCTCCCTCGCGGGCCCGTCCCGCACCTGCATGGCTCAGTGACCATCGGCGCCATGGTCCTCGGCACGTTTATCGCGCTGTGGTCCGTAACTCGCCTTAAACAGAAACCCAACCCTTTCGCGACCCAGGCTTGGTTCATGTTCGGCGCTGGTAGTGCATACGTGATGTATGCGTACCGAAACTGGACGGGGTATGTGGGTGGGTTGGGCCAGGCGGTGTTCTTGATGACGATTTTGCCGCTTGTATTCCAGAAAGCGGCGGATGCAGCTGAGGGTGGCGATGGTAGGGAGTTGAGGGTTGCGAAGGTGTACACGATTGCGTTCGCAGTGTACTGTGTTCTTAACCTTGCGAGCGTGTTTACGGTCGCGTATGCGTTTGTTCCTGGGGGCGTGTACTTTAGAGAACGGACTGACTTGTGAGTTCTGTCCATTTCTCCTGTTTTTGTTTTAATGACACTCGTCATTCCAGGGTGATAATCGTCCAAATGGCTTGCCTGCTCCCCGCATTCAACCTCGGAATATTCTCCACTGGCACAGCCACTTCTTCCCTCGCTCCTCTTACCACCAAGTTCAGATCACATATCATGGCCATCCTTTCGCTCATTTCGCTACTCTCCCTGCTGACGACGGTCTATCGCGTCCCACGAAATCCTCCACAACCATTCAAGGCCGCTGCGACAGGTCCTAGGATAATTAATACGGGTATCTGGACGGTGCATTTCGGCATCGACAATGAAGGCCATGATAGCCAGCGGGGTATCATGAAATTAATCACGTATGAGAGTGCTTTCTCCGGGCCTCGAAGCGCTGGTTGACTCGCCTCGTTTGTAGGGACATGGAGCTGGATGTTGTGGGCCTTCTGGAGACGGACTTGCATGTACGCGATCGGCCTCAACCTTTTTTCTTTCATCGACTAATCTAAGTCTTTCTAGAGAACTGCCTTTGGGCACCGCGACCTGTATGTTGTCCCTCTCTGGTCACTTTGTCAGTGCTAAGGCAGGCTCTTCAGGACTCGACGAATAGTTGAAGAGGCAAACTACGTAGGCCTCCCTCTCCCTGCGACGTTGATCTTTAAAATAACGCCCTATAGTATGTCGACATTGGACCTGGACCAAACTCACACACCTGGGGCGCTGTTCTCCTATCAAAGTTCCCTATTATCAGCACGACGCACCATCTCTTGCCATCTCCCCACGGCGAACTGGCACCAGCAATAGAAGCCATCCTAGATGTATACGGGACGGAAGTGCTCGCCCTTGTCTCGCATAACGGCCAAGGTGAGATTCATACCCTCCTTTTGACGGCGCGTTTATGTTGTTCCGCAGAGGAAGACCCGTTGGACAGAGAGCTGCAGAGTACGGAGCTGGCAAAGGTCCTTGCCGCTTCAACTCGACCTTCAATATTCCTTGGTTATGTGGTGACGAAGCCGTACAGGCCTCGTCCGGACCCCTATGGAATCTTGGTCCTTGAGGGCAATGTGCACGACATTGATGTTGATGACGCAGATCGATGGTCAGTGCTTCAATCCCTCACATTGATTTTCATCCACTGGAAATTGACACCTCGCCCAGGTGTGAATACATCTTCTACCGCGGTCTGTATCGTACTGCGTATGCACGGATTTCGCGTGGGATCATCACGGACACCGAGACGCAGATCGGACAATTCGTGCTTCCCCGACACGGACACAACGTCACGGATGACAGCCTCCCCGCCCGCTACCTCAGGTCGAGGAAGGAGGAGCTTCCTGTAGAGCATGTAAGGCTTCCTGATCATTATCTCTCAAGCGGATACTGAGATGCATATCCTCACAGTGGTTACCGATGGAATACTACGGTGATGCCAATAAGGGCGGTGTGAACGGGCATTATTATCATGTCTTCGGCACGGTGAGGACAGCTTCAATCTGTCAGGATGACAATCAGGCTAATCGCTAGATTTTCGTCTAGCCATTGTACTACAAGCTACCTGAAGGTGCAATTGTATGATTCAAGAAACCTGTTGTCATTGTAATTTGTACACTCCAGACAGCCTCCGCGTGTGTATGTAGGTGCTAATGTTTACAAAAAAAAAAAGTTACATCAAGGAAATGAGAGTCCACTGCTCGATCCTAACTATATTTATAGGCATAGAATTGCTCGCATAGGATGAAAACCTCCATCGGCGACATGGGCGTGCCATCAGGTGCAGGTGGGAGCTGCTTCAAGAAAAGCTCTACCTTGTCTCTAGAAAGCAGCGAGATGCCCAATAGGTGTTTCTCGGTTGTGCAGCCGAAATCGATAAAACGCTGGAAGAAATGCGTCATCGGGGGTACGCATGTGTTCAAGAACTGGTAAACACAGGCCATCTGGCGGCCTGCAGTGCCCTGTGTTTCGAGCGGCACATCCGCGGCACGAAAGGATTGGGATCCGGTAGTAGAGCCTGACAAGTTGGAGGAGCTCTTGCAGAGTGTTTGGCTGCTCGACAAAGCACCGTTCACCGACAATGTTTTTTGACGTCGAGGGACAGAGACGTAAGGCACCAGACGAGGTATCCAAGAGGACGGTGTGTTGTTCGCAGCTGGGGCCTCAGAGGCTCGAGATGTTGTGCGATTAATCGGTGTTCCGAAGATATGGGTATTTGTGGGCTGGCCTGCGTAATGGGCAAGGTTGGCAGCCATCCGTTCCACCAGCGGTATTCTCTCGCTGGTTTGGACAGCGAATCGAACAGTCCCATCGGGAATAGAGGGTGCAGATAGAGGTTCTCTATCCTGATATGAAGGTTCTCCACCTGTTGTAACCTTCTGCATTTGCTTTCGAGCTTCAGTTGAGAGTAGCAATGAGTTTTGGCACTGAAAACTCACTTGCTCACGAGAAATGCTCTTTCCGCCTGGGTTCTTTTTCTCATTCATCTCCCTCTTCCTTTTATATTCATATGCATTCTTTACTTGTCTGTGTGTCAAATACGACATTGTCTTCTCGAGGCGACCGGGGGCGTCAGGTTCTGCTTGCGAGAATAAGTCTGGAAAGCTTTTAACCAGCTACGTCAGTGTAAGCGCGGCTCTCTTACGAAGAAATTGTCCGAACTTGCCTCGTCCTCTATCGCTTTTGTTGCCTTCTTCTGCTTGCGCCAGCTTCTGTCTTTATCCCAATGTCTGCCAGCTATTGCTGTGATCCTTCTCTGCGGAGAAAGCGCAGTCAGCAGGGACTGAAGCATCAAAGTGTCGTGTATCTTACCCTAAAGAGTTCATAACACTCAGCGTTGTTGGTAAGGCGCAGTGCACTCTGCATTCGCTTCTTTGGAGTCAGTATTGCTCTGACTTGAGGACAAACTGATCGACGGGACATCCGAGGACTGTTCTTAGAGCGAGTATTCTTAGAGGTAACATTCGATTCTGTAGGCAATCAAGTAAGAATAACACGGTTTTAACATAGAAAGCGACTCACGAGGCATGCTAGGTATTACTTATCGTGGATTTGGAAGTTCAACCTTGTCAACAAGGCTTCGCGTCCAGAAGTTAGGGGTGGAACGCGTTTCCCCCGCATCACGTGGACATACCTCTTTTGGATGGCTGTGTGACGCCATCAGGGTCCACTGCAACTTGCTCCCGACAACCACCATGGGGCTCCTAATGTCCCTCCCGCTCGCAGGCGGGCTCACTTCTATCGCCACCTCATGCTTTGCTGGACTGGCATTCTGCTTCACATCTCATGCCGGTAAGTCCCAACTTTCTCTCCAGTATCATTCGTCTCAAGGTCTCTTGCGCAGCATCCTTGTTCTTCAAGTCCTGCAACTGTAATTCGTCCATTGCGACCCGTGTTGGATTTGCTGTATGCATCATTGCATGAAGCTTTCAACCAGTGCTGAACAACGTTCACAGATTATCTTCTGCCTCAACTCGATTCTAGCATGGATCATGAAGACCGATGCTGCAATCAAGCTCATAGAGAAATGGAGTTTCGATTACATAAAGATGGAATGTGCAGGAGAGAAGTGCTATGGGGTGCTGGCAGTACGTCGACCTATTTGCTTTAATTACGCTAGGCCTGACGCTTTCAAGGTTCATCGAATTTGTTTCGCCCTTGCCCTTTACCATCTTCTCCTCAGTGCGACTCTGGTTGGTGTTCAGGATACAAGAAACAAGCGTGCCGCCCTACAGAATGGGTAAGTCTATCCTACTCGTCTATAAAGATAGAATAATCTAACCGTCTATAGCTGGTGGGGTCCGAAAGTACTTGTTTGGCTTATCCTCGTCGGGGTCTCCTTCACGATTCCCAATGGCTTCTTCATGTTCTGGGGCAACTACGTCGCCCTCATCGGCGCCACGATATTCATACTTCTCGGTCTGGTCCTCCTCGTCGACTTCGCTCATTCTTGGTCCGAGATGTGCCTTGAGAAATGGGAGAACTCCTCGTCCAATCTTTGGCAATGGGTACTCATTGGATCAACTCTCTCCATGTACGCCTTCACGATTACCCTCACGGGCCTGCTGTACGCGTACTTCGCCGGATCCGGATGTACTCTCAACCAATTCTTCATATCCTTCAATCTCGCTCTCTGCGTTGTCATTACCATCATGAGCGTTCATCCAATTATTCAAGAACACAATCCTCGATCTGGACTCGCTCAAGCTGCGATGGTGGCCGCCTACTGCACATACCTAATCGTCTCTGCTCTTAGCAACCATGTACACGAAACCAAGCAGTGCAACCCTCTTCGTGATGGCAAGAAGACTCGCAAAGCAGTACTCGTTTTGGGTGGTATCTTCACCTTCTTGGCCATCGCGTACTCCACAACCCGAGCAGCCACCCAAAGCAAGGCATTGGTCGGCAATGGCAAGAAAGGCCGTATTCACCTTCCTGAAGATGACCCTTCCCACTCGGAGATGGGTGTCGTCACAACTCAACCCGGGCGAACAGAATCACCTCGCTATCAAGCCTTGCTCGCCGCTGTTGAAGCTGGGTTCGTACCTCACGTTCTATACATTTGATTCGGGGCTCATGTCGTACGCAGAGCCATTCCGGCTTCGGCTTTGCAGGAAGAGGAGGAGGAAGAAGAAGACGAGGTTGTCGGGGAGGCCCGAGATGACGAACTTACAGGAACACGATATAACGTTGAGTCGCTCCCCCCTTTGTTGAATAAGGAATACTGACCGGCTACCTAGTATTCTTGGTTCCACATCATTTTCTCGATTGCGGCGATGTATGTGGCAATGCTCCTGACTGATTGGTATGTGCCACTATTCGTCCTGCTCGAAGATGTCCATTCATCTGTTTATCCAGGAACGTCGTCTCGAAACAGCCCATTTCCGGCCCTGTGGACCCAGACTATGACGTCTACATCGGTCGCTCGGAGGTGGCGATGTGGATGCGCGTCGTCTCGGGCTGGGTGTGTATGGTGCTATACATCTGGAGCTTGCTTGCTCCTGTAATTCTACCAGACAGGTAAGTTCCCTGTCAGCTACTGCTCGCCGGCGCTGATTCGGAGGCCTACAAAGATTTGGAGATTCTTAATTTTCTCTTCGTGATCTCTATCTATATAATTATATTTCTCCTTGCTTCTGAATGATGGAACACTGTTACATTTTTGTTGATGAACGTCGAGCATATCAATGATAGCCTCTGCTATCGAACGTCTTCAATCAATTCATGAAGCTTTCGATTCTGACCGCTGTATTTCAGTATGTGACCTTGTTCCTGTTTCTAGATTTTTTCATTTACGAACTTTGCTGCTACAGCAGGCACCAATTGCGGTTCTGAGAGCCTTCGCGCCTGAAAATAAATACCACGTTTAGGTACAGGCGCCCTTTCCCGAGGAACTCGCGCCCCCAATTACCAATCCGAGGGTGGATTCGGATTATTTACTGACAAGTGAAAGGCTGCTCCGTCTTGATCCTCGACATCCATCTCCTTACCTGAGGTAATTCCCTTTCTCTTAGTCTCATCACAGTTAGGAGCTTGAGCGGTTGAAAGCATTAGCGCTGAGTGCCTTGCTTTAGGCAGGCTATGCATGTCAGTGCACGGACTGAGCATAGCCCTGCTACCGCCCTGTGCGGTATCGAATGTGTCGTGTCGCTGCCCTGAAATGTATGCCTCCTAGACAGGAATTGGCCGGAGGACCAGCAATAATGAGGATGCGGTCATCTTGATGGCACCTCGTGGATTCGGATGCTAAACGGAGGACGAGGTCGGTCGCCGGATGTTGTACTCGCGGAAAAAATTGACATGATCTCCGTCGCACCGATCACCGTGCCCCGGTTGCACGAGAAGCAAGATGATGTGCACTCGCGTACCTACATATAAGCACACCCTTGGACGCCAGGCTTCTTCTCTGCCCATGCCTTAACTCCCCGCGTCCCATCTGCCTCGACATCGCGCAGACAACGGCATATGGCTGATGCTGTCTCCCAAGATCCTGAAGCGTACAAGTCACTGTACGTCCACTACGCTCTTGCTCTGATTCTCCATCTCATCATTCTCTTCGACTCCAAGATATGTCAACAACTACCTGGCGGCCGCAGCCTTCAGTGAGTATCTGCATTGATTTCGAGTGATTCGAATCGACCCGACTGACTCTGGGTAGCGATCCTGTACTATGACTACTTCCTCACCTTCAATTCTGAGTACAATCGCTTCTGGCGCACAAAGGGGTTGACATGGGCGTCCTCGCTCTTTTATCTCAACCGTTATCTGTCGCTCTTTGGCCATGTCCCCGTGATAGTGCAGTATTTCTGGTCGTCGACGGATCCCGATCGACTCAGCGTGCGTTCCTCGTGTTGACACCTTGCCTGCATCTTACGTCGTTATCTTCCAGGTGTATGGCCAACCCTACCCTCTATTACCGTCGAGAGTCTTATGTACCAACAGGTGTAACCCACTGGTGTCTTTCCATCAATATCTGGCCGTCATAGTCCAGGTCATTGTCGGAAGTACGTTGTACCGTCGACCGTCTCAAGTGCCGTCTAATGATCCTTCCAGTCATGCTGATCTTGAGAACGTATGCCCTGTACAACCGCAAGCGGATTGTGCTCGCTATCCTCTGTATTTCTGGGCTGACCGTTATTATTTATGGTGTTGTGAGTTTTATTCTAAATTATGTGCAAAGGCCTCATTCACACAGCTCTCCAGTGGTGTGTCCTGAGTGGCGGAAGTCGGGAGCTCACAGTAGCTGACCTCGCAGTTCCTGGCTGCTTGCTACCTATGGATGAAGCCACGTTAGTGATTTCTTCCTGAGCTTTTGCACCCTCCGAACTCACCTCTTTTCAGGTCTTCTCGTACGTTTCATTCATCTCGACTCATCTGCCTCCATCTTATCCAGACGACAACAGGCCTTGCATCGGCATGGACTGGAATGCTTGCCTTCGATGTTTTGATTTTTTTTATGACTCTCTACATCTCCCTAACACGCAAACGCGAGGATGGAGACAGCACTATCATACACGTTATGCTACGAGATGGCACTATTTATTTTGGGTGAGCTAGATAGTGGAAGACGGACGAGCTTTTCAGACGGCTTAACCCGGTCTTTTCTCTAGCGTGATGATGGTCGCATGTGTCTCGGTAATTTTAACATTTCATGTATGCCAAGGACCTTTTTCTCGCCGATCTCTCAACTCACCCGTTTTTACAGCATTCATTATTTACCGTGAGCCGTCTCTCAGCAGCAACCTCAACCGAGTCTCACCCTCTCTTCCCAGACATGGGAACAAGGCATGACGACGACAGTAGCCAACGTGTAAGTCGAGCCAATCCGTTCCCCGGCTCTTCTGACAAATAATTCCCGTCAGGTTATCCTCTACGATGGTTTCCAGGCTTATGCTAAACCTACGTGATCCAAAACTGAGCGCCTACCGTCTACAACGCTCAGAATCCACAACGGGAGTGTCCCAGCCAGTCCTTACAACTGTCATCGACACTACGTTTACCGACAATTATGCTACTCCTGAGGATTACAACAGTAAGCCAATTGCACAGTTTAGCGTGTGCTTTGATGCTCATTTTAGTCCAGATATTCAGCTAGTTTCAAGGCATCATGATCCACGGGACAGTGTTTAAGACGACAATCTCTGCTAGTTGTAACATTAGTATTCTGTACTAGTATTGTAAATTAAAGTCGACTTACTTCATGCCAAAATGCTCAGTTCCACTGCTTTCAGGGTGGATCCTGTGGCGTGCGTTGAGGATATGATCATTTTGGGCAATTGCCATTATGTAACGCGCAGATCGCTCAAATCCGGCAGAGTCCGACTCTTCCTTGTGCATGAGCTGACCCGATGGTGGATGCATCTCTCTTCCACCACTACAGTGCACTGCCCCAGACATATGAAAACAATAATGAAGCACTGGGAAGTCTGAGGTGGAGTTGCATCCTAGCTTGATCGACGGACGCCGGCTGCCGTGCTTCATCAGTTCCGTTGTCGAACGGAATGTTACAGCCTCAACAGCTCTCCACGTAACCCCCCGGACCAATCCACCTTCTAAAACTCTGGCTGCAATGGACCTACTCTCTCGTCCATGCTTTTTCCGAGATATTTTTGGTTGCATCCGCCCGAGAGCTTCTAGTGAAGCCCAAATGCAGCTCAATACATCTGGGGTAGCACATGCCTAGCCATCTGTTTTCTGGTACGATAGGGTACGATCCGTTTCTCATGACGTTTGGCCACGGACAGGTGACCAGAACATGGACACGGGATCTGTCGCTAACTTCAAGTTGTTTGGCATCTGAACGCCGATTCTGCTCTCCACTGCTGAAGATTTGAACCCAATGGAGCTCATTCTGTAGCCGTCTCTCTGTCTCTCTCGAGGAATATCCGTCTCCGCCACCTGGTGCTTGACAACGCACATAAAGTGCTTGATCTGTGCAAGATCCAAACGGACCGCAAGGGCCGCCTTCTGTCTGAGGACGCGAGATTTCCGAACGGTCAATTCAAGGGAATGATGAGACTGGTGGTCACTAATTTTTGGTAGAGCAAGCTTACTCTCGGCGAGGGCCACATGCTGGCCAAAGAGAGGAGGAAACAGCGAGCTTCAGAGCTCGTGAATAACCAACGGATTCTTCTCGGAGGCCAATTCTGATTTTCATGGAACGACGGGCCCTAGAAAGATAATCTTTCGAGATATAAAAGACTTCGCAGAAAGGTGGAACATCCAACAAACAAGTTCGCAAGATGTTTAACTCCAATATCGTCGCCTTCTTTGCTCTCGCTACTCTCGTCGGGGCCAACCCGTGCGTCTTCCAAATCACCAATTTATTCTTCCTCCTCGCCGCTAATTCTTCGTCCCTTAAGGTTGGAGCGCCGTGAAGCTACCAATGTCTTTCCAAACCCCCCTACCACCAGCTCTCTGAGCAAGCCCATCACTGTCAAGGCCGGGCAGACCTTCACACCACCCACCGCATACACCAGATACGATCGTGGCTCTGGCGCATGCAACGGGCAGAGCGAGGGCGGCGACGCAGATGCTGTCTTCCTCCTGGAGGAGGGAGCCACCCTGAGCCGCGTCGTCATCGGTCCCAACCAATCTGAGGGTGTCCATTGCCTTGGTGAGCTTCCATTCACCTCACTTTATTGAAAAATAGGACGTATTTTATTTGCCAGGTTCCTGCACTCTTGATCATGTTTTCTTCGAGGTGAGCATTATTTTTAGTTGGTCCCAAGGGCCACCGGGCTCATTCGCCTTTAGGACGTCTGCGAGGACGCTGTTACCATCAAACAAAAGAGCGGAACGAGCCGCATCAACTATGGAGGAGTAAGTCGACCGCTTTCGAATGACTGGCATTCCCTCATCCATTCTGTGGTTAAACTTTAGGCTAAGGTCTGTCAATCACGCTATTTTTAGGGTGCCGTAATCTCATGACCGACTCCCTTGAAGCATGCCAGCGATAAAGGTAGGACTCGCTTTGAGAGATGGTTGTTTAAGCCTTTTGACAAGGATAATAGTCATACAACACAACGGCGGTGGAACGGTAAGTTATTGCCCTCTGGCCGACAGTTCACTCCAGTAATCAAGAATCTGCTCTCACAGGTTATCATTAACTCTGTGAGATCTCGGTATCACAGGTCGTATGATAAATCGCTAACGAGGCTGTAGTTCTACGTCGAGGACTTTGGGAAGCTCTACCGAAGCGTTAGTCCCTTCCTTAGTAATTCCCAGTTTCTTTGAACACCCTGTTTACAGTGCGGAAACTGCGGCACCCAATACACACGCCACGTCCAAGTAAGTCCCGAGTAAATTATAACGAACTAGGTCATGCTGACTGGAGTAGATCAATGACGTCTGGGCGGTTAAAGGGAAGAATCTGGCCGGAATTAACACAAACTATGGCGAGTGAGTCCGATACCATGTCTTCCACGTTAGTCTTTTGCTCACGGCGTGAAATAGTACCGCGAAGATCAGGACCACGAAGGTTTCTAGCGTCAGCAGCATCTGCGACAAGTGAGCTTCTATCACCGTGACTGATGACTGAAGCTTTGAAGATTGAATCTACACTAATATCAAACAACCAGGTATACCGGAAACAACAGTGGCAAGGAGCCCACCAAGACTGGCAGTGGACCGGACAGCCAGGTATCATTCTTCCGTACCCTGCTTGCTGAACCCCTCATTTAACATTGATTTTTCCCCTCTAGTATTGCCTGTATTCAAGCTCTGATATCACGTCGGCTTAGGCGGACGTTTCCTTATCTTTCATATACGAAAAAATGTTTCTTCGAAGCTGTACATACCCTCGCGTTTCAATTGGACATGTCATGTTGATTTTATGTCGACTCGCGCTTCTTTTTCTGTTGTCCATCGACGTGTGGTGGCGGCTTGGTGGCGATAGGAGAGCTTTATCTCCAGATCCCAAAGCCGGAGATAAGATTATTGAGGAACTTGGCAGGGTTTCGACAATGAAATCAGCACGCGCTCAGGAACGAACCAAGGATGATGATCTCCGTCGCTTCGCAGGTCAGTGGACGCTTGTTGATCCCGACCACCACCAAGTTCAACTTGAACATGAAGTCGTTTCACCCTCCCTCTGCAAGAGACTTCACCCTTCCACAGCCGCCTTTCCCCACCGCACTCACCACATGTCTTGGACTCCTCATTGCCTCTGAGGCTTCGGCATTCTACGCAGGGAGCGCAGGCTTTAAAGTCCTCGCTTCCCTATGCTTTCTAATAGCAGGCGTCAGCACAGCGTCGGCACGACTCGACCTGCTCAGCTGGACCGCGCTCACCGACCCAGAAAATAGGTTTACAGTTGGGATAGTCCTGGGTCTGGTGTTCAGCGTGGTGGGAGATGTGCTTCTCATACCATCGCGTGCGAACTACATCCAGCTGCCACAATCCTCAGATTCTGAGTCGAAGAAAGGGAAGGGCAAGAAGAAGAAAGGTTCACGACCGCAGAACCAGACACATTCCACCCCAGATTCAGAGTCACCCAGCTTCAAGGCCGGCATGCTCGCTTTTGCCCTCGCACACATCTCATACACCCTCGCCTTCCTTTCTACCACCACTCTCTTTCCCACCACCGCTTCCCCCTCTCCTCCAACAGAAATTCGATGGGGCGACTTCGGAATGACGCTCACGTTTGGAGCTCTTCTGACCGACTGGCTAGGGCTACTCAAACCAGAGCTGGTCTACGGCGCATGGTTCGACGTCCCGAAGAAAATGAAGCCTCTTGTCGCAGTGTACGTGGCTGTGATTGTGGTCATGGTCGCCACCGCTACTGCGACGGATACCGGGTACCAGAGGATCGCCGGCGCGTGGCTATTCATGATTAGTGACTTATTCGTTGCTGCGAACGCTTTCGGTGTAAAGGAAGACGAAGAATCGCAAGATAAGGCGACAGAACGACGAGGACGAGGGAGGCCGGAGTGGAAGTCAGCATCGATCGGGTGGGTGGCGTACTACGCGGCTCAGATGCTCCTCGCGGGTTGTATATGAACCAAGGTTTCGTGATATTATTACTGTGAATCATTCTAACGACCGTGTTCACAAGGCTTTCTCCATCTCGATCAACTCGAGGAGCGTCCTGTAATACTTGTTGTCCGCGAAATTGTCGAGGTTGACCGCCTTCAAAGGACCACGAACGCTGGGAGTGCCATAACCAAAGTTCCTTGATATGACTGCCTTGATCCCTCCAATCCCTCCAACCTTCGATGCAGCCCAATCTCCTTGGCCCAGCTTCCCTTGCAGAACCATCGCCTCCAGGTGCTTTCCCTCCTGGAAGAGCTTGTAAAGCTTCCCATGCAACTTCGGAACCAGGTTCACCAATGCAGCGATGGTGCCAGCACTTCCTGCGTTGAGACCATGGAGGAAGGCATCCGATCGGCCGGCGTAGACTGCGAATTCGGATGACGGGAAACGCGTCGTAAGACGTTGCAGCTTGCCAATGTTCCCGCAGGATAGCTTGGTCCCGACGATGTTGGGATGCTCGGCGAGTGTGGAGAGGATGTCCGAGTCGAGGTCCTGACCAGCAGTGACGACAGGGAAGTTGTAGATCATCGTCGGAATTGGAGATCCATCAGCTACCTGGACGGAACGGATCAGCGATCATGAGTGGTTGGCGAAAAGTTGTGTGGAAGACTTGCTTCGCGATGGAATCGGAGGACATTCTCAACGGTCATCTGGGGTGGCCAGGTTGAGGGGGTGAGGACCAGAGCATGAGATGCGCCTGCCTCCTTCGCGTCAACACAGAGTTTTTTTGTCTCGCGAGTAGACTGTGCGCCGGTTCCAGCGATCACGAGCACATTCTGAAAGCCGTTCTCGTCAAGAGTTTGTCGGGTGAGGGCGATCGCCTGCTTGCGTTCTTCGTGCGATCTACGATGGTGTCAGTCGGTCACGATTTTGAAGGGGATGGACAGATCGCACAGATGTTGAGCCTCTCCATTCGATCCTTGGACGAGGATGCCTGTTACGCCTCCTTGGGCGAGACGGAGGACGTGAGCCTTGATGTTAGGGACGTCGAGCTCCTCATTCTCATCGAAGAAGAGTACTGCAGGGACATAGTAACCTGGAGGGGGAGGCGGAGAAGCGGGCATTGCTGGTCGTGGGCATGGTGAAGTTCAGAGAAGATCTAAATAGATTTCGGAAAGAGGAGAGATTAGAAATCATTAGAAGGGGATGAGGAAAGATTAGGGATCGCCGGATCTAATCTAATCAGGCCGTATTTTGGTTTGTTGCACGTCATGCCTCGGCGCGGCAAACACTTTCTCCTCCGTCCCCACCACGACCGACGGCGCGTTCGTAGCTGCCAGCCATGCTCGCCTTCGCCAGACGTCGCCTCACATCGGCACTCGCATCCCGAAAGGTCGTCACTTATGGCCTGCAGGGCGCGCGGAGGCAGCTCGACGCGGTGCGGCCAGTTCGACGACAGTTCAATACCTTTTTGGCCTCGGGATCGCTCCGACGACGATACACGACGCCTTCTCCCGCGATGTTAAGACTTATGCACGTACGCGCCATATCATACTCTTCAATACCAAGATTTGTCGCCCGTGCATTCCGGGTGCCCATCGCTGGTGCAACTATCGGCGCAGGAGGGTTTGGGTATGCCAACTACAAATTTGAGGGTGTGTTTCTTGCTCCTTTTTTTCTCGCTGACCTTGAAGCTTATTCTACGCAGAGATGAGAAAGACGACTGGAGCTTGGATAAGCACTGCCCAAGAGACAGTCGGCGATGCTTTCGAGACCGCTTCTGAGGGTATCAACGCCGTCACTTCGCGTCTTTCCGCTCTCAAACTCCCCGAGATCCCGACTGTCGAGGCCCCTCAATTCCTCAAGACACTGTTTTCGGCGAAGGAGAAGGGGCAAGAAGAGGAGAGTAAGGAGGAAGACCAGGGCGAATCCGAAGGCTCGAATGGGCCGTCACCGAAGGATGCCGCCGCGATAGCTGCTCTTGTAGCTGCGACCATGTCTTCACCTTCCGATTCTAAAGACAAATCCGACGAGCTGTCACCGGACTCACGACAGAATGGTCTCATGCATCTCACACGCAAACTCATCGAAATTCGAAGTATGCTTCTCAGCATCGACCAGAGCGATGCCCTCAAGCTGCCCAGTATTGTCGTCATTGGTAGTCAGAGCTCAGGCAAGAGTTCGGTGTTGGAGGCAATTGTTGGCCATGAATTCCTTCCCAAGTGAGTTCTCGTTTGGTTTTCACTCGGGATGCTGAACGTCATGTTCTTCCAGAGGCAACAACATGGTTACCCGACGGCCAATTGAACTCACTCTCATTCACACTCCAGCGAAGGACGGTAAAAGACCGGTGGAATATGGCGAGTTCCCTGGATTGGGCATGGGCAAAATCACCAACTTCGCCGACATCCAGCGAACCCTCACCGACCTCAACCTCGCCGTCCCCTCCTCCGAATGCGTCTCAAACGACCCCATTGACCTCCGGATATACTCTCCCAACGTACCCGACCTTACACTTATTGACCTTCCTGGCTACGTCCAGATCTCGTCCCTGGACCAGCCAGAGACTCTCAAGGAGAAGATCGCGGGGCTCTGCGACAAGTACATCCGGGAACCGAACATCATCCTGGCCGTTTGTGCCGCCGACGTCGATTTGGCGAACTCGCCTGCACTACGGGCCAGCCGGAAAGTAGATCCGCTGGGTTTGCGTACCATTGGAGTCATCACGAAGATGGATTTGGTGCCTGCGGAACAGGGTGCTGGCATCCTGTCGGGAAACAAATACCCCCTTCATCTGGGCTATGTCGGTGTCGTTGCCAAGGGTGCTGGCAAGAAGTCGAATAGTAAAGACGACAAAGCCCTTGTCGCGCAACGTGGAGAGAGCGACTACTTTGGTGCCCACCGGGACGTCTTTGGTGCTCAACCATCACTAATGACGGGAACTGACACCCTGCGTCGTCGTCTCATGGAGGTCCTCGAATCCTCAATGGCGTCGTCATTACACGGCATCACGAACGCTGTACAACTAGAGCTGGAGGAGGCGACGTACCAGTTCAAAGTGCAATACAACGACCGTCGAATCTCCGCCGAGTCGTACGTCGCAGAGACGATGGACATGCTCAAGCTACGGTTCAAAGAGTCAACGCAGCAGTTCCGCCGGCCGATCATCCGCGAGAAGCTCAAAGGCATGCTCGAGGACAAGGTAATGGACATCCTCGAGCAGCTCTACTGGCTCGACAAGCGCTCGCCGGAGCTCGGCACACTCGCGCAGGACCCGAAGGTCAAGCCGGAGGACGTCGAGCCGTACTGGCGGCACAAGCTTGAGGCCGCCTCGTCGCTGCTCACCAAGTCGGGCGTCGGGAGGGACTCGACACTGCTCGTGGCGGACGGCCTGCGCAACCTGATCGACTCAATCGCTGCGAACGAGCCGTTCACGTTCCACCCGCGCGCCGCCGAGCGCCTAACGCAGTTCTCGCACATGATTCTGCGAGACCGCGTCGGGGTGACGTCGGACCAGGTGGAGAACTGCATCAAGCCGTTCAAGTATGAGGTCGAGGTCGAGCCGCGTGAGTGGGAGGTCGGACGTGAACGTGCGGCGGCGATGTTCGAGCATGAGGTGGAGATGTGCGAGCAGAAGCTGAGAGAGATCAAGAAGAAGGTTGGTGGAGGGAGGAGGTTGAATGCTCTGATGGGCTATGTGAAGACCTTGGAGGAGAAGCAGCGAGAGAAGGCGCTCAAGAGGGCAGAAATTGGCCCCGACGGCGAACAGGAACCGGAGGAGACACCAGAATCATATCGGTACCCCCCAGCCCAAATCATGGATGGTACGTGTAGTATAGGTTTTAACCATTCAGAAAACTACTCAATCTTTACTCTCCAAAGCTCGATATGCGTCAATGTACACCGACCGACTAAGCATCCTCAAGCTGCGCATTATGGCACTCAAGTCCAAAAGATGTCGCGCTGGCCCACAAAGCGAGGTGTTCTGTCCCGAAGCCTTCCTCAACGTCGTCGCCGACAAACTAGCATACACTTCCGCCATGTTCATCAACATCGAGCTGCTCGACCAATTCTTCTACCAGGTAAGCACCGTTTTACCATCTTTCCCTCTATTTCTTGCTCACCAATGACCTCTCGATAGTTCCCTCGTGAAATCGACTCCCGCCTGCTATACGATCTCGACCGGAAAGAGATCGTCGAATTTGCGCGTGAAAATCCTGTCGTCCGGCGGCATCTTGACCTACAAGAAAGGAAAGACAAACTAGAGGAAGTTATGAAGCAGCTGAACAGCCTATCAACGCTGCGTGCAGATCCTCAACCTGCTCCTCGTCGACATCGCGGGCTCTTCGGTAGTGTCTTCTGAGTTTTCGGTTTGATGGGTTCCTTCTTTCCTTATTTCTATTCTTTCACCCCCCATATATGCTATCCTTCGAGGCAATTTACGTGGAACGGTTACATCTAATTCCCTTTACCTCCTTAATTTTAGAGATGTACATGGTGAATACACTCCTCTCACGATGCCTCTTGATGATTGATGACCACAGCAAACTGAGCGCGACCCCTTGCTTTGTTGTGAGCTTGAGGCAATCTTCAATACCTTGAGTTTGTTGCTGTTCAGCAAAGTTTTGACCAACGAATGGTTGGTAGCGTGCAGGGGTGGCAGAAGGCGAGGAAGATATAATTAGATCAGTACATATGCAGTCTATGAAATACATCTACAGCTTCGCCTTCGCGCCCTAGAGCCAACCAGCCATCAGCATACACCCACAAAAACAGGTTCAGAATATGCACCTTCAGGACGGTATCCAGCTTAGTCGCAAGCATCATGTTGCCCTTGGTCTTTAGCTTGCCCGTCATGAAGGCTTTTTGGCCGTTGAGCTGCAGCACAACCAATGAAGTCAGCTCTCACTTGCCACCACTAGCGACCAAATCCCCCAAGGAAACACAAACGTACCTTGCCATCAGCGAGGTCGACGAGGGTCTCGTCGGAGAGGATGATGGTGACGTCTGCCTTGGGCTGGGCCTTGCCCTTGTACACGGTGCCCGTCTTCTTCATGTCGATCGTCCATGTCACGGTCTCCTTCGCGGTGTTGGTCACCTGGAGCTCGAAGATGCCATTCGTCTATGCGCGACGTCGGTCCGTTGGCACCCAACGTCGGTATAAGGGGAGTAAATACGCACCTTCTTGATCTGGGCCTGCTTCTCAGCGTCGGTGTACTTGGAGAAGGCGGCTTCCAGCCCTGAGATGAGGTCTGAAGACTGTGAGAACGGACGAGCGTCAATTTCGCTTCCTACGACGAAAAGCAGCAGCAAAACCAACCTTGAATCCGGGCGCTTTAATGTCAGCCATGGCTAGAGGTGTGAGGAAGGAGAAGAAGAGGGTGTGGTGGGGACGAGTGAGAGCAGATCTTTATGTTTGTGGGGAGGTGAGTTTGCATATGATATTGTGGGTCGCGTGCATGTGACTTGCAAGCGACCCCCACAGCCGTCGAGTCGACCCCGAGCTCGTTAACCTTCCCCACCATCTCCCAACTGTCTTCTTGATATCATGGCCATCTTGATCTGCTTTTCTATTGCCTATAATCACGGGTCTAACGGTTGAGATGGACTGGTCAATGATCTGAAGTTTGTTCAACCTTGAAGCTCGAAGGTTGCGTTCCTTTCGTTCATTGTTCCGACAGTGATACAGTACGACCCGCTTTTCTGCACACGGCCCACACGGCCCACACTATTGGCTCGACATTGGGGACTCATTTGCTCCTGGGCAAGGATTCGGGAGGATATATTCACTGCATCTCGCGTCAGAACAGATCGTCTGTCTCGCAAGTGTCGACCAGCCAGATTGACTGCGACCACCGTTCTCTCTGGATGGCCATCTCCGTGATCTGCCAAGGTCTCCCAGCAGGATATGCTTCTTCATCTTCCGGTCGGCCAGGATTCAGCACAATCGACAGCAGACTTCTCACAGCTTTCCTCGAACTCAGCCTTTTGCGATGCAACCACTTCTATCTTCTCTCAGACGACTTGCTTGGCTCAAGTTTAAGGGACAACACCCCAAAAGCCAAACCCTGACATATCCCGCGGTTAGGTCTTCTCTCCCGAGGATGCTGTGGTTCCTTTCCCAGCGTCTGAAATGCTTTGAGCCTCCTCGAAAGCCTCCTCTCAGTGCAGACAAGTACCTGTATGACCCACGCCTAATACGATGTAGACGATGCTAGCGGGTTTTCTGGAAGTATTCAATGCTCCGATCGTTCGAATTCAAACCTCGCTTTTGTAGCACATCTAGTTGTGAGGAAATGCACCATCCTCGAGGCCAGCAGCCATTCAATTCAGAAGCAAGGAATTTCGGGACTATTCAGGCGATAAGAATAGTATTTGAGTTTGCTGCAAACCCATGTGCATGAAGAACAGAAAGGAGAGGTTGAGGCAACGTTTGCGAAGGGGACCGAATAAGGGAATGGCCATAGCCAAGGCAAGACATGGCACGAGGTGGCTGGAACAAACAAAGACCAGGCCCTCCCACAGTCCCCCACATCCCGCCCAACATCACAACCCAGCTGTTAACACCCTCCGCATACCGTCCACACCTCCGCCATTGGCGCCAACGACGATGAAGTACATCGAGATCCCCGCCCTCTCCCACCTCGCGCAGTCGCTGACACACGAGGGCCCCGAGTGCTCCGTGCACACACGTATGGAGGCGTACAGCTGCAAGAACATCAAGCGCGACAAGAAGCTCTTCAAGACCCTCGAGTCCGCGTACCAAGACGACGTCTCCAACTCGCCCCCGCTGCCCTCCTGGCTCGCCCTCGACCGCGAAGCCGAAATGACGCCATTCGGCCCCATCGACAAACACGCATCGCGAAAGACGCTCTACCTCCTCATTGCCACCCTAAACGTCGCATTCCCCGACCACGAGTTCTCCGACGTCCGCCCATCCCACTTTGTGAAAGAGGAGGACGGCGCAAACATCCTCAATGCCCTCAGCAACACCCTCATCTCGCCTCACAGAGCCGGCTCAAGCGCACCACGCACCTATTCCTCCTACCCGCCCACCTCCCCCGACTTCTTCCCCTCCTCCGAGTCCAGCTCAACCTCACCTTACGAGCGGAAGATACCCAGCCCCCTCGCACCGCCCGCGATAGTCTCAGGCACCCACCCGACTCTCTTTCGCCTGATAGACGACGTGATCGGCCTATCGGAATGCGATGTCTTCTCCTACACCCCCGAGATTGATGCCGACCCACACGCGAACGACTTCTCCGATGACGATGACGATGTCGCATCCATCGCCGACGAGGCGTCCTCCAGCGACGAGGACGGTACCTTCGAGTTCGACAACTACGATATTGATGAAATCAAACCGAGAAGTTACTCCTCCAGCACCAAGATCCCCCCGCCGACGCCTCGTGCGGCGATAAACTACTCCGTGTTTGACGACCTGTCCTCGTCACCGGTCCTGACAAGTCTGCGGTTCAAACGTCGCGGAGCGCTGCTGTGGTCCTCGCACTGGTTCTTCCTTAACCGCAAGCGAAAGCGTGTGCTTTTCATCTCCGTGTGGGCGAGATCGACCGGGATCGGACGCATGTATACGAGTGACGAAGATGAATACGAGTTGGACTTTAGTACGTCTTCGAGTGAGCGGTTCCGTGGCTGGGAGGGTGGTGATGGTCTTGGTGCGCGGTCTCTCGGTTTGAAGGCATTCTGATCATCCTGTGTACATTATTGGTGTAAGTGCCGTTCGTACCTCGCAGGACGATCACGACCTCACCCATATACCAGTTTCGTTCGATACCTCTTCTCCGCGCCCCCGTCCTATGACCTCTATTCCGTTTACTCTATGAACCTTTATGAGCCTCCGTTATCGGCGTATTTTTTGCTGAGGTCTCTTCTATACTTGTATCTATATCTGCTTCCATCCTCTACGCTTGGTGATTCTGCTAGTTGCGGACGTAATTCATCGACGTACCTGTAAATAGCTGTCGGTGTGCCAAATATTGCATCCTCTGTGCTTATTTCGACGGAATGTTCCTTGGTCATCTGGTCTGTGATTGGCGATTCGGGAGGTTTCCGGGACAATGCTGATAGCGCGAGGTAGAGTGTCGGGCTACGAGGATGTGGCTCGATATGGGGCCAAGCACGGCGACTCCAAGGAATGCTACGGAGCAGAAGCCAACGCGACGAAGAGCGATTCATGGAGTCATCATTTTGGGCACGCCGATCTAAATAGATGTAGAGCGTCAGTGGAGCAACACAAAGGTAGAGAGTAGGAGCAGAATCACACCTCAAGCGCTATCTCGTCGTACAAAAAGATCATGGCGGCGAAAAGAAATTTGGATCGTCAAGTGACTCCTCCAAAAGCGTGCTACAGGCTGCTAAGATCAGATACCATCGATAACGATGAGGACACTGCAGCGCAGCGCAAGAAACGAGGGCTCACATCGACGCTGCATGCTCGACAGAAACCTTGTGGCGTGAGGAAGGAGGAAAACATGGCCCTAGAGTGTTGGGTCCAGCCTCCAAACATGAGTCACTTTGACCATCATGCTGGTCGCACGAGTAGATACAAATCCACGATTTTCAAGGGGCTCACGTCGATGAGCTGGGAGATCGCGATGACATTATCCCCTTTTCCAGTCGTGGCGAGGTCGACGAGGACAACGACGAGAAGCTGCAAGGGGCCGGATGGAGGATGATTCAATTTCAAGAAATTTGGTCGGCTACTTTCCGAATCGATCTCCACGTCATGTGACCGTATCAGGAGATGATTTCCCACACTAGACTTTTCAGACTCGCCTTCTTTGTCTTTCTCTGTCTTTGGATTGGGCGCGCGGTGCCTCCTGGCTTCTCTCTCGCCTGTTCTCCCGCTTGTGCACACAAAGGTGCTCAGGAGCGGTTGGGATCCCTTTAGAACTGCTCTTTGAGTCGCTGCCACCGGTATTACTAACAGATCACTGTATCTGAAGCTCTGGCGCTCGAAAATCCGGAACCTTGGCGTCTGCGTGTCCCAAGTCGATCGCTGTTCTCTTTGAGACCCTGCCAGCGAACTGTTCTGCAAAATAATATCCACCGTTTATCCGGATTCCGAGATGCCATTCTCACTGGTTGCTAGCCACGCCTGAGGCAGGATTTAGCGATACTTATCCCAGGAAAGAATGTCCATAAGAGACCCGTGTCGCCGGACGCCACATGATTCCGCCTAGAACACGGGATCCTACTATCCGTGGGCGTTCGTGGAGGTAAACAGCCATCTCTGGTATGGTCTCTCCCTCCAAAAACATTCGTATCTGCAGCCGTCTCCAGAAGCACGACATACAATGTCGAGAAATATCCGTCTTCTCCACCGCGTCTCGGTCCGATCGCGATTTCTAATGCTCACCTGCACGCGGTCAATTAATTCTTTCGCCACCAACTTTTGCATGCTGGGCAAACCGGAAAAGAATACCGTTCTGCAGGAGCTCGTGAACAACCCAGCGGTTACTCTTCGGGAGATGGTTTTTTGTGCCATTTGGGAGTGGGTACGGATAGCCGCAAAAATGGGAGTATAAAACCTTTTTCGCGATGAGGAGAGTAGACAGAAGAAGTCAAAAAATCTACGAGATGTTCGACTCACAGATCGGCTCACTCCTCGCCCTCGTAGCCCTCGTCGCCTCCAACCCGTTCGTCTCTCTCTTTGTTTCTATGACCCTTTGTTTCGTTGACCCTCTTTCCCTTGTTCCCCCCGAGGCTGGAGCGTCGTGCCACCAACGTGTCCCCCAAGCCACCTACAACTAGCTCCAAGTGCGCGCCGGATCCCCGCTGGCACGACCTTCACATCTCCTCAGCCGTATACGAGGTACGACCGAGGCGGCGACGCCGACCCCGTCTTCCTCCTCGAAGAGGGAGCGACTCTGAGCCTTGTTGTCATTGGCGCCAACCAAGCTGATGGCATTCACTGTCTTGGTACGCATTGAGACGTTATTTTGCAACTAAGAATCCTTCCTGATGCTGGCTTCGTGAAGGCTCGTGCACCCTCGACAACGTCTGGTTCGAGGTGACGACACTTCAATTCAATACTTGCTAATTCCACTGTGCTGATTCGAGTGGCAGGATGTCTGTGAAGATGCTATCACGATCAAGCAAATGAGTGGAACGTCCCGCATCATTAACAGCGGACCTTCACATACCTTTGTTGTTCCAACAAGACGAGAACCGGTAATGGTGTACTTGACAACACGGCGTTCTGGAGGATCCGAAAAGACTCCCATCGAAGCACTTCTATGGCCTCGAGGGCACCTTGCAAGCGCTCACTTCGTTCCGTTCTTCGTCGAGGACTACCGAAGGTCCAGAAATTTCGGTGACATGGCCCTAAACATACCACCGTCTAATATAACGGGCCGTTCGAATCATTTCTTCTGTAGACCTCTCTAAGACGTTCGCACATTTACATTCCAGAGCTGACAGAATCTATCAGACAGGAACGCCGATCATCGAACGCAGGTTTCGTCGTCCTCAATTGACCCAAATCTGATAAAGAAGGATACTTTGCCAAGGCAGCCTTGGGGTGTTAAACGCTTCACGAGCTCGACTGTACAGTTGGCGCTAGTTAGCGGCAAAAATGTCGCCGCTCTTCTCCCAAAGCGCCCGTTCCCAAAAAAAAAGGTTTCTATCGAAGAAATGCTTGATTTATACGAGCTCCTTTGTAGTCTTCACTTCCTTTCCACCTTCTCAGGCTTGGCAGACAACTCTTGACCAGGCCAGCAAGGTGCACATAGCTCCTTCCTCCGCGGGGATCCGTAGTCAAACGGAATCAAACTGAAAACACCACGTCCCTGACCCTTCCAAGCCCGTTCTCCTGGTTTGATTAAATCACCCCTGTGCAATTATTGCTTGTTCGCTGCTCTGGAGGGAGAATGAACCATACACTAATCCGTAGCGCGGAAAGACGCAGTACAAGCGGGACGTTGAGGTACATTCTCCCTTCTTTGGCATCCAAGAAGCGCTCAACGCCTTCATTAGGTCATTGATTCTATCACAATCTCTGGAAAGAACCTGGTCAGAATCAATTCGTAAGCTTAGTTTCATTCCCTTTTTAGAAATCAAAAACTAGAGCCGGGGAACAGAAACCTCGAGTGAGCAGAACATTTGCTTCTCCATGATTCTTGATCATCTCGGGCCCTTTAGCACCGCCAAGATCAGAAACACAAATGTTAACGGCGTCAGCACAATCTGCCAAAGGTAGCTTTATCTCTCACTTCGTGGCTCTGAGCCTCTGACTTTGATCTAAGTTCAACGGACATAGCAACGGTGCTGAGCCCACCAAGGCTGGCAGCGGTCCTGATGCCAAGGTACGCCACACTGACCTTCCTAAATAAGGCTATCCATTAACACAGCAATCCTCAGTTCTGCCTCTTCGCTAACGCCGATATACTTTATACCCAGGTTTCTGCTGTCATACCGTCATGAAGCATGTCGATACATTCATTTCTCGGCACCGTCGGCATGATGGGCGCTTATCTTATTTGTGAATGCTTCCAATCAAAGATCTCGGAATGATCCAGTCCAGTGACAAGTTTCCTTTTGCTACCATGTGGAGCACGGCACGGCCCAAGTAAGTACCACTTCGAACACCAACATCAAATTAGTGGCTGTGGGTGAAACAATGTACCCCAGACTTCTCGTAAAAAGGATGGACCCTCGGTTCGGCATCGGCGATGTTCATGAACCACCAACCCCGCACATAGCGTGACACTGAATGATAGCTTCGCAACCATCTTGCGATGGGCCCAATTTATGAATCTCTCAACAACAGTCTGGCTCTGCAATTTCCCTGAAACTGGAATCTGGCTAACCCTCTTTTTGTGCGACTCTTATAACCAGCTCGTTCCAAAGGTCATGAACTTGAGCTTTGGCAAAGTCAATGATATCCATCCCATCCTTTTTATAAATGTCTCCACAACAGCCACTCCCTCCAACTCCAATGGACGCTCCAACGCCACTTGATACTTTATATTATGACCTGCACTGCGGCCATTACTCTTTATAACAGAAATCACTGTCACTTGCGAGCTGCAAGTGACTATGACTCTCCCAGTGTTCCTCCCCAAATTCCCTCAGAACGCACGTTCTATGCCTCTGTGCATCCCACAAGCTGTGCTCCGACACGCAGCTCCCTCCGGGCCATGGCCATGGGCTGACCTTGTAGAAGACGACAGCCTGTTCACCATAGAAGATACTCAAGACAAAGACTCCGCATCACCAACCAGTACAAATGCAAAGCTCTGGAAGAAGTACCCTGCACTGTACTTCCCCAACTGGACCCGCTCACGCATAGAAAGGAGTGGGATCGCCAAAGTCATCAGGAGGCATCCTGGTCCCGATTGTGTGATCTACCATCTTGACGTTGGGCAGGATGGGCACTCACTTCTATCAGCTACAAAAACATATCAAACACTGCATTTAAGCAGTGGGATGGGATCAGTCCTGGCTGTCATAAAGCAGTCAGCCTAAGAGAGAGGTCATGCCGGGACTGCCGTGGCTCGGAGATGGGAGCAGGATCCATCAACATAGACAAACAATGCAGGAAACAGTGTCCGAACACTGTTTCTCGTTGTTTGTGGCCCTCCTGCCACCGTTTTCAGTGGGGAAAAGGTGCCAACAACATGGAAATATATTCCGCCATTGGTGTGCACCATTTCCCCCGGCGTCGGGGTGCGGGATTGGGTGGATTGGGCCAGGTGTGTTTGGATGACGTGGCCGTTTTTCGGGGCCTGTGGCTATTTTTAGAGTATCATGTAATTACCATGACACACCCGTTGTAATGCTCTCGCCGTCATCTGCCACGATGTCTGGCAAGCTTGGGGTACATAAAAAAATTAGCCAAAAAATCGTATTAAATTGAAATAAAATATATACAAAGTACAGGTGGCTCTACTAGCCACCCACTATAAGATAAGGAGAAAAAGAGTAGAAATGATGTGTTGTTTCTGCTCTGGTCTTGGTCCCTGCCCCCTGCCAAAAAGAAATGTAAAAAAGAATCTTATTAAATTGTACAAAAAAAAATACAGGATCCGGGTGGCTAGTAGGGCCACCCGCTATGGAAAGTAGGTAAAATGAGCAGAAATGGTGTGCTATGGTGCGCCATTTCTGCTCATGGAGATGGGTACAGCCCCCCTGCCCCTCTGCCTCCTCTGCGGCCTCCTCTGGTCGTGGGGCTCCTCTGCCCCCTCCATCCCCTCCTCCGCTCGTTTGCCCCCTTTGTTGCTTGTTGGGCCCCTTCGGGTGCCCATGCTCCCTCCTCGTGCTCTCCCTTGTGCTTGAGCTGCAGGTGGTGGGTGTTGACCAGGAGGCAAAGGGCAGGTGAAGGGCAAGGAGCAGGGCAAGGGGTGTGAGGTGGGGTGAAAACCAGAACGGCAGGCAAGGGCAAGAGCAAAGGCAAGGGCAAAGGTGAGAGGGCGGGTTGACGTCTGCTGACGTCCTGTGCCCACCGTCGCCTTCCACTGGTCCTGCCACCCCTGTTTGCCTCCGTCCTCGTCGTTTGCCCCCGTCCTCATTGTTTGCCCCCGTCCTTGTCGCTCGCCCCCGTCATCGTTCACTATTGTCATTGTTCGTTCGTTACCCGCCACCTTTGGTCATTGTGTGGAGTCCCTTGTCCGCTGTCATCGCTCAAGGGTGAACAAGGGGCAAAGGAGGGGCAAGGGAGGGGTGGACAAGGGGTGAGGCAGAGGGGTGGATGAGGGGGGGGGCAGAGGGCAAGAGGGTGACACAGGGTGCAGAGGGTGAGGGTGAGGGCAAGGGCAGAGGGTGGTGAGGGGTGGATGAGAGGCAAGGAGGCAAGGCAGAGGGTGAGGGCAAGGCAGAGAGCAAGAGGGCAAGGCAGAGGATGGGGAAGCGAACAAGGGGCAAGGGCAAGGGTGAAGGGTGCCCCCGGTCATGCCTCCGCTGTCATCGTCATGCCCCTGTCCTTGTCATCATGCCCTTGTCCTCGTCCTTGTGCCCCCATACTTGTTGTGCCCCTGTCCTTGTTGTGTCCCCATCCTTGTTGTGCCCCCATTGTCCTTGTTGTCCCTCTTGAAGGGGAGGTGTGCAGAGCGAGGGCACAGGCGATGAGAGGCAGAAGGTGGTGGGGAGCTTCGTCTGTCGCCGTCCTTGTCCAGCCATGTCAGCTAAAAATCTATATCAAACCCTGTGTTTAGCCAGTGTGACCTCACATGTCCAGACTGTGTTTGAGCAGTCAGGCTCTCCGAGGCTGCTGGGGTGAGTTTGCCGGAGATGCCGGGGCTATAAGGATTTGTTTGGGGGCGGGAGGGGATAAATAAATGACCAAACAACCCTCCCGGGGTGGGGTGGGCGTAAGGTAGGCCTGGGGCGGGAGGGGTGGGAAAGCATGGGAAATCCATCCAAAACAGGCAGGGATGGTGGGGGATGCATGATAGGGGCTAGTGGGATGGCGGGGTGGGTTCTGGGTGTGGCAGGGGCCTAAAAATGGGTTGGGCGGGGCTAGATATGCATGCTAATAATTGACATGGCCCCCACAGGGTGCGGGATGGGCTGGGGGAGCCAAAAACGCGAAAAATCCAGTCTTTTGCATTTTTAATACAAAACAATTGAATATCAAATCGAAAACTTAATATTTCGGTGTGAAACTTTGCAGACCTTTGTATCTATAGTGGAGGGTGCTTCATGAATATTTTGAGTATTTATTATGAATTATGGGGTGCGCCACACAGCCAGGAATAGTGTGTGCGGCGGGGTTTGATGCGCTTTGCCAAATTTGGCAATATTGTGATGCCTGCACATCCGTGCATAATTCCGGCTCGCCCTCGCATTATTTCGCTTAGATTTGGCTGAGCGAAATGTTGGGTACATTGACACCTTCCTGTAGACCCTTCGATCGCGTGAAACAGGTGAGAACTCGTTGAGATATGGCAAACGCGATTTTGGCTACTACAATGCATGGTGCACCCATGCATCCTCGGGCGCGTTTAGGCCCATTTAAGTTGGTCAAAAATCATGGAATACATGTCTGAGAGTAATAGTACTATTGATAATGCCAGGGGGTGTCTGGGTGTAGTAGATCTGAGGGGGGGTATAGGTACACCAGGAGACCCACTCTGGATACCCCACTAAACATATCTCTGAAAGTCTGAAAGCTGGTACATGGATAGTACATATTTATTCATGAATTTAACATATTTTATCATAATTTTATATTGCCTGGAAGTTGGGTTATTGACCAATTTCACATGAGCTAAGATATTCTATTGACATCCAGGATGGGAGATATTGGCCCATGTAAAATCATGATAAATGACGATAAATGTATAGAAACAGAACAAGGTACTTGCGAGGGCAAGGGAATGATTCTGTGTAAAGTTATTAAGGGGAGAAGGAGGAGGTAGTCCCCCACATGAGTATCTATCTATATACTTACCAAATCCACATATCGCACTCATTTGATGGTGCGTTCGGGTCAGGATAATGTCCCTTAGCATATTTCAGTAGTGACTGATGAGGCTCCGATGCCTGGGTGAAATGGTATTAAAGAAAGAGCTGAAAATGCGCGAAAAACACGAAAATAATTAAAATGAGTACCTCGGACTTGGTCAAAAATTACCAAACTTCGTATATGAGGACCTATTAACATTCTGAAGGGACTGCAGAAGACCGGATGAGATTCCGACCAGTAGGTGCAAAGATATGCGAAATGAATTCCAAAAGCACCACTTGCATCACAAAGTTGTTATGTCTGCCGCCATTGTCTGTCGCTGTCCTCGTCTGCTGCCATTGTCAGTTGTTGGTCGTCTGCCGTTGTCATTTGTTGTTGGTCGTCATCGTCAGTCATCGGACATCCGCCGCCATCGTTCGTCGTGGTCGTTTGTTGCATGTGCATCGTCATTCGCCCCTCACCCTCCGGTTGTTCCTTGCCGCCGTCCTTCATCTGCCCTTTGCCACTGTCGTTGGTTCCACAGGTGGGAGGATGGCGCCAGCAGGGGGAGGAGGGTGGCGCTGGCAAGGGGAGGATGCGAGGCAAGGGAGAGGGGGAAAGGTGAGAGACGGAGAGGTGGGGGTTGCGTGCCTCCGCCCACATCCCTATTGAAGGGGAGGGGCATGGGAGGCAAAGAGAACGAACATCGACTTTAAGTTGACATTTGTTCACCTAATGTTAGCTAAAAACATGTATTAGAGTAGCTATTTATGAAGAAAACATATTACTCACCATTTTTTGGGGTCTTGAGGCGTCATTTGTGGTGGTGGACGATGGGGGGAGAGGCCAGGTGGTGGTTGAAGATGAGGATCAACGACTCTTGTCGTTGTTGATGGCTTATCCAGCAGATGCCACAAACGATGGGATTGGCTGGAGCAGGTGGTCCAGCCATCCCGCGTTCCGCTCATCGACCTCAGAAGAGCCAGTACGCTCGAAACATGATGAAAATATTTTCGTTTATCATTGGTAATTAAGTAAATTACTATTTTCTATGTATTTATGTAGGTCCGAATAATATATGAGACCAAGAACGAGCAAAAAGTTCGAGTTACCATCTTTGTGTGGTGATCATCGTCTTCTTGATGTTCTAACCCCTCGAATACCACTCATTTGACAAGCTGAAACATCACAATAACCTTATATTTTTGATCTTTCAGTAAGTAAGGATATCATACATAAAAATTAGACTGAATTTACAATGTAAATCCTATGATACAAGCCAGTGTCTGATATTTGACACATCCATGAGTTGGTTTGACTACGGAATCCACCTGTCGTTTGCAGTTTCTTAGTTTACATCTAAAATTTACTAAGTTGGCTGGGGGAGCTCAATTACTCAATACTATTATAATTATCCAGTCTGTACATCATTTTTACATATTTATTTCACTTCTTCTACCTCTTGAAATCTACATACAGAGGAGAGAGTCTCCTAATTGGCCTGGGCCTGAGATCAATTCACTCATAGAATATTTAAATCTCATTATATTTCATTAAAATTACATGCATAGATAGAATTATGAATTAAGAACAATTTCTGAAAGTTTAAATAGAGATGCAACACATTCTGCATCTCTTGGAGATGTTCCATTGTTGACCAACAGAATGGAAATGGGACCGAGCCAATAATCCCAGCCAATGGGATGGGCAGCTGGATCCTGCCAAACCGCGATCAACGATGTTGAACATTGTTGATCTTTCCCCACCACCTCCCTCACCCCCTCACTGCGAAGCAGCCCTGAAACACAAGAAAAGGTAAGTACATTTCTTTCTTACGTACTTACATCCCCACTAACTAACCCCTGCCTTCACAGAACACTGTTCATGTCAATGACGACGCAATGAAGCGACTGAGCCCCTCCCCTTGCGACAGGGATGTGGGCTCAGTCACCTCCCTGCCTGCTCACCCACCACTGCCCTCTCACCCACCATTGTCCTCTTGCCCACCATTGCCCTCTCGACCAGGATGGCAACAGCGGGCAATGGCAGGAGGCACGACAACAACAGCGGCGAACAGCAGGAGGAACGGTGATGACAGCGGTGGGCAGCAGGAGGCACGATGGCGGTGGGGGCATGACAACGACGATAGGGGCACGACGACGATGGGCACACGATGGCAATGGCGTGGGCACGACGATGACAGCGGGGCACCAGGCACCCTTCACCCTTGCCCTCACCCATCCTCTGCCTTGCCCTCTCACCCTCATCCACCCCTCATCCGCCCCTCATTCGCCTGCCCTCTCCCCTCTGCCCTCTGCCCTTGTCCTCACCCTCTGCCCCGCTGTCTCACCCATTTTGCCGCTTCGCCCGTGTCGCCCTCTCGCCTACCTCGCCCCTTTTGCTCCTTTTACCCCCCTCGCCCTCTCGCTCCTTTCGCTCACCCCGCCCACCTCACCCTCTTGCCCCTCACCCTTTCGCCCCTCACCATTTCTCCCTCTTGCCCTCTTGCCCACCTTGCCCACCTTGCCCACCTTGCCCTCTCGCCCACCTTGCCCTCTCGCCTTCACCTTCGCCCTCTTGCTCTCGCCCTCTTGCCATCTCACTGTTTCGCTGTTGCCGTTGCCGTTTCGCCCTCTTGCCCCCTGGCCTCTGCATCCCCCCCTGACCTCTGCCATCTACCTCTGCCTCACGAACAAACTCAACAAGCGGTGGAGGGCCAAACAGACAGGTGGAGGGTGGAGGTGACCCAACGACAGGCAGAGGGTGGAAGAGGGGCGAATGCCCGTCAATGAGCAGCAGAGGGTCGAACAACCCCCAACAACGAGCAGAGGGGGCCGGAGGATGCCACAACGGGCAGAGGAGGGGCAAAGAGGGGCAAATGGCCCCCAATGAACCAGCCATGTTTGCTAGAAATCTATATCAAACACTGTATTTAAACAGGGTATACTCACATGTCAGGACTGTGATTAAACAGTCCACCCACGGAGAGGCCGTTGCCGTGCGTGCCGGGGCCCAATGCTGTGGGCGGGATGTGTCAACACAAGCAAACAACGCAGGACACAATGCCCGAGCATTGTTCCTCGTCGTTTTCGGTGCTCCTGCCACCGTTTTCGATGGGGAAAAAGCGCCAATGACGAGGAAACATATTTCCTCGTCGTTGTGCACCGTTTCCCCCATTGTCAGGGGGCGGGAATGGATGGATTGGGCCAGGTGGGTTTGGATGACGCGGCCTTTTTTCGGGCCTTGGTACTATTTTTAGAGTATAATGTAATGGCAATGACACATCGGCTGTGGTGTTCTTGCCGTCGTCTGTCCCGACGTCCGGTGAGCTCGGGGCATCTCAGAGCACATGAAAAAAAAGACAAAAAAATCATATTAAATTGAGATAAAATATGTACATGGTGTGGGTGGCTTCTACCAGCCACCCACTATGAGATATGGAGACAATGAGTAGAAACGACGCGTCACACAACACGTCATTTTTGCTCTGGTCTTGGTCCCTGCCCTTTTGCAGCGAAAAAATGCAAAAAAAATCGTATTATATTCGTATTGGAATAAATACATACTGCAGGTGGCTCTACTAGCCACCTGCTATGAATAAGATCAAACGAGCAGAAACGGCGCATATAGTGCGCTGTTTCTGCTCAGGAGGTGGTCCCCCCGCCCCCTCCTCTGCTCGGCAGGGTACCCTCGGCCCCTTCGGTGCTTGTTGGGTTCCACTCTGCCCCTCCGCATCCTCCTCTGCTCGTTTGTCCTGGGCGGGGGTGAAAACTGGGACGAGGGGGGCAAACGGCGGGCGGGGACAAACAAGGGGCAAGGAAGAGAGAATGGGGGGAGGGCAAAGGCAAAGGCGAGAGGGCGGGCTGACGTCCGTTGACATCCTGTGCCCGCCACCGCCGTCCTCCTGTGCCCACTGCTGCTGCCACCACCGTTGTCGTCCTCCTGTGCCCACCACTGCCGCCGTCATCCTCCTGTTGTGTCGCCGCTGTAGATCAAAGGCGAAGGGCAAATGGCAAAGGGCAAATGGCAAAGAGAGAAGGCAAAGGGAGAGGGCAAAGGAGGGGGGCAAAGGGTGACGGGTGACAGGCAAAGGGCAAAGGGCAAAGGGCAAAGGGCAAAGGGCAAAGGGCAAAGGGCAAAGGGCAAAGGGCAAGGGAGGAAGGCCGGGACGAGGAGGGCAAATGGTGGATGGGGGCAAATGGCGGGAGTGTGCAATGGCGGACAGGGGCAACGACAGACGGGGGCAAACGACGGGGCAAGGGCAAACGGTGGGCGAGAGCGAATGGTGGGCGAAAATGTGTGCCCGCCCCCGTCATGTTTGCTGCCCCCGTTGGGTTCGCCCTGTCGTTGTCGTGCTCACCCTGTCGCCATCGTGCTCACCCTCTCGTCATCGTCGTGCTCGCCCTGTCACCGTCGTGCTCGCCCTGTCACTGTCGTGCTCGTCCTGTCACCGTTGTGCTTGTCCTGTCGTGGTCGTCGTGGTCGCCCTGTCGCCGTCGTGCTTGTCCTGTTGCCCTCATGCTTGCCCTGTCATCGTCATGCTGCTCACTCGCTCACTCCCGTTGTGGTACTCGCTCCCAGTCGAGCGAGTGGTGGCGAGCGTCGATGGGCCAGAAAAAGGGAACCCACATCCCTGTTGAAGGGGAGGGGTTGTGGTGGGTGGTGGTACAGGGTGATGGTGTAAGATCGGGGGGAGGGACAGAATATGGGGGTGGGGATGAGGTGCCTGGGGGGGCAAAATCTGCCTTGCCCACATCCCTATGGCAGGGGAGGGGCACGAGAGGGAAAGAAAACGAAGTCAGCGTTCGTTAACCTAATTTGAATTAAAATGTATGTTAGCGTATATAGTTGTAAAGAAAACATATCGCTCACCTTTTGTTCAGTCCTGGGGGGTCATTTGAGGTGTTGGGCTGAGAGGGGGAGCGCCAGGTGGTCGTTGAAGGTAAGATCAACGACGTTTGTCGTCATTGATGGCTTATCTGGCGAACACCGTGAGCAATTTGATTGGCTGGCGAAAGCGGACCGCCCAGACCGCGTTCCACTCATCGAGCTCGGAATAGCCAATACTCTTAAGATATGACGAAAATCCTGGGATTCATCATCGGTAATTACTTATACTACTGTATTCTGTGTATTTAGACATATCCGAATATATCTTGAGAGCGAGGACGAGCTAAGGACCCAAGTTACCGCCATGCCGTGGTGATTTACGGCTTCCGCATGAGCCAATCTTTTGAATACCACTCGTTCAACCAGCTGAAGCACCAACAAAACTTTGCATGTTATATCTTTAAGTAAGTAAGTACAACATATAAAAATTTTAGCCTACATTTCCAGTGTAGATCCTGTGATATGAACCAGTATCTGAAAATTGACACATTCTTGAGCTGGTTTCATACCGGAATCCACATCATCGTTCGTAGATTTTTAGTGTACATCCTAAAGTCAGTAAATTGGTCAGGGGAACTCCATTCCTCAATACTGGATGACTGTCCGTAAGCATTTATTCGCCGCAATAGATTATATTCGTGCTCCTTGGCGGTGATGCCGCGATGCCGCTGCCAACATGTCAACACAGATTATCCGTTGTGCCTGGTTGGGCCCCTCAATAAACCTTAATCTATTCAGAGGGTCCTACCCCCTCGAATAGACTTTTTTCGGTCGAATAAACTGTTTGTCCCGTGATGCACAACCAAACAACTCCCTGTTTGCTTACGCCGTGCTCTTATCTTAACCTTCGTCATCGTCCATCGTTGTCATCCATCGTTGCCCATCGAGCTTGCCAAAGCCCCCTTCATGTGTGAGAGTGAGTCATTACATGCTACTACTTCCTCGTACCATGCTAATCACATCCAATCATGAGCAGGGTCTGCAATTAGGTCCTTTATTGGCTGCAGCCTGCATTGCCAGGGGCTTAATTGCGCTCGCTAGCGGTCTCGAGACGGTCTTGAATGGCTTGAGGAACATTATCGAAGGCTTAGGAGGGGAAATGAGGAGCGGAAGACGGCTGAAATGCATGGAGAGATAGGTATAAAAGTGGTGAGTCGTTGCTGCTACCTCCCAGGCTTCGTGTCACCAAAACTCAGCTCGTTCTACCTCTTCATCAACTGCTATGGACCCCAACCAACTTACCCCTGTTCCTGGCAACCCTAACATCCGATATGACATGTTTGGGCGGCCATATGTCCAAGATGTCTCTGGTCATTGGGTTCAGTTATACGCGCCAACCATGGTGACTTCTCAGGTAGGTACCCTACCCTATATGGTGTCTCTACATGTCTCAATCCCTCTTTCCTTCTCTTTCAGTCTGTCCCTACTGCAACTCATGGATTTCCTGCTGTGTCCCAGAACGAAACTGCCCCGGTACGTTTTGTTATATCTTATTGTTGTCTACACCAGTCCTGACTTGTTTTCGTCAGACTCGCCCCCATAATAACATGGAGGATGGTCCAAACCAACCGCTTTCTGAGGCTCTTGTGGTATGTAGCCTCCTAGATCATATATCTCCTTTGTTCTAATGCTGTGTTAGATTGTTACATCCACTCGAGCCCCGACAGCCAGCCCTTCTACTGCAGTGATCGATCCGGCGCTTTTACCTCTTCCTGAGGTCTCGGACGACGACCTCTCTGACCCGGTCACAATTGTGAAGTCCCGGGGCCATGCCGCTGCGAAGAAGGTCGCTGGATCATGTCAGAAGGGCAAGGGCAAACAGTGCGCTGTACTAACCGAGTCTCACGATAAGGGAAAGGAGAAGGCCACCGCTCGCAAGCGCAGGCATGCCTCGGATGATGAAGAAGTTGAGGTAGTAGCCAAGCGTGGCCGTCCCAAGGGTGCTGGCAACTACACTGCAGACGAGGTTGATGCCCTCCTTGACTTTGTCGAGGAGGAGCTCCCTCTTGGCCAACGCGGGTGGCAGTCCATCCACCGTGGTTTCACTCACTGGGCTCGTCGTAACGATGCTGCTGAACGCACGTTAAAGTCTCTGGAGACCAAGTTCAAACAGGTCAGCCGTTTTTGGTTATATGTAAGAAACATCATTACTTACAACACATCTTAGCTTGTTAAGACCACAAAGCCCACTGGTGATGCCTATTGTCCCCCAGACGTCAAACGAGCACACAAGATTGACGGGCGTATCAACGAGAGGGCTGCCACCCGCGATCTCAACGACTCCGACTTCGATGATGCTGCTCAGTTGACTGGTGGATCTGAAGATGACGACGACGATGCCAACGACATCCCAGAGGTGCCAAGGAAATCGAGGAAGGCAGCATCCACTGGCAACCATGATATCCAGAATGCTATCATCCGCCGACCTGACCCTGCTGTCCAGCGCCGCTCTCGGTCAAACAATGTCGACCTCATCGGAAAGCTTGCCAATGCCTTTGATCCGAGTGTCCAACAAGCTCATGATGAGGAACGTGCCCAGCGTTCCTTCCAAGCCTCGCAGATGTTCACCCTTTCCCAGCAACTTCGAGACGCCAACCTTACCATTGAGTCGCTCCGCTCCCAGCTCTCTACTCTCCAGACCCAGGTTCATGAGGCCCAGCGAGCCCGCGATCGTGCTGAGTTGCAGTTGCAGCTCATTGAAGAGGGTAGCTGCCAGTCTCGACCTTTCAGGAGGAGCCGCCACAATGGGTATGTCAAGCGCTCAAAGTCCACAAAGCGTTCAGTCCAGCGTGTCCGGGGAAAGATGCGTTGCGAGGAGAGGTACCCGGAGGGAGGTATACACACGTACTGGGTCACGGAACCCTCCTCTACCTCAGGTGAGAGTGATAAGGAGAACGAGGACCCCAATTTCTTCCGTCGCCGCTGTGACATTGACTATAGAGACCAGCCTTCGTCGTCGTCGTCGTCAGGCCATCACTTTGGCATAGAGTTGCAAGCTTTGACTACTTCCCAGCCCAATGCTGCCACTGCCACAGCTGGCAAGGACCAAGATGGTGAGGAGGGTGACGATGACGATATATATGTCAAGGATGCTGATGGGCCCAAGGACAAGTAGAGTAGTGCAACATCTACTTCTGTCTACACTTATGTTCTGTTACTTGTTGTGTTCCGTTACAATTACCATACACCTGCTTGTAATACAAACCTGTTTACGTGTATTCTGCGTAAGTATGGAAGCGAGCAACTCTATCGTTCTTTCATTGATCTGAGAAGAGCATATTCTCAAAGTTCTGCCAGATATCAATGTCCTCAGCTGTGTCCTGCCAGTATCGCATGTATACAGTCCGGATCTGATTGATTCCCACTCGTCTTGTGCGCAGATTATTGAGGCGATTGCAGATCTCAAGGAGATTTCCTCGACGTTCTGCATTGTCAATGGGAAGTGGAACACGGAGACGACCAAATGCTCCTTGAAGACCTCGATTTCCCCACTTGAGCAACATTAGCATCGTGCCAACTGCCTGGTGCATTTACAACAGCATCAATGATTTCACCTAAGATATTATCAGTGAATGAAGTTACAATAGCATTGATGTTCTTGCCTTTCGGTGAGAACACAAGTACTGAGCTGACAAAATGCTCTGAGAGCCACCCGTTGTAGGTAGCATTCTCAATATCTTCATCCTCCGATGTTTGGACAGGAAGATTCAATCCGTCGATGGCAGCGAAGGCCCCAATCAGTCGAGGATGTCGAACAATGATAAGATCATTGTATTCTTGGAATTGCCCACCACCTGGGCCACCCTTCAGCCACTTGATACGGGCATCTGGCATTCTTCGCAAGACCTCGAGAAGTATGTCAAGTGAGAAGTCAAGATACCGGACAACTGTGGCAGGGATGAGAGCAAAGATTTGCTGCAAGCTGACGTCGAGCATCGTGGAGCTGAGATAATGGAGGACAAGGCCAAGGGCCCCTGGGGGATCCAAAGATCGGCCACCTGGTCGTGGATCTCCTGAACGAGAGGTATCAGTTCGGGGGATGGGTGTTGAGAGCCAGGTCTGTACAAAACCCGACTCGAGAATGAAATCGAAGGTGGCAACATCGAACCCCATGGTTGTGATATATGCACGGTCACTCCTGCTGTCGTAAAGGGAGGTCCATGGTGTCGCAATCCGGGGGTTCTCCAGGAGTTCAGGGCGGGTAAGATATTGGCGGGTTTCACGACGTCGTTCATTCCGTAACTGACGTGAGATCTCGGCACCTCCCACTATGACGCCGAGTGAAGCAGCACCCATCTCCCAGTACTCTTCATCTGCCTCCTCTTCAAGTTGCTCTGTGAATTGTTGGAATATGAGTGCATCTTCATTCATGGCTGGCTAGAGATGGGTGGAGGCCCAGGGAATGACAATTATCTTTAATCATGAGGCTTGTGGTTTAATCAGATGAATAGATTATAAGATTATCTTTGAATTTGAGGTCCGACTTTGTTATGAAATATTCTACTGTGGAATAAATACCTTACGGACAGTCATCCACTATCATAATTAGCCAGCATGTATACTATTTTTATATATTTATTTGGCTTCTTCTGCCTCTTGGAATCTATGTACAGAGGAGAGAGTCCCCTAATTGGCCTGAGCCTGAGATGAATTGCCTCACAAAATATTTAAATTTTGTTCTATTTCATTAAAATTACATGCATAGATGAATTTGTATACTAATAACAATTTCCGATAGTTTGAATAAAGATACGACGCGTTCTACATCCACCGGAGACGTTCCGTTGGTCAACAACGGAATGGAATCGGGATCGGGCCGTCAATCCCAGCCAATGGGATGCACAGCCGAATCCCGCCGAACCACGATCAACGATGTTGTTGATCTGTCTTTCTCCACCACCTTCACCCCCTCACTGTGAGGCAGCCCCGCAACACAAAGAAAAGGTAAGTATATTTCTTTCTTATGTATTTACATCCCTACTAACTAACCCCTGCCTTCACAGAACCGCGTTCATGTCAATGACGACGCAACGAAACGACGGAGCCCCTCCCCTTGCGACAGGGATGTGGGCTAGGACACCCCTGCCCATGGCTGTCCAC